GTGCACCGCTGTTTCATGCGACAGGAGTCGTCATTCCAGTCCCCTCCAGCAGTACAGGGAATGCGGTGGCGACAATGGAATGGGCGGGGAATCGTTTTGTGTGTGTGTGTGAACCAAAGATAAGATAACAATAGATAAAATAAAATACAGGAACGTACCAATTCTGTTTCATCTCCACAATTTTTTTGGTACATGGTACACGATTATTTGTGGTTGTCAATTTTTCTTTTCTTTTCTTTTCTTTGTGGCTTTTAACATTGAAGTTTGTCTTCATGTGAAATATTGGTACTTGATAGTGTAGAAATCAAATAGATTTTGTTGGTGAAATCAAGGATGAGGAGGGGGTTAGATAAATTAAAATTGTGGTTATTGTTGATGTGATGTAGAAAAGTTCTAATTTTGGTAGAATTTTGTAATAAATATAAACCAAAAATTACACATCATAGTAAATTTTGAATACGTCTTACATGAAATAAACGTGTTCATTACGAGAGACCACAGCTGTTGCAACTTTTTTATTTTTGACTAAAAATTATATGATACATATATATATAGGTTTAACTACACATCTTAAATACTAGCATCCCAGATACTTTGTGGACCTCTTTCTTCATACATGTCACTACCAACGAATAATTCTTTACCATGGTGGTGACTGCTACCTGAGAAAATCTGTTTGCTGTAAATTTGACCACCCAAGAAATAAACATCTTGCCATGATCCTCCAAATTCTTTTGGCTTTTTCCATTCAGGGAAATAATCAGCAAACTTAGCCAACTTGATTGAATTCGGTACCTGAGAAGTGTTGCTTTGTTGATTATCACCATCACCTATTTCGTCTGCTTGTTGATACTTCATAATGGCAGCATTCACACCCGATTGGTCTTCAGGTTTTTGATCATCTGAGCTTGGTTCAGTAACCAAATAGTCTTGAGTCAATTTGAGCAAGACTGCTTCTTTCAATCCAGGAATCTTAAACACGGAACCAACCAAAATAATATTATCATAGCAGTCTTGTCTTCTATCTATATCTGGGATCTGTAAAAGTGCCGAATAAATACTTTTAGCAATCAATTTAACCAATGAAGCAGTTCCAGAGAAACGTTCTTTACCAACCCAAACTTTTTCCTTTGTTTGTGAATCAATGAAAAAGTTCCTTTCCAAGTCTCTATTGGCCTTTGTGGAATCAACTTCTTGTTTCTCCACATCACCGATATTTTGGCCATTTTCATCAGTTACAATTTTTGCAACATCAAATTCTTGAATCTCATCAAGACCACTTTGTTCGTTCTGGTCAATTAAAACTTCATATATCCCGGATTCCTTCAAATCTTCCAATTGTGACTCACTCAAATTTGGAAACAATTTCTTTAATTCTCTGTTAATGGTAATTCCACCTTCGTTATTGACTATTTTACCCGCAAATTTAATAGCTTGATATCCAACAACCGGGACAACTTGAATATTTTCATGATCAACATAAACAACTGTTGAGCTAGTCAACTGTCCAGCTCCAAAGGTGGCAGCTAGACTCAAGTCGACAATATTAAATGCTGTTATCTCTAAACTTTCAATGACATACTTCGTAATATATTCGAGACTGTTTCTTGACCAAGTCAAACTTGGAATAATCAACAACATAGGAATTTGATTAATTGTGACGGTTGGATGGTCGTTGATGATACTTTGCAAAATGATCTTTAACAAATGGTTAAATGCATCCAAATTGACTATTTTGTTTTGAACTATTGGATATATTTCAGTGGTTTGATCATTTGACGTGGATTGAAATTCATTGGTGGTTGTGTTACGGTAAACAACCGATGGGATTTTGAATTGCGGTGGCGATAACGAATCAGACAACCCAAATGAAAAAACAGTAAATCTAGAACTTGGGTATATTATCAAGAAATTATCTTCTTTATATAACGGCATCTCAAACGGGTCTTCAACAAACGTGTAGTTTATGCGTTAATATTGGTGTTTGTTGATGTTTTTTTCTCACTCTCTTCAGTTTTTTTTTTTCCATTCCTTTGGTTTTCTGTTTATGAGGAATTTGATAGTTTTTTTTTTGTTCATCTTTACACGAACAATTGCTTAAAATAAAATCAATCTTCACATACATGGAATAAGTATGGTTACACTATAAAATACTCACAGTGTATACATGTATATATATCTGTATAAAGGAATGAAAAACTACCTATATAAAATAATTTATGGTCCCTATTGTCTTCTTTTATTAGTACTCCTTATCACCATTAACATTAGAAACGAATTTGCTGTAGTTGGATCTGGTGCCTAATACACTATGCTTACTCATTGTGCTATGATTTCTCCTAAGGTTGTCTACATGACCAGTTTTGTAATGATGAGCTGGAGCCTCTGAAGGAATTGCTAATTCATCAGCATCTTCATCATCATTATACCCATCAACCAATCTGACCTCATTAATAAATGGTAATTCTTCTGCTTGTGGAGGTAAATTTGGTAGTTGTTTAACTTTGAATAGCTGTGGCGGAGCACCAATTTGTGTAGGAGTTTGGTGCTGTTGTTGATGATGATGGTGGTGGTTCAGAGGAGTGATATAGGTTGTTTCACTTTTAGCAGACGTTGGAGACGAAGAACCCGACTTTTTCTTTCTTGAATTCAGTCTGGAAGGTTCTGTACTTGCTCTTATCAACTCTGGTTTTGTTTTCAAATGGTAACGAGGTTCATTATTTGACAATGGAATTGAATTGTTGACAGGGATAACATCAAAAACCTTGTGGTCACGTTTTTCACATCGATAAGGTTTGACTTTAACTGTGGATGGTGTCCTTTTTGGTTGTGGAGGTTTTGGACCATCTAATGGTCGATACTCTTCTGGCAGTGGAAGATTTTGATGCTTCTGTGGATATTGTGGCTCAGTCACTTCCTTCTCATGAATATCCACCGGTGTATACTCTTGATGTTCGACAACCTGCTCTGGTTCTTGGGTATATTCAGGTAGGTAAACTTCTTCTTCTACCGCATGGTAGAGTTCTTCATCTCCATCTTCTTCCTTTTCTTTCTCTCCGTGTTCAGATAATGGAGTTTCTTCTTTTATAGTAACAGTCTCTTTAATGACTTTTGATTTCGGGTACAAGGACATATACTTCTTGAGATCATCTGTTTTAATTAATCCCAAATACAAACATGAACAAATACCAAGGAGAGTCACAATTCCCACTGCAATTCCAATAACTGTTAAACCTAAAATTCCATATACAAGTTCTTGTTTATATCTCAGTCCAATACAAGTTGAAATCACCCCCACAAGAAACCCGGGGACATGACTCAATAATCTCGACTGTAGTGTAGGTTTATGACGGACCATTTCTTCTTCTTCTATTTCTATTGTGTGTTCTTCTTCTCCCTCTTCTTCTTCTTCTTCCGTAGTTATGGGAACTTCTTTTATTGTTTTAACGGCAATCTCAACTGGGGAAGGCACTAGGGTTGGTGAAGGTGGTGATGATATTGGCTGTGCTGATGCTGATGGTGAAGGTTCAGTTTTTGTGACCACCACTATACGCTGGGGCTGGATAGGTGAGTTGGAAGTGGTCGGTACAGGGGACGTTGCTTTGAGTTTTAGGTTCTTGGAGGAAGTGTTTATTGTTGTGGGTTTTATTTTTTTTCCTCTCGTGGTGGTGGTAGTATTCGCAGTGGTAGCAACAGCGGGGGTTGTGATTTTGTTAAAATTTTCTTCGGGTGTGGCTACTTGTGTTGCATTGGCTTGGTCGTCCACATCAATAAGGGAATATGAACAATCGATTAGTTCATTGAGGTAGTTATCTACCTGAGCCTTCTTGTCGATGACTTCATTAGTTTTTAGAGACGATGTATCGTCGTTTATTTTTTTTAATCGAAAGACTCCATCAGGATCCTGTTTATAAACCAATTTTTTCTTCTTGGTAGTTTTGGTCGTGGTAGTGGCCATAACGAATCAAAGTTAAAAAAGAAATTGAAACTAAAAGACCCAAACCTGATCAAAAATAGAACAGATGAAAGAGAATAAAAAATAAATTTGTTTAAGTAACAGATTTTACTGCAGTTTATAAATCAAGGAATTTCACAGGTGTATTTATATTTAGGGTTGACGAAACAAACTAAGTGGAATACAGGAAGTGCATGGTTTTTTTTTTTTTTCTTTCTCGTTTTACATACTTCAATAATGCAAAGTAACAATTACAAGATACAAACTTTTATTTATGTATTTTGCGTCTCATGAGTTAATTTAAACAGGTTATAACAATAAAGGTAAAATTATGCTTATTCTGTTCCTGTATCTGTTGCATACTCAACTTTCTCATGCACGATATATTATTTACATTCCATTTAGAATAATAGGGTTATTATTTTAGGACTCAGACATTAATCCAACCAATCATACTTTCCAGGTGATCTTGCAATCTTTGTACTAGATACGCAATGTAATTGATCACCGGTTTGGAAATATGTCCCATCTTCCTAACAATCAAGAAGTGTACATAAGCCAATGTAAGAAACAAGTTATTTTCACAATGTATTCTACTGAATGTTTTGATGGTACGGGTACAGAAGGACACAAGAGGGTAAGAAAATACACCAAAATCAACGATCGTATGTACCTGGTTACACAAACTTCTGTGGATGTACACTTTGTACCTTTTTTTTATTATCCCTATTGATCTAGTTGATTTAGCCAGCAATTTTTTCTCTTATCTCTGAACCCTCTAATTACTATTTGTTTCCCCTTATATGGGAACATGCAGATTTATAATAATATTATTATAGGTTATATTCTTCATTTACCTATCCCCACAAATTATTGTAGTTGACATGGAATGATATAATGAGCATGGAATTAAACCCAGCACAGACTGAATAAGACCATTGAAACCGCAAATAGGGGGAAGGAGGGTTCTAAAGGTACGTATAGGAGATAAGGCTAATGAAGAGGGGTCACGGGCGGAGGGGGGGGGGACAAAATTTCTCTTTTTTTTTCCCTCTTATAACCATAGAAGAAAGCAAACGAGGTATAATATTAGGGCGGGATCGTGCACAATCCAGGCGAGGGATTTCAACTCAAAAAAAAATAATATTAATGGGAAAGTGTGAGCATAGTACTGTGGGGGCAGTGAGCAGAAATTCATTCACAACAAAAAGCGAACGAGAATGAAACTAGGCTTTCTAATATTAACTACCGTACGTACAGCTTGTTTATTTGGTTGTAAAGACTACTTCCCCACCTTTAAAGAATTAGAAAATATCGCCAGTGGCAAAATTAAAAATAAAAATCACACGTTACAACCAAAAACCCATTCATTGGCCATTGGGATACAACATGACGTTTCTAAGCAAAAGATCCTTGAATCCTTTAACTTACAAAATAATGTAGTATAGGGATCATCCATTGTATGATATATCACTATCAATGTCATGATATAATTATTTGCAAACGAGTACCAATAGAGAATTCTAGGAATCCCGCTTATCGGACTTTTTAATGCTATTCGTCAAAAATTACACGTGATTATGGGGTTTCTGGTGAAGAATGATCTGCATGTAATTAATGAACTTGGACTAAATGACTTACAATTTTGTACTACAGACATACACACACACACACACACACACAAGTGATCATTAAGCTAACATTCTTGATTATTACACTTTGGTTTTATCTTTGCTTGTAAGTTTGATTTATTGCCGCTTTTACTCTTTACTTTTTTTTTAAGATTATACTTTTCAACAAGTATACTAGAAAGTATAAAGAGATGTATCTCTTCACAACGTAGCTGTGCTATACAGACAAAACTTTAATTGCTTTGACACTCCTTTCATATTTTTTGTTTTAATGTTTCTCAAGTAATAATCCTCTTGACAACGAGTGTCTGACTTGATTACACATTCTGTCTTTGCCTCTGTCATTCGATTGATTAAAGTTAAATAGGTCTTTTTTATTTAACTGCACGAGAATATTTCTCTTACATTCTATATGGTACACTACTTCTATACAAATCTATAGAATCCAGGACTGGCCCCTAATTCTTCTTGCCAACTGTATGTCTTTTTGCATTATGGTGACCCTCTTAGCATGGATTGCACACAAGTTCGTATCTTCCAATAAATGAACTAAAAACGATTCCAGTGCCTCCTGCAACGCCAAAATTGCATTACTTTGCCATCTCAACCCATAGTCAGGTCCCACAAATTCAAGACTAATTTCCCTTACCAATCGTGCAAATGGTAACTTTCGAAGTAACAAACTCGTTGATCGTTGGTACTCCCTGATCTCTTTTAGTACTTTAGCTCCAGGACGGTACCTCTTCTTTACCCGCGGAGCTGTCCTCACACTCATGCTTGTAGCAGCTTCTCGTCTTCTTTGTTGTTGCTGTTGTGACGCAGATACTGACGTGGATCGAACTGTTTCAACTACATCACCTGGCTGATTTCGAAAGATGCCCACTTGTGATATCCTACTCATATTTCTGGATGATGATGATGTTGGTCCTGCGGTTGATGATGATGACGATGCAATTGGGGATGTTTCTCGCTCTCTTCGTAACTGTTGCTCTTGTTCCCTTAACAAATCTCTATCTCTCTCTAGTAGCTGTTCTCTCTGACGCAATTCTCTTTGTCTTCTTAACTCTTCTCGTTGTTGTCTTATGGCGGCTGCACTACTTCCTTGACCGGTTTGTCGTCCACTTGTTGACAGTTGTTCTGACGGTTTGGCCATTGTACCTTACTTTGGTTATAATTTCCAATAATATAATGGGTTGAATTATCTCGTTCTTGATCCAATGGTCTGCGATGGGTTATGGTTGAAAAAGATCACTGGAGTGATGAGAATATTAGAATGGAACCTTTTGTGACTTAGAAATTTTCTTTTTTTTTTTTTAATTTTTGACTTCCATTGATTTCTCGCGACTTTTGATTTTTTCCTCTTTGGTACATTTTTTTTAGCATTGATTTAGCCAGCCATCTTCTCATACAAAAAAAAAGGGGAATCCCCTTGAATCAACACACCTTCTATGGATTGTATAACTCCTATACCAAACAATCATACAATTCCGACTCAACAGTTTTATCTTCGAGTGCTGATTAAGTAGTTAAACTGGTACGGATATTTACGATACTTGTCTATTTGTTAACCACAAAATTGCCAGACCACATTAACAACACATCCTCTTCAGCCTTGTTTAGGATTAATTATCAGAACCTAACCATTCAGTACCAACTTGTCATTACCACTGTACTTTTTTTTTAGAAAATCCACCAAGGTTCTGTAAATACGGGTTTTTTCATCCAGTAGTTAACAAATTCCAAATCGCTTGATGACGTCGTTGGTCGTGTGAAATCAATCAAAAAAGCTGCATTGGGTAAAAATAGATACGCCACATACGCTTACCATATCAGGCAAGTGTGTTACCCAAAACAAAGCAGCAGATGTGATTTAAATCTACGACAAGGTAATTGACCAATAAGAGTTGTGAACGGTGTGTTTTGTCAAGTGGCAGAACCAATGTCCATTGATCTTTTGCCGAATTTTTTTGTTCTCGAGAGTAAGATTTATTAAGGTTGCTATCACTAGATTGTCTTGGTATGCATCTTGAAGTTTGTTTTATTTTGATTTAAACTTCTTCTAGTCCACCATGGTACAACAACGACCATCAGTAATTACGATTCCAAGTGAATTATTTTGAATGTTCAGCCTTATTAGAAAACGCGGTGGCGGCGGGTACTGGTGTGGAATTCGTCTCTTCTCTTCTCTTGTCTAATCTCTCCAAAAATTTTTTTTTCGTTGTTTGTTTATTTTACTAAGTTTATAGTAATTAATGAAAATGGACGACGAAAGAGATCCGCACTTTCCCTCCATTATAATTTAGCAATTAAAATTGATTCTTTGTATCTAATTATTTTTCGCTCCTCCTTTTTGGGGAGCGCCTGTTCTTTTTACAATAACAATTTTTGCTAATATTCCATGCTTTCTTTCTCTTTGTTGTGTTGAAGATTTAGTCTTTCTATTTTCTCTTTGGTTTGCTTTTTTTTTTGAATTTTTTTTTTTTTTTTCAAACCAAATTTGGTTTTTGTTCGTCGATTGTTTTTGAGCCATTTCATCCACGCCCACCACCATTACTGCAATATTTGCTGTTCTCTCACCACAAATTTCAGGTTTTTCTTTTGTTCATTTCTTTTTTTTTTTCTTGTTCCCTATTTTTCCATCATCAATTTAATTATTGCATTCTTTTTTTTTTTCCCTTTTAATTTACTTTCCCCTTTTCTTTTTCTTTCTTTCTTTCATTTTTTTTTTTGAAAAAGCTTTGTCTTATCATCATCATTTCACGTCAATCCAATTGAACTCGGAAATGTCATATTCAGCATATAAACCAGCTGGTAAACCGTTATCAGCAGAAGCTTTGTATCATCAAAGATTGAAACAAGGGGTATTCCAATCTCCAAGTGGAACAATTGTCGGTGTCAATTCTAATGCCTCAGATACTGCTGCCTTATTGGCCGCCTCCTCTGATTTGACTGTTCAACCTTCTTATGTCAGATCTGTTGCCCCAGAAGCCCATAATGCTGCATTGGCCGCAAAGCAACAAGATATCCAAATATGGCAAAGGGGCCAAGAAGATCCAGATGCCAGTGCCGCAGCTACCAATGCCAAAAGATCCAGCACCATGAATTCAGCCACTCCAGCACCTGTTAAAGTTGGTATTCCTTCAATGAATTCTACTACCGTTTACAAGGCAGCCAATGCCAGATCTACATCCACCATGACCTCGAGAATTAACCCAGAAAAGGACATTAGAAGAACTGGTATACAATCAAAACAACAAGCAACTTCTTTGAACATCGACAAGATTAATAGATTGGCCAATAAAAATTCTACCAAGTCCTTGAGCTCCCGTTTCAACCCTGAGTTGGACTACAGATCTGGTATCAAAAAGCAACAACCAACAGAATTTTTGGATCAATCCGAAGAAGACTTGGCCGCCTCGGGAGCAAGTGCTTCATTGAAACACGGGGCCGGTTTATCTGATCAATTTTCCTCCCAAAGAAGAGCCAAAACTTTCAACGCTGCCGATGTTGTTAATGCCTCTTTATTAAAAGCTGCTAATGAAAAGGCCAATGTTAGATTGAATTCAATCAAATCCAGCAATCCAGCTACCTTGAAAGCCCAAGCCCAATTATACGCCAACGCCTTAGCCTTGGCTCAACAAAGATCAGACGAAAGAGTGAAGAACTATCAAACTGGTATGGTCAACTTGGGTGGAGGTTTGACCATTAGTCAAGCAGAATTGGACAACTTGGCCTCAACCTATGTCCAACCAATCTTGAGTGACATCGAGGGAAAAGCTGAAGCCAAGAGACAAGTTGACCTTGAAAAACAACAAAGACAATTGGAATTGAAGCAAAAGCATGAAGATGCTAAAAGACAAGAAAAAGAAGCTAAAGCTCAACAAGAAAGAGATCTCGAAATCGCTAAACTAGATAGACAAGCTAAACATGGTAAACGTAAGGAAGCTGAAGATACTAAGTATGTTGAGTACCAAGCTAGCAGAAACAAAGAGGTTGAAGACAAGAACCAAGAATTCAAGGACGTCGAAGCTAAACATGCCGAAGAAAAGGAAGCCTTATTGAAGGAAAAGAAGGAGAACCAGGAGAGAATTGACCAAGAAGAAGCTGACAAAATCGCCGAAAGAAAGAAGGAATTGGATGACTTACAAGCAGAAAAGGATGAAGAATTGAAACCAACATTGGATGAGTTGGCCGAAGAATCCGCCAAATTAAAGGAAGTCACCAATGCAAGAGATGAATTGGCCAACGAAGTTAAAGCATCTGAAAATTTACAAAAAGAATACGAAGAGAAATTGGCTGAATTGGAGAGCAAGTTGGAAGAAACCAAGAACGACATTGAGAAATACACTGCTGATTTAGAAACTGCCACCAACAAGCATGAAAGTACCGACAAGGAATTGAGTGAGTTGCAAGAATTGCACGATAAGGAAAAGTCTGAAGCTGAAAAGGAACATGAAGAGTTAGATGCTAAATTAGAGCAGTTAGAGAAGGAAAAAGAAGGACACATCGAAGACAAAGCAACAAAGAAGAAGGAGATTTTAGCTGCCCTCGATGAAAAGGTTAAAGATGAACACAAGATCAATTCGGAATTACCTGAACATTTGAGATTTGATGTTGATGAAGGTAAAATCAGAGACACTAGTTCCTTATTTTCTGCTGAAGAACCAGAAATCAAGAAAGTATCCTTGATACCTGAAGGTGAAGCTGAAGACAAAGGTAAGAAAGCTCCTGCTTCTCAGAAAGTTGTAAGCTTGGTTGATGCTGTTGATACTGGTGCTGCCACCGAAGCTGCCGCTAAACCAGCTGCTGCTACAACAGAATCTGCTGCCAAACCAGCCGCTGCCGCCGCCGCCGCTGAAGCCACTAGCAAGAGTACCACTGCTACTCCTGTCAAAAAAGCTGCTGCTACTGCTGCTCCTGTTACACCAAAACCTGAAGCTAAGAAGAAAGCTTCCTTCTCCAGAAGATTAAGTTCTATTTTCAAGTACACAGGAGTTGATGAGAATAAGAATAAACCAGCTGCCAAACCAGCTGCTAAACCAGCAACTACTGCTACACCAGTCAAGAAGGAAACTACTGAAAAAAAGGCTACTGCTGAACCAGCTGAATCCAAGCCAACTGAAACCAAAGAATCAGAACCAAATCCAACTGAAACCAGTAAAGAAACCGAGGAACCAAAAAAAGAAGTTGAACCAAAACAAGTTCAACCAGCTGCTAAGGATGCCGAGAAAGAAGCCAAGGAAGACGTTTCAGAATATGGTGACTTTGAAGATGACATCTCCTTAAGCAAGAAAGAAAACAAAGGAGGTGTATTCACTGAAGAGATTTAAAGAGATTGTATTTAATTGTTTTGTTTTTGTTTACCTTATCTAACAGGTTGCCCCACCAAAAAAGTACTTAACACCCATCAAATGCAATTTTTTTTTGTTCTTTTGTATTTTTCTATTTTTTTTTTTTATTTTCAATTCAATTCGTATTAACTTTTTGATTGACACTTTATCGTTATTATCATTTGAATAGTACCTTTTTTTATTATTATCTTTATTCATATGTTTATTTTTTTTTGTTTATTTAACTTTTTATGTCTTAATATATTCTCATACAAATATTCATGTAAAAAGAAGAAGAAGACGTGATGGTATATCTCTGGAGCGGAAGAGAAAGAAAATGAGGGAGGGAGAAGAAGACGAAAAAAAAAAGGGAAGACGAAGGAATAAGTACCTATTTTTGACAACCCACATTTGATTCAGCCCAACACCTGATTTGCCATGTCTACTTTTTTACAATCATTTAAGATTTCTCAAGCCAGTGATGAATATAAACAACGTCGAAAGACTCAAATGTTAAAATTTTTCACCGCATCTGCTATAACTATCCTAACTTCAAGATTCGCCTATCGTTCAACAATTGCCAGACAGTATGTTCCAACATTATTCCAAGGTAATCATTCTCCACCATTAAGTTATAATTTCACCACTGATGCAGCAGTTGCTGTTGCCACTGGGACAATTTTATGTGGAAGTGTGTCAAGTATGCTTGTTTTGGGTGGTTTTTGGATTTTGGATGTTCTGAATTTAGGTGAGTTTGGTTGGAGAATGAAAGAAAAACTTGGTGGATTGGAAAAGGAGAAACACTTAGGAGAAATGGAAATGGATGAAGAAAGTAGGTACATTCAAGATAGTTTAAATGATTTGTTAGATGGTAAATATGATTTCGAAGAAGAAGGAGGAAATAATTCAGTAGCTTAAACTTCTAAAGGTGGTGATCCAATCACTCACCCTCCCTGTAAATAGATAAAGAAAGAGTAATGTATAAATATTCAGAATGTAAGACTAATACTAATCACATTAGTTTGTACTCAAATTCCAGCCATATGCAATCACTAATAGTGCTTGTAATTGGTGGTCGAACAGATACTATGGCATAGCTATGGAGAGCTATCATTTATATGTAATATTTACAATGCATTCTAGATGATAAATATACACCACGAGTATGTTAACGTCCATTCTATCTGTCCCCTTTGGAATTGATATTGCAAAATGAAAAACGAGTGAAAACAAACCAGAAAAAAAAATAATAAAGGTTCATCCAATTTCAGAACAACACCATTTGGAAGTGGAAGTGGAAGAAAGAAGAAAATATAATCAAAAGAAAAACAAACAAACCGGAAAAAAAAATACATACGCTACACCTGTGTCACCAGCGAACATCAATTAACAATAATCCAGGGATATTGTATTCATCTACAGCTTTACATTTGATAAATCACAATAGAATTATATTTAATCTTTACTTCATCCATATATTTGATTGTATTAATTTTAGTTTTTTAGATAATTCCACGAACGAAGAAGAAAAAGAAAAAAGAAAAACTAACCCAAAAAAAAAAACAACAACGAAAGGAAATCAACTACACCGTGCAATATTTCTTAGATATATCCTTACAATTAGATGTCAAATACTCAGATTTATTCAGCAACATACTCCAATGTTCCAGTATTTGAGTTTGTGACCTCAGAGGGTCCAATTATGAGACGCAAACTGGATTCATGGATCAATGCCACGCATATCTTGAAGATTGCCAAATTCCCCAAGGCTAGAAGAACAAGGATATTGGAAAAAGATGTACAGACTGGAGTACACGAAAAAGTACAAGGAGGTTATGGTAAATATCAAGGAACTTACGTGCCGTTAGAGTTGGGTGCCACAATTGCAAAGAATTTTGGTGTTTATGATGTTTTGAGACCAATATTCGAGTTCAAGTATATCGAGGGGGAAACAGAAGTACCACCACCAGCTCCAAAACATAATCACGCATCTGCATTGAACATAGCCAAAAGACAAGCCCTGTTATTGAAAAAACAAAAGGATAAACAAGTATCCGTGTCAGCTTCGTCAGATGATAGTACCAGTACCGCAACCAGCACTGTTCCCAAAAAGAGGGGCAGGCCAAAACGCCCAACGCTCAGTGCCACTCCATCATTATTGAAATCAGATACAACTCCAATTGAACAAAGTTTTAATAGTGCTAGTGCCAGACCCTCGTATGCTGGACACTTACCGTCCACACTTTCACGACAAGATACAGAACAAGATGCTTTGCAAATCATGACTAATAATATGAATCTAAGACAAGAAGATTTAGCCTCAGTTGGCACCGATGACGAGGAAGATGATAAGGGAGTGCTAGGAAATGCGAACGGCAATGGAGGTGCATTATCAAACAAGAGAAGGAAGTACCCCTTATCGATGACTAATGGTAATGGATTAGAATCACAAGCGGAATTATTGACGTCAAAAGAATTGTTTGGTGTATCGAGAACTTCGTTTGAAAAAAGATCAAATCAGCAACATAATATCTACCTGCCATTACAGCCGTACCACCAGCCAAGCATTACATTGTCGCAAGAAAACCAGATATACTCAGAGTATTTCCAAGGGTTGTTAAATTATTTCCTTGATGATAATAACAGAGTGCGATCACAACTCCCAGAAAGGCTTATTAGCCCACCATTGCCATTATCAAAAATACATATAAATCAAGCGATTGACACCGAGGGCAATACCATTTTTCACTGGGCATGTTCAATGGGAAATTTGAGCATCATTGAGTTTCTAATGAGAACATTCACGCACGAAATCAATCCAGATGTGAGAAACAATTGTGGTGAAACACCCTTGATGTTTATGGTCAAATTCAACAATTCATTTCAGTTGAGAAATTTCCCACAGATTTTGGAAGTCCTTGGCGATTCCATGCTTTTGGTAGACTCCAACGGCAAGACTGTATTACACCATATTGTTGACGCTGATAATAAACATAAAAGAGAAAAGTTTGCTAGGTACTACATGGAATGTTTGTTTAAAAAGTTGGTCGACGGTGTAAAACCAGAACCATCTAATGATAATAAGAAAGCTAACCGTGGGAACATCGGTGACAATGATGAAGGTCGACTTGGTGTGGGTATGAAGGATGGCGGTGGTGAAGATAATGCTTTAGAAGAAGAAGACGACGAAGATTTACCTTCTACGCAGGTTGATGAGGAAGCTAAAAATGAATTGGTGTCCAAGTTCATTAACCATCAGGATTCCAATGGTAACACTGCTTTTCATATTGCTGCATATAACTTGAACAAAAAGTGTATCAAGGTGTTTATACTTTATCATCGTTTTATTAATTTTGGGTTGAGAAATTTGGTTTCATGTACTGTTGAAGATTACTTGGCATCCCATAATTATGTATTGAGATTAGATCCTACAGAAAACGATGATCAACATAATGGTAATGATGATGAAGATACGATAGAAGACACGACTAATGAAAACCAATCATTTGAAACACAATTGCACAATTCAAAGACTGCTATCAATTTGCAAAATAGCACTGCTAATCAACTTACTGAAAAAATGACGCAATTGGCATATGCAATAGATTCTGAGTTGAGCGAAAAGGATGAAATAATATTGTCGTACTTTAAGATTTTGAACGAGATAAATGAAACAAAGTTGGCATCACAGAGAAATATATTGTCATTTTTCAAATTGGATCATTTAATTGATGAATTAGAACAAAACAGGGAATCAAGCCAGGACCCAAATGATGATGCTAATAACAATAATTTATATCTCGATTTCAAACGAGATCATATTCTCCAAGAAGAAATATACCGATTAATGAATGATTTGACCTATCAAGCATTGCACGAGAAAGATGAGTTGGATACACTTGCAAAGAGATATAAAAACACAAGGGAAATTTTGCAGTCAAAGATTTTGAAAAGTTTAGAGATCAATGGAAATTCGGAAGCCAGTGTTGACAAAAGAGAAGAGTTTGAATTAGCTAGGGAATTGCAAGCGGAAATTATCAAGCGAAAACAGTTGATGGAAAAGATTTTAGCCAAAACCAAAGATGTTCCAGTTGAACAACGTGAATCTCCGAAATCAATAATCAACCGATACTCAATGGATGATAAATTGTACAAATATTGCAAACTAATATCGTTGAGCTGTGGTATGCAAATTGAAGAAATCGAAGGATCGATCGACGCAATTGAAGAGTCATTGGTAAAGAACAAGTAGTGGAAGACGATTATACCTTTGTATACTTTTAATTATTTTGTACTATTATTTTTATTACTAGTTAGCATATATTTCTCTACATCGACCATTCCGTCTTCGGTAATGGAACTTGGCTTCGAGAAGTAATTGATACCTCAAACACACTTGCACTACCCCCAAACAGGTGTATACATGAACGCATTCGTTTCATTGCAGGGCAATTACTGCTTTTCCAGGATCGGTGTTTTCAGTATGATTCAAGCACAGGAATCAGAAGAAAAAGGGGAAGTTTGCATTAACACACAAAATAAATTATATGAGTAAAGCATCATCAGATGACTATAAACTCAAAAAAAAAAAAAATAAAGGACTAGAATGATAAAGAAAAGAAAGGGAAGAAGAGACCAGTATCGATCCATGAATGATAATAAATATTGTAACTTTAAAGAAGTGTTTAATTTGCAACAATAAGGTGTATTTTCGTAAGTGGTAAACTAGAGAGCTAAATTAAAGGTATGCAATGAGGAGATTAATCGGCATTGTTTTTTTTATTTTATATTTTTACTTTTCCCCTTTGGTCGTTATCTATAATTTATCATTTTAATATAATTTGAGCGATTTTCACGATGCATTAGTTAATCGTGCAATTATTTTTCAAAGACAATAAGAAGCAGTGCGTAGTCTACATTTATGGATGTTACTATGTGGTTCACTGAGGATTGAGCCGGTAGGGATGTATAAAGACGTTGCCCGTTACATTATCCTCCACTAATTTATCAGCATTCTCTATGGTAAAACTGTTAATTCATCATAGTTTGGTGGAAAAAAAAAGAACAAAAAACAAACCACATTGTTTCGGAAGTGCAACTAGAAGCCCCCCAGAAAGGTATACGACAAGAAATAGACTCAAAAACTCTTCTATGTTTCTGATTCTTGTAATGGAGGTCTCAAAGGACCAGATAAGTTTATTACATTATACATTATAATGGTCCTACCAAGGTTTATCATTGAGCACTTATTATAAACTCAAACAAGAATCAACGGAATCATACTTGGGGATTTCTTTTGAGTTTTAACTGATGCATCTCGCAAGTGACACTAAATTGATTACAAATAATCCTTCTAAAGTGTCAAATGTGAGCCAATATTGTAGTGCGGTGATTTTTGAAGTTAGAACCAATTATCCTCCTAGCCACAGACTGGTGGTGATTCAATTTGCACCCAATTTATTATTTTGAATCCTTTCACAAGTCTATTTTCTGTTTCGTTTATTTGGTGGACGGGATGGACCTCCACAAGAAGGCTTATTTTGTATAAAATGATTCCTAACCATGACCAACACAAAACAGGCGGGTATGCATAATCTATATTACAGATAAAAAAAATTTTTTTCCTCCTTTAATTTGCTTTGTTCATTCTTACTATATGCAATTAACTAAATCAGGGAACGAACTCAAACTAGTGCCGTATTGACAGACAAGATGACTTCGTGAAAAAAAAATAGAAAATAAATAAAATAAATAAAATACAGTTTCGCTTTATTTCACAAGTTTCAGTATACCCCAGACTACAACATATCAACATCTAATGGGAGCCCCGAAACAAGTCAGAGTAAAGGACGTATTTGTCGAAGAAGAAATTCATACTCAACTGTATGAAGAGCACTCCCCCTCATCAAGTTCAGACCAGGAAGATGATACATTAGAGACAGAAGAACCACCATCATCCTTCTGGCAAAGACTCATCAAAACCCTCGAGGTGCAGCCCAGGGGAGGATTATCCACGGCTCAGATGTTCTTGTATAACCATGATTTGCGTCCCGTTGAGGAAGCAAGACGTCAGTGGTCGTGGTATAATTATGTCTTTCTTTGGATCTCGGATTCGTTCAATATCAACACCTGGCAGATTGCCGCCACGGGTATCCAAGCTGGGAAAATGAATTGGTGGCAGACTTGGTTGAGTGTTTGGTTAGGATATGCATTGTGTGGTATATTTGTCAGTATTGGGTCACGAGTCGGTTTATTCTACCACATATCTTTCCCTGTGTCAATCAGAGCATCTTTTGGTATTTATGGTTCATTATGGCCGGTGTTCAATCGTGTTTTCATGGCCTGTGTCTGGTATGCTGTGCAAACGGCCATCGCTGGTCCAACATTTGAACTTATGTTGCATTCCATCTTTGGCAAGGATCTTCCTGAAAGAATCCACGACACCATCCCTGATAAAGATTTAACCACGTTCCAGTTCCTTGGGATTTTTCTTTTCTGGTTGTTTGAATTGCCTTTCTTGTGGTTTCCTCCACACAAGATTAGACATTTGTTCACAGTGAAGGCATACACTGTCCCTGTTGCCGGTATTGCGTTCTTGGTATGGACCATAGTCAAAGCTGGTGGAGCTGGTCCGGTATTTCTGCAGAAATCACAAGTACACGGTTCTGCTTTGGCATGGGCATTTGTTGAATCGACATTCACATCGTTGGCCAATTTCTGTACTTTGATCATCAACGCCCCCGATTTCTCACGTTTTGCCAAAGAGCCATCCTTTGCCATGAAGTACTTGGTTTACACGTTGTCCATTCCAATTTGTTTCTCATTGACATCGCTTATTGGTATTTTGGTCACATCCGCATCGCAAGCAATGTACGGAGAAGCATTCTGGTCACCGTTGGATGTGTTGAAAATGTTTTTGGACGATTACACACCAGGAAACCGTGCTGGTGTCTTTTTCATTTCTGCTGCATTTGCATTGGCACAATTGGGTACCAACATCTCGGCAAACTCGTTGTCGTTTGGAACTGACTGTGCTGCCTTGCTCCCAAGATTTTTAAACATTAGAAGAGGAAGCTATATCTGTGCGTTTTTGGCGCTTGCTGTTTGTCCCTGGAAGTTGATTTCCTCATCCTCCAAGTTCACCACGTACTTGGCAGCATATGCTGTGTTCTTGTCATCTGTTGCTGGTGTGGTTGCGTGTGATTACTTCTATTTACGAAGAGGGTACATCAACGTCATCAACTTGTACTGTTTGCACCAGAAGGACGACCCAAGCAAGAAGTCGCTCTACCGATACAACAAAATTGGCGTAAACTGGAGAGCTTATGCGGCTTACATCTGTGGTATTTTGCCAAACATTGTTGGGTTTGTTGGAGCTACCGGAGCCCGTAAAGTCCCTATAGGTGCTACGGAAGTATACAGGATGAATTTTTTTATGGGTTTCTTTAGCGCTTGGATCGTGTATGCTGTTTTGAACTTTTACTTCCCAGTACCCACAGGTACAGAGAAAGTTGGACCATTTGAAAAAGGCTGGTTTGAAGAATTGCCCGATGTGGAATCGTTTGACGATGAGTTGCTTGGTAAGAGCAAGAAGCTACAATAGGTAAGTAGAATTTATCAGCATGATTTTGAGTATTTTATAAGATATACAATGGTTACGAATAAATGATTTTCTTCACTGTAGATAGGGCATTCACCATCAGTAATAGCCCATCAATAACATTAATTTGCTATACTGTAAACAACTTACTGCAAAAAAAATATCCTGTCTGTTTGCATCCAAACTAATTTCCGGCATATTGGCGTTGTAGTTTGATTTAACTTCCCGACGACATACATGCGGGAGAAAATTTATTTGTCTCCTCAAATGTCGGTGAAAAAAAAAAGAAAGCTCTGGGGAACCACCAACCAACCAATCTGCACTTAATACGACCACCATACAAATTGATTATTCTAAATGCAAACATTAAGAGTCGCATATATTCCGGAACATTTTTCAACACCATTGTTTCTTGCTGAAAAACATGGGTTCTACAAGTCTCGCAACCTTCAAATTGAGTTTGTCAAGGTCCCAGAAGGAAGTGGAAGATTGATCCAATTGTTAAATGCCAACGAGGTGGATATTGCTATCGGTTTGACCGAAGCTTTCATTGCTGATATTGCCAAAGGTAACCAGAATGTCCACATTTTGGACACATATGTGAAGTCTCCATTGTTATGGGCTGTATCCACCGGACAAGATCGTGACATATCTAAAGTTGAGGATTTGAATAAGATTGGTGTCAGTAGAATTGGATCAGGATCCTACATAATGAGTTTTGTCTTAGCCAACAAATTGGGAATTAAACCATTTACAGAGTTTGAGGTTTTGTCAAATTTCAAAAACTTGAGAGATTCGGTGAACTTGAAATCTAATGTCTCACCCTCCGATGCGTTCATGTGGGAATACTTTACCAGTAAGAAATACTATGACACTAAAGAAATCAAACAGATAGATCAAATATACACTCCTTGGTCATCATGGGTTGTTGCATGTTCATCCGACGCCATGAAGAAGCCATTGAAAGATTTCATTGGTGCTGTTGGTGAAGGTATTGACTATTTCAACAACAATTTAAACGAAGGTATCAAGTATATCTATGAAACCTTGGATTATTCTGAAGAGGATGCAACAGAATGGACCAAGACTGTGAAATTTAACTCAGACATCGGTAAAACCCCATTAGATTGGGAAAACATTGTCGTTAATACTACAAACATTTTAAAGTTGGCTGGTGTGTTGACTGACTCAGATGAAACCATATCAAGCAGATTGCTGTCAAACGTCAAGAAAACAAACTTGTAGATATACAAGTAAATCAGTATAGTGTTGTCGTATATTTAAAATTCTATAGTTTTTCACAGACCCAAAATTCACATTTGAACACAAATGAACCCAACAGCTTAATATCTTTACAATAACTGCTCTCTATGCCAGATTGATGTTTGCGGAAAGCAAAACCCAAATTTTCTATAAGTTGCACAAGGTCTTCCCTTGACAATTCCAAACCTTTTTTAATATCTGGTACCGACGAATTGTCCCCCCTTTTTACGTATGTGACATTGTAGTCACTTTCAAAGTGCCATAGTAACGGACCAAAATTTATCCATTTGCCTCCCTGTTTCAACACATTATGGATGGCCCTTATATAGTCAATTATATTACTTGCAGTGTCAAGGAAAAAATTAGTAACCACAACATCAAAGGCACCTTGACTGGACCTTCGTACTTCATTGGCAGCTGGGTCTGAAAGATTGGTTTCTGGGCGTTCAGCTCCGTAAAGTTCAAGAAAAGAGCCCGCAGTGATTGACATCAAGTCTCCGTACGGTATATTTGGGAACTCGTGGCTAAGTTCATTCAAAATCGCAAAGGGTGCAACATCTGGGATGGTGACTCCTCGTGTTTGGTAAGCCCGCTTAACCAAGTGTGAAGATTTCGCCAAGAACGGGAATATAGTGTGGCTATGAGGAAACTGACAGCTATTCAAAATAAAACTTGATGTCAATAACATATGATAACTGATTTCATTTCCTTGTGTCCAGAACCCTCTCATCACCAATTCTAAAACCAATCTACCCAATCCACAACCGGGGTTCAAAATTTTCACTTTCTGTCGCTCCAACTTATCAGGGTACATATCTTCCAATTCAGAAAGAATCAAAGAAAATGAGATTTCCCTTTCTCCTTGACCCTCATCACTCCACTCTCTTGTCAATTGAAGCAATGTCGTTGAAGTGATATCGAATTCGGAAGAAGTGGCTGGGCTCCAATCTAAATGGCTCCCCATAACTCCCCACTCTTGAGCAATTGTTGTCGCTAAACTTTCAGTGAATTCACGATTTATTCCAATACATTGTTTTAATTGATCTGTATATTCTTGATACCAAGGAAGTAAACCTTTTTCTTCTTCAGTCATCGCCCCATACTTGATCAATCTGGGTTTGATGATATTCTCAAACTGCGACTTATAGAAATTATAGAACGACAGTAATGAAGCCGTTAAAGCCTTTTGTTCACCCTCATCCTGACTCATTTGATGAAATACTTCTTCTTTTTTCAATCCTCCAAAAATCCTTTGTCCTAGTTGGGAATTACTGTATGGATGGATATAGTTCGTCTTTCTTCTGGAGATGTACTATTTTCTATTTTTTTGGGCGCTCGCTTTTCCGCACTGATTGATGAAATTCGTTTCCTTGTTGTGTTGTGTCGGATTTCATTTTCTTTTTTTTTTTTCAATTCTCTTCAATTGCCAGTATACACACTCACAACATCTGATCTACTGAAACACCAGAAATACTCCAGTTGTTGAAAAAAAAATTTCATATTGTAATTGAGTTCATTAATCAGACTACTACAGTCCCACATGGCCCCTCCCAAGAAAGACGCATTTGCTGATTTATTTCAGTCTGCCAGTAGAGGTTCCAGCAACACAAACCTTAACTCTAAGTTGAACACTTTGTCCTTATCTGAAAGACAAAAGTTACAGGAGACTCCCAGCCAATTATATTCCCAACCACAATCCGTCAATTCAAGCTGGTCCAATGCTGATATATTGACTCCCAGCAGGCAAGCAAGTCCGGCAGCCGAGAGTGTGCAGCCAGTAGCGGCCCAAGGATCAGGTTCAAAGAAGGAAGTCTATGATGACCCATTTGATATTTTCAAAGATCAAAACAGCACTAGTAAAGAACAACCTAAGAAGAACCAGCTGACAGAAATTTCATTATTGGATGATGACTTTACTGACTTTTTTCAAGATTCAAGAGGTTCATCAAAGACACCTGCTGTTGCTGAAGATGCTAAGGATGATGTGTCCTTTTCACACAATGCAGCCCCTTCTACATCTGAACGAAATGACCGTCCTCGTGCTAAGCAACCAAGTCCACCACAGAAAACTACATCTCAATCCAAGTCTACTGAACAAAGAGATTTAATAGTTGCTGAATTGATTGATATTGGTTTTGATATCAACCAGTCAAATGAGGCAATCGATACTGTGGGGCTTGATTTACAGAAATGTGTCAATTATATTATGAACAAGAATTCTGGTGCTCAGACTGGCTCAGCTTCGAATCAACGACTGGAACAAATCAATTTCAATGAGATAGGTAACGACTTGTTCAAAAAAGCAAATAGTTTCATAAATTTCTCAAAACGAACGGTGATGAAGAATTTAGAACAGCTCAATGGACCAAAAAATAACAATCTACCAGAGTGGATGAGAAACCAGGCCAAATACAAGTCTGAGGCAATTGAAAAGAAGTATGGTGGAGAAGATTATGGTACTGATGAGGAGAATATCAATCATGCTGAAATTGAACGATTTATGAGACAACAACGTGAAAGAGAAAAAGAAAGATTCAGCCGTTCATCGAGCCCTAATGTTCCTCCAAAGAGATCCGAATCTTCCAGAACTGCATCTCCAGTTCCCGAATTACCTCGTCGACCACCAAGAACCAAGGTTTCAACTCCTGTTTTACCTAGAAGACCACGTTCAACTAAAGAAGAACTGCCAAGTTCCAACGAAGAGTCTAATGGCAGATCTAGCAACAATGTTGCACAATCATCACCATCAGATCAGGCCACTCCTGTAGCAGCACCACAACCCCAAGCAGAACCATCTGTAGATCTTCTAGGTCTTGGATCTGAACAGCAAGAAACATCAGCAAATATATCAACCATACGTGATTCAAGCCCATTGAATCAATTCACTCAAACTGATTTTGCTACTGCAAAAGAGAAGGCAACTGGATCATTCAAATCAGGAGATTATTCACTGGCATTAGAGTCATATTCGTTATGTCTTTCCCTTTTACCACCGACTCATGAGTTGAGAGTTGTTATATTATCAAATTTGGCAATGGTCAACAAATTGCTGGGTCATTTAAGAGACAGTTTGACAAACATCGATGAAGCACAGAAATTAATAGCACCAGAGGAAATTATCAGTGCTCAACGTACAATCTCGGATAAACCAATTAAATATTGGAGCATCAAGTTGCTTTCAGTGAAAGCTGAAGTCTTGGAATTATTGGAAAAATATCCAGAGTCGTTGGAACTGTATCTAATGTTGATTCAGAAATTCAATTGCAACGATAAGAAATTTATGGAGGCCAAAAGACGTGTCGATAAAATTGTCAATCCGCAGAATTATTCACGTCCAAAATCAAGTAATTCGTCTTCACCAGCTCCTTCAAGGTCTGCAACTCCAAATACACCCAAACCAAAAGTGACAAAGGAAGAAGAAATAGATCCCTTATTCAAAGACGGCATCAATGAACGAATCCAGAAATGGGCTGAATCTAAACAGAACAACTTGAGAGCCATGTTAACTAATTTGAATGAAATAATCCCAGCTACAGTGTCAATGAATGACAAATCGAGAAATTTAACGTTGAACGACTTAATGTTGCCAAAACAGGTGAAAATACAGTACATGAAGGTCATTAGTAGTATACATCCAGATAAGTTAGCATCACAACCAAAAGAACTGCAATTAATCTGTACTGGAGTTTTCATAATATTGAACAAAGCTTGGGAAGATTTCAAGGAAAGTAGTTAGAAAGGATATATTTACAGAATCGATACACAACTAAATAAAATTCAAAAAGTAGCTCAAGTGTAATTATATATTTAATTGTCAAACGAAATCTCTGATCTCGTTTTAAATATCATATGGCAAGCAACCAAATCTGCGTAATATACGTTCTATACCATTCATACCAGCTTCTAAATGGTGTAATTCAGGACCATAACTGATTCTAACATAATGATACCAAATGATTTCTTCAATATGGGCCAAATTTTGTGGGTTGATCAAAAAGAAAAAGCCAGGAACAACAATGACTTTTTCATGTAAACATTCATGGAAGAATCCCAATGCGTTGCTCAATTTTCCAGGTAAATGACTCAAATTTAACCACAAGTAAAAAGTTGAATTTGGAATTGTTTTTTTGGTGAATGGGAACCCCATCTTGGTTAATCTACCGATGACATAATCACGCTTCATCTTGAAATGCATTTGTAAAGCTTTCATTTCTTGTTGTACTTTCAATGGTTGCAAAAACTCAACAGCAACATGTTGTAATGGCGAATTCGACCCACCATCCAAATACGAACCTGCAGAGGAAAGGGCATTTATATAGTCTTCGGGACCAACAACCCAACAAATTCTCCAACCAGGCAATCTAAAAGCTTTTGTCAAACCATTCAAAATCAAAACCGGATCATGATTGACATCCTCAATGTATTCAGCAGAACTGATTGAAGAACCAGTACACCCTTCATCATAATAATAATGAGAATAAAATTCATCCATGATAAGTAAACATTTTTCACGACACATACGGTGTAATTCACGTAATTGATCTCTCGATAAGCAATTACCAGTTGGATTTCTTGGATTAGAAGTCAAAAGTGCACCCATACCTCTAGCCAATTCATCTTTGATCAATCCCAAATGTAATTCAAAATTATCCATTTCTTTTAATGGACAAGGAATAGGGGAGAAATTTTTCATTGTGGCAATAAGTTCAGAATAAGCAGTATAATCTGGAAGGAAAAAGGACAAATAAACATCACTGATAATACTGGCAATTCTAGTCAATCCAGCTCTGCCACCTGGAACAATACAGACATTTTTGTAAGTATATTGAGATGGCTTTCCTTGACGATATGTAACATTATAGTAGTTGGCTACAGCTTCTCTAAGCTGTTTGATACCTGCTGTCGGGGCATATTCACGATAATCAACAGGCAAGTTAATTTGTTTAGGTCGAGGGAATGATCCTGGGATGGAGTCACCATGTTCTGGAGCACCTTGACCTAAATTAGCCCAATCACCAACGTGTTCTGAATCATAACCATACTCCGAAGCTCTTTCGGTTGCCCATAACACACCAGTAGAAGACTGTTTGGTATTCAAAGCTGGTTTGTATGTGTTTTCATTGAACCTTGGTTTAGGTAAGGGGATAGGGGAATGATCTCTACCATTTTCCAGCTGAGACAACTTGGAAATCAAGTGTTGTCTGAGATTGGCATTTCTCAAGTTTGGTGTAGCTTGAGGAGGTCTTCCAGAGATATCCTGGTAAATGTCTTTAACATGTTGAGGCTGTGGCGATTGCAAGTGAGTATATTTGTTTGATTCGTGGTGTGAATCATCAGCAGTAGCATTAGCAAGTGCTTCAGTTTCAATTGCTTCAAGTAACGACGAAGCTGATCTTTGCAAAGCAGGAGGTAAAGTAGATTCCAATCTTTCGAATTCAACTATTGATTCTTCCTCGTTCTCTTCAGAGTCAATTGGAAACTTGAGATTCGACATTGCTAGATCTTTGATTTGGATAATGTAATTTGAATGTAAAAGTTCAAAGTGCCGTTGAATGCATATTTATATATAGCAATTGGAAAACACGGATACTGATTAGCCAGGAAAAAGTGGGGAGAAGGGGGACTACCTTACGAAACAGGGAGTCATTGTGTTTCAAAACTAAAATATAAAATAGGAAGATTAAAGTAAATAAGATTGGGATTAATGTCTGCCGATTGTTCCTTGGATATCTTTAATATTCCACATAATGTCAAATAGCAAAAGCATTAAAGTTACTTTCATTTTTTGTCACGTATCTATTGCGGTACAAAAGAATGGTAGTTCATTGGAATAAATCCGTCCCTTGCAACGAGAAGGTTCAACGGGGCAGCAAGAAACAAAAAAAAAAAAAATAAAAACAAAAAAAACATAAGAAATCAAAACAAAACAACAAGTGAACATCCAAATCAAGATGGAGAACCCACATGAACAAACTCATAATGCCTTATTATCAAGAATTATTAATAACATGGTATGTGGTCATCTCATGAATGCCAGAAAACAAAAGAACAGACTTACTAACTATGTCAAATAGGAAAATCTAAATGAATCGGTGGTGGCAGTCAACAAATCGTTACAACATATAAACAATAATAATCTACAAACAGAAATATTGGCACAAATGTGGGAAAATTACATTGGTAATTCCAAATACAACTTGGAGGTCACAGGTTTGAGAAAGGAACCATTGTCACAAACTAGAGAGGAGAATAGTTCATAGAGATTTACGATGAGAGATAACTCCCAGGACACGGCTCCATAATGAAACAGCTCCATAAGGAAACAGCTCCATAAGGAAACAGGCTTTCTTTTTATGTTCAACATTATAAATCTTATATTTTATTTGTATCGAAACTAAGTACCAATAATAGAAACCGTCTATCAACGACGCTAGAAACTATCGTCCTCATTATTATTACACTCATCTTACTTGTAAAACCATCAACTAAACTTACCTAACTCTATGGAAACTGTCAACTTATTTTTGGGTTGGCAATAAACCAAATCTCTTTTTCAATGTTACTCTTTGTCTGGAATATTTATCATCTGGGGAGAATCTGGCTGGGTGGGCAGATTTGGTGATTTCACCTGATTCAGTCAATTTCTTCAAGGTATAGATTCTCTTACCTTCAGCGTCTAAAGTGTACATCAAATGCATTGTAGATATTAAATATGTGTGTGATTGATTGTAAGAAACAGTTATGGGATCCGATGAGATAAAAATTTACCATAAAAATCAAAAAAAAAAAAGTGAAGACGAAAAAAAAAAAAAAGAAATTTCGTGCAAAGTACAAAACACGTGATAAATATCACGTTGGTAATACTTACATCAAATTATTAAAGAGTCTTACCATATTTCATATACAGCGGAAATCACGATATCTTTCACTATAATTTCATTCATAAGATACTAGATTCACGAGGTAAAGTACGTTGATGTGGGATATCCGGCACCCGTCAAATTAATTATACTTCTTTGTATATGTTTCTACTCCGTCTATTGAAGAAACTATAATTCTGACTATATATCCGACAATACAGAACTTTACTTAGATGATAAATTCTTGAGTTATTGATTATACTTTTTGTTTTGGTTGATCTCAGTGTAGGGCAACATGACGGATAACGCTTAGTATCCGAAGTAGCCAAAGATGGGCCTGTTTTCTCGTTGGTACCACTTTCTGATTCCCATTTCTTCGGTTACTTTAGAACAAATAGCCAATACCCTACTAATTTGCCTCGGTTGAACATAAGGTAATAAATCTGTACTGTACTTGCTTCGCGACTTAGTATTTTGTGCAGCTTTATATAAAAAAGTATATCCTTATAAATCCGCTTTTCCCCACACCAAATACTAAGGGGGGAGAAAAAACAAAAATTATAAATATTTAAATACCCTATATCTTGACCATACACAAGACCATAAAAAACAGAATAGAGGAATAATACCAATTGTAATCAATCACCATACCAATCATGTCTGCACCTGAACTCACCGAAATCAGATCACCTTTAGATCAAGAGAAGTTGAAGAAGTTCCTTGAAACTGTATCCCCATCGTCTAAGATTCATATTGGACACAATGCTTGTATCCCACAAAATTTCAAGCAAATTCAACAGTTTACTTTTGGTCAATCAAACCCTACGTATCTAATCACCGACACCAATGGAAAACGATTTGTTTTGAGAAGAAAGCCTTCCCCAAATTCAAAGTTGATTTCCAAACTGGCTCATGCAGTGGAAAGAGAATTTTTCATCTTAAATGCAATCAATATCTTGAATTCTGGTTCAGAACATATTGTTCCAGTTCCAAAAGTTCATGTTTTATGTGAAGATGAATCTGCCATTGGATATGTCTTCTATATAATGGACTACGTGAATGGTATTCAAATTAAGAACCCAAGTATGCCAGAAATTCCAGCGAAAGACCAGAAATATTACTGGGACTCTATTATCAAGACAATTGCCGCTATCCATTTATTGGATGCAGAGAAATTAATATCGTTGTTGCCTCCATTGCATTTCCCCCAATTCCAAGATGTTGCCAAATTAAAGACTACATCGTATTTTGCTCGTCAAGTCAAGACCTTAAATAACATTCACAAATTGCAGAGTCAACATGTTCCACCAATTCCCAACTTTGACACCATCACTTCATGGTTGTTGAAAAACGCACCACAAGATCCAGATAAATTGACCTTGATTCATGGAGATTTGAAAATTGACAATATTTTGTTTGACCCAGCCACAAAAACTGTATGTGGGGTTTTAGATTGGGAATTGACTACAATTGGGAACCCGCTTTTTGATTTGGCAAACTTTTTACAAGCATTTGAGTTTCCAAACAAGTTGAACCTCATGTTGTATTATCCACAGAAAACACAAATGGGTCGTGAAAACGAGGGTTCTGTCAAGTTTTTACATGAAAAGTTACAACAATACCAGACTTTAGTCACTTGGTCCAAGAAGAACCCAAGAAATAATCCAACTGATTTATGGGAAATCGGTCACACTTTTGGTTTGATCCGTCTCTGTGTTATTAGTCAAGGTATTGCTATGAGAGTCAAACAAGGTAACTCTTCCAATGCCTCCAGTGCTAAAGGATATGCCGCGATGTACCCATATTTGAGCGAGCTTGCCATGGGATACGTCACTAAAACGAAAAAGTCTTCTTCTTTGTAGGTCATAATATGTTTAGATTATTGTAATAGATAAAGTTTATATGATTTGCGTATCCATAACAAGCATCGAAAAGTATCAACATCTTCATGGCAGTATTACCATGGATGAATATTCTCTATGGTTTGACACACCGACAGTAAACAATAATATCAGGCGATATTTGGTGCACTTGTACGGGACTGAGGAAGAGAGAGAGAGAAAAAAAAAATTAGTCATTGCAGTGCCCGTTTTCGCGCATACACAAATTGTTACATTTGAGTTGAAAAATTTTCTGTGAACTCTTGTCTATACTTTTTTTTTTTTCAACTTTTTCATATCGTTAATTACAAACACAAATCAACCATGTCATCATTTGGTACATTATTCAAAGTTACAACTTACGGTGAATCTCATTGTAAATCAGTCGGATGTATAGTGGACGGATGTCCACCAGGATTGGCCTTGACTGAATCAGACATTCAACCTCAATTGACTCGTAGACGTCCAGGTCAAAGTAAATTGTCAACTCCAAGAGATGAAAAAGATTTAGTTGAAATCCAAAGTGGTACCGAAAATGGTGTAACTTTGGGATCTCCTATTGGAATGATTGTTAGAAACAAGGACCATCGTCCAGGTGATTATAGTGAAACTGATTTATATCCAAGACCAAGTCATGCTGATTGGACTTACATTCAAAAATATGGTACCAAGTCCAGCTCAGGGGGAGGTAGATCATCTGCAAGAGAAACCATTGGTAGAGTTGCTGCAGGTGCTATTGCTGAAAGAATCTTGACCAAAGTTAACAATGTTGAAATTGTTGCCTTTGTAAGTTCTATTGGTGAAGTTTCCATGAACAGATCTCCACAAGATGCTGAATTCCAAAAAATTTTGAACACAATTACTAGAGAAGAAGTTGACGGCGTTGGTCCAATCAGATGTCCTGATGCCAGAGTACGTGATGAAATGGTTAAAGTTATTGAAAAATACCGTGATGCCAAAGACTCGATTGGTGGTGTCGTTACCTGCGTCGTTAGAAACTGTCCAATTGGTATTGGTGAACCATGTTTCGATAAATTAGAAGCTAAATTAGCCCATGCTATGTTATCCTTGCCAGCTACTAAAGGGTTTGAATTTGGTTCTGGTTTTGAAGGAACAAAGATCCCAGGGTCCAAGCACAATGATCCATTCTATTACGATGAAAACTTTGGTAGATTGAAGACCAAGACCAACAACAGTGGTGGTATCCAAGGTGGTATTTCAAATGGTGAAAACATTTACTTTTCTGTTGCATTCAAATCTGCTGCCACCATCAGTCAGGAACAAGAAACTTCCACTTATGACGGTAAAGAAGGTGTTTTGGCCGCAAGAGGTAGACATGATCCAAGTGTTACTCCAAGAGCTGTTCCAATTGTTGAAGCTATGACTGCCTTGGTATTGTGTGATGAATTTATGATCCAACAATCTAGAACCTCTACCAGATTATTGGTTCAAGACAAATAGACAAAATGAAAGAGAAGTGTAAAGGACTGACGTGTGTATATTAGATCTTCATGTTCGTTACCCAAACTATATATATATATATATTATCTCTCTAAATTCGTTCCTTAATAGATATTATCCATTATGACGTTTGCTTCATTTGTAGTAATACATTTTTTTTTATTATAGCATGAGCCTATGTATCTATAAATTGAAAGTTAACTGTTCTAAAAATGGAGCCAAATCTTCTTTTTTGATCTCAACCAAGGACGCTTCAAAGAAATCTTTCTTCATCTGTGCTCCAGATATTTTGGAGAATGCATTGTTTGTACCTGTGCCCAATACAAAGTACGTGTTTGGCAATTCGGCCGCAACAATCAATGGTTTTTGGGACAATTGTTTCAAGTACTCCATTAGTCGGCTCGATAATTTAATTAAAATTACAGGGTTACCAAAACTCAGATGTGCTGCTTCATCCTTGAGAATACAAAGACGGTAAACTTTCAAATTCTTTATCAACTTTTGGTCCAAAATATACTTGATAGTTTGGAACAACATTTTTTGCACTAGTTTAGCTGCTAATATCCCCTTTTCTAAACTAGCATTATTTGCAATACCAAATGAACTAACAGAATCAAAAGCAGCCCAAAAGTTCCTTATATAACTGGCTTCTCTATTTTGTATTTCTCGCCTTATCTTCTCGTCTTCGTCTTCAAGATCATCCAGGTCGTTACCGCCTGTGGCTACACCTGTCTCCAATAATGCAGTCAAGGCAACTGCCACATCCATCGATATCACCCCACTTTTGTAGAATATGTCAACCACTGGAAGGTCTGGTAAATACTTTTTCAATAATGCTGGTAGTTTATTTTTAATAGGTACATCAAGGTACTGCCATTGCTGTTTGGCAGCAACAATGGGGATACCCATCTTTGCAAGAATCTGGTTAATTCTTTTATCACCATCTATCCAATTGTATAGTAATGCCTCGTATAATGATGAATGTCGCAATAATGGAAGATATACAGCCTTTTCCAAGGTGATGCCCGACTCTTCAGACAATCTTCGTACTTCGTCAACAAAAATTGAACAATCATGCCCACTTGAACCAATAATGGCCAACCACAAGTTTTCCAGATTGATTTCCCCAATAGCACTAACGAGCCCATAAACACTGATTGAGCACGCAGATACAACTGAAGATGATTGGTTGTAATATGCCTGTATCTTGTCTTCGTTTGATGACCTTGTTTGCTTTCTAAGCATACGAGCTTCCGAAGCCTGTTCATTTTCTTCATCAACATCAGTGTCTTCTCTTTCAGAATCCGAATCTGAGTCATCGTCTTCATCGCCCATTTCCACTAGTATTTTGTATGCGTCCTTTTCGTTCTGCAAGTTTCCGTCGACATACCCGTTATCAAAACAGATAACCATTGCAGACCCAAACAAATTGTCCAAATTCCAGGGTCTATGGCCGTCAATAACATAAAACTTTCTAGTTAGGGAATAATTGTCCTGTCTGATTGCATCTAAATCATTGTCATCCGGTTTGTCTAGAAGATCATTATCTCCAAGAAACTCCTCTGGGTTCAAGTCAAAAAAGCCTTCTAAATCCAACATGGCTCCACACCCAATGAGAATAATATTGCTGACATCAGAATCAAGTTTATCATAATGACTCTTCAAATCGGAGTATCCTGTTACGGGAATTAATTGGTACTGGATTAATTCCTTTCTCAATAACAAACTCCAAATCTTGGCAGCACACAATGCATCAACATCCAAACATGAAACAAAAAGTACCAATTTACAGGTAGAATGTGATAATGAAGATCGCTTTATATCTTGAAACGCCTTTGCATATTGATTCGGCGTTATATACATGGTTGACAAATGTCGGTGTTGTGTGTGTGTTCTGATGGTATTAAGCTTTTACAATTACTTTTTTTTTTTTCTCTGAAAGAAAATTTCTCGCGTTGGTGATGTTGCACGTAAATGGTACTTTTGTTAGCAAGAAACAGTCAATGAAGAAAAAAAAAAAAAAAAAAAGAAAAAATTGGTTCCACGCGTGCGCGACACACGCGTTGCTATTGGGAAGAAATGAAACACTACATCATACTCTCTGGCGAATAATCATTTGGCAGTGAAGAGATAATCAGGTATCTTTGATGCATATGATATGATGTCGGTTTTAAAAAGATATCTCTTGTATTAGTACAATGCAATAATAAGAGAATGTATGGGCCGAATACGTTTGAAACGACTACAATAAGCACTACCTTCTATGACTATATAGTGCTTTTTTCTTTCTTTCCTTTTTTCGCAACTAGTATAATCGTTGAAGCATTTCCGTATCCATAAACGTTTTTTAAAGGTTGGTGGTGACTATATATACAATCGAAAAGAAAAAAGAAAAGAAGAATTCGGTTCCAAAAAAAAAAAAAAAAAATTCGCAGTCACTCATATCGGAAGTCATTAAGGATCCCCCACGATATGTGGCAAGGTATCCCCCAATATTCCCCAGATTCAAATTTTGGGGGATACCTCATGTGTATAGATCTGATATTTCCCTTGCATTCTATTGTTCATTATATGATCTTTGTAATCACACGTCATTGCCCCACATTTTTGCCCCACATTATGGTTGATTATAATCATTTGATATGTTCTACTACATAGTTGATTCAGATCTCTATTTATTTTTCTATCAGCCATTCGATTTGTACATAAATAATTGGTGTGTGCAACTATTTAGGTTCTGCCCCTTTCTCATTGCATCCCTTGTTTTTCCGAAGTTAATCCGGTGCGCACAGCATAGACCCATGATCAGGCAACACACGGCAGTAAGAGCCAGGTACATAAGTTGTTTAGCAGTTAAGCGTATAACATCTCCTCCTTCTGTAGTCAATTAACTAGTGTGAATGTGAGTGTGTGTTGCTATCCCCATGGTATGGTTAGTAGTGGGCCGTAATTACTATATTGATCCCCCACGTTTCCCCAAGGTGTTGGGGGATCCCTAGATCTCTAGATCTCGAGTAGCGAAAAAAAAAAAAATAAACTCACACTGAGACATCCCATCTTTAATTGAACATCCTCAAGTCTCGCCGCGCAGTATGAATATTCTATGCCATTGGCTGTAAAGTACTTACACTGTTGTGTAGATAAAGTAGCTTATATTTATGAAGAAATATGGCTATATATTCTCAGCCGAACATGGACGAGAACTCAACACCCTCTGGGGTACTGTACTTTAATAACAAAGAGCAAACCAGGAAAAACCTTATTACACAAATTCTCCGAATCCAGTGAGAAAACAATGATGCTAATTTTTTTTTTCTTTTTTTCTTCTTCACCTTTTTGTAATTTGTTGGTTCTGAGAATAACCTTTCCTAAAAAAAAAAAACTACTCCCCCAAATCCTTAATTACATCTATATCCACCAGGCTGTTGTTTCTTCTCAAATTTGTATAAATAGAGATCTGGATCTCTTCATTTTTACATCGTCATTCATTTTGATTTGTTCATCATCAAGATACAAAGCACTTTCATTATAATGTCCGATGAAAAACATTTGAACTCCTACGATTCTACTCCAAAGACCAACTCAATGCTGTCGATCAGCTCCCAACCTTCAGATGAAATCGTTACATCTAATAAAGAGAAACCAAAATGGTACAAGAGATTTAAGATGAAGAATATGTTTGAAAAAATTGAAGATAGACCAACCCCACCACAAGTTTACAACTACAGAATCTATATGACTGCTATCATGGCTTCTGCTGCCGCCATTATTATTGGATATGATGGTGGTTTTATTGGTGGTACTGTTGCTTTAGATTCTTTTAAACAAGAGTTTGGTCTTGATGATTCTGCCCATTCAAGTTTTATCATTTCTAATGTCATTTCTGTTTTCCATGCCGGTTGTTTTTTCGGTGCATTATTTTCCTACCCATTTTCATTTTATCTTGGAAGACGTATTCCATTAATTATCGCTGCCGTCTTAATTACAGCTGGTTCTGCTATTATGTTGGCTGCTTCATCTAGTGTTGGATTGGGTCCAATTTATGCTGGTAGAGTTATGGCGGGTGTTGCCGTTGGATTCTCTACAAATTTGACTGTGGTTTACATTTCAGAAATTGCTCCTCCAGCAATCAGAGGTCAGTTAACTAGTAGTTATGAAATCGGTTGGAGAGTCGGTGATTTAGTTGGGTTCTGGATTAATTACGGTGTTGATTCACATATTCCAGATGGTAAAAAACAATGGTTTATTCCTTTTGCAATTCAATTAATTCCAAGTGGTTTGTTTTTACTCGGCAGTATTTTCATGAAAGAATCTCCAAGATGGTTGATGCAAGTTGGTAGAGATGATGAAGCCATTAAAAACTTGACTTGGTTCAGACAATTACCAGAAGATGATGAATACATAATCTACGAAGTTAATCAAGTTAAACAATCCATTGAAGAACAAAAACAAAAAGTCGGATTGGGAATCTTGGATCCATTCTACGAAGTTTTTTTCAACAATAAACTTGTCTTGCGTCGTTTATTGATCACCATGACCATCTACGTTGTTTGTAACTTTTTGGGTATCCAATCTATCAACTACTACTCCCCTGTCATTTTCAAGAGTTTAGGTATTAAAGGTACTAATGCATCTTTGTTTTCGACTGGTATGTTTGGTATTGTCAAATTTGGTTGTACATTCATTTATATCTTGTTTATTGTTGACACCATTGGAAGAAGAAAAGCATTCATGGCCTCATCTGCTGTTTGTTCTATTTGTTTCTGGTATATTGGTGCTTATTTGAAACTTAATGATCCAACTAAACCAGGTGTTGATGCTGGTCCAGGTGGTAAAGCTGCCATTGGTATGATGTATATTTGGATTGCTTCATTCATTTTAGCTTGGTCTGGTGGTCCATTTGTGGTTGGTAGTGAAGTTTTTGATCAAAACATTAGGTCATTTGTTCAAGCTATTAATGCAGCAATGTCCTGGGTTCCAATCTTTATCATGTCCAGATTCACTACTAATATGATCCGTACTATGCAATATGGTATTTACTTCTTCTTTGCTGCATTGGCTGTCTGTACCATCCCATTCATCTTTTTCTGTTTGCCAGAAACCAAAGGGATTGCATTGGAAGATATGGATAGATTATTCAGTCCAGATTTGCCAGCCTGGAGAGCTAACAAAGTTGTTATGTCTGAAGTCCAACATGAAACTGAAGAAATTTTCCAAGAAAACCACGAAGAAGGTTTATTCACTACTGCTGACAACAAACCAAAAACAGAAAATGTTGAAGATATTTTAGTTAAAGAAAGTGTATAGAGGACACTTGGGTTCATTATGTTTGGTTTTAGTTTCTATTTTACTTAAGTTTTAATTTTTTTTTTTTCACCATTATTATTATCATTATTGTGATTCATTCTTTAGTTTTTAGTTAAACGTTAATAAATATATTCTGAACACTAATTTCAACGATTGTCAAAACAAATTGTATGAGTCATCTATATAATTACACATTGAACAGTTATACTGATTATACGAAGTTCTACCCATACGGCAGTAAACCATATGAATTGCGTTTCTCTCCCCCTCCTCCCCCTTTGCTATCAATTTCAATTTAGGTGGGTGCGAAATTGCGGACAATAAAAACAAAACAAAAATTAATTAGTCATCCATAGCCAAACAAGAAAAAGAATCACAATGCAGTTGCTGGTTTTTGTTTACGAGTTTTCAATACACCATGAGCCAATTATACAATGGGATTAAAAAAAAAAAAGACATAGGATGAGGAAAAGAAGGAGGTGAATAATAGATGAAGAATTGGGGGGTATATAAACCCAGAAGAAGTTCGTTCTAATCAAATATTTAAATTTTAGAGAACACTAATCTTATTCACAATCAATATAATGACATCATTAAAGAAAACAGATTCTTATGCTGAGTCAACTAAATCAACCAATTCTACAATTGCTTCTATAAAATCAAAGACTAAAAGTCTAGGTGCTAAGCTTAAGGGAAAATCACTGGATAAGAACAAGACGAATTCTAATCACGTTCATGCCATGGCAACTATATGGGCCTTGAAAAGTTAAGTCTTCATGCTAATGCTGGTTCATTTTTTTTATTATTATTATTATAATTCGAAGGATTTTATATACACCATTGATTCAATATATACGTATCCATGCTTTATCTATCCTTTAACTTGTTGTTGTAATTGTTGTAATGACCATTGGTATGCTTCTTCATCAGAATCAGAAATCAAGTCATTAACAGGCAAGTCAATATTTTCAACCTCTCCTTTTCTACTGACATCTTTGATTAATGTAGTAAACCAACTATTTTCACCTTTACCAAAACAGAAACTGTACGCGTACCCAACTTGATTAGCTCTTGCTGTTCTACCCACTCTGTGAACGTATTCTCTAGACGAGTTTGGCAAATCGTAATTGATCACATCTGTAATAGATGTCAAATCAATACCTCTTGCAATTAAATCTGTTGCAATCAAGATATTGATACCTTGTGAACTAAATTGTTTCAAAATCTTGGTACGAACAGCAGTTCTGTTGTTTGTTGAATTTATGAAGGAGACATTAATATCAATAGATAACTTCTTAAACAATATAGTCAATAATTCAGCAAGTCTAATCGATGACTCGTTCGATTTGGTGAAAATAAGAACATTTGACAATTTACCCTTGGAAATTAAGAAACGAGCCAAGATTAAAGGTTTCAATGAATTCTTGGCTACACCCAAATGGATCTTATATTCAGATAATGTGTTAGGAACAGTAAATATTTCATTAACCAATTGTTTCGAGTCATTGACAATAATCAATCTAGGTTTGAAAAATTTTAAGCTGGAAAGTTTACCAGCATCAGTAGTTAAAGTAGCGGAAAAGACCATTTTTTGTACTGGTAATCTCCATTCTTCACTAATATTGATTGCAGAGTTCATACGATCCAACAATATCTGAGACCAATTTTGGAAACTTTGATTCAACAATCTATCAGCTTCATCAATGACCAAATATTGCAAACTCGATAATGAAATGGAATCACCAATCAAATGTTCCACAAGTCGCCCAGGAGTACTAACAATAATATCAGGAATCGAATTTTTCAATAGTTGTTTTTCATCATTAATAGATATATCATTCTTTAACGCCATTACCTGCAAATTAGTACCACTGGATAATTGTAAAAATGTTGCTTTGACTTGATTGATTAATGGCTTAGTAGGAACTAATATAATTGCTCTAACTCTTGGGACTACTCGTTTATGTAGACTCTCGATAATTGGAATCAGATATGCTAAAGTTTTACCGGAACCTGTTGAAGCATTTACAAGGATATCACCAAATGGATCTGGCATTAACTTATGAGCTTTGATTTCAGGAATCATCATGTCTAAAACACTAACTTGAACAGCAAATGCAGATGAAAACCCCATGTTTTCTAAATTGTTAATCATGAATGGTGACAATTGAAATTCATTGAATGGTTTAGTATCACTAGGAGAAATGTATTGAGGTTCTGTTAACCAATCTAAATTCTTCATATGGGTTGACATTGAAGAAAGTTTTCTATCTCTAGGCAATTCAGGTTGTGGTAATGGTGCAAGATCTTGCGTTTCTATGGTTTCTTCCTTTTGTTCTTTAGTCTCTTCTGGATCTTCCTCGGTAGTGCCAGTTGTTGACTGTTTAAACTTGTTAAATATAGATTTATGTCTCCTGATATAATCAGGGTCTTGCTCTTTGGAGTTATTTAATGTTGAAGAGTCATCAATATCCATATTGTCTTCATCTTGTTTGTTTTCCTCTTCATCACTTCCCTCATCTGATGAACTTTCTTCTGAAGATTCATCACTTGAACTTTCATCATGACTTAGTTTTCTCTTTCTAGTATGTGAATCTTTAGAGTTATTCAATTTATTTTGAGGCTCGTTTTCCTCATCTGGATCGTATCGTTGACTAAACATTGGTTGGGGTGGTGAAGATGACTTTACTGTACTCATCTGAATCAAATCTGTTTTTATATTTTTTTTTTCTGTTTTGCTTTACTCATCTGGTGGGGACAAAAATCATCAGCATTTGGTAGCACCAGTAATACGAAGATGTTCTTGGGAAAACGATGATTATTTCAATTCCAATGCTATTTGGTGGGTGCTATCATTTAACAAAGAACTATTTAAAGAACTTAGATGATTGATTTATCACGGTTTATGAATTCAATTACAACTTTCAGAGAGAGAGAGAGATAGAAGCATTGGCAGAGACAGCTGTAATTTCCAAAAATACCACAAGAATTTTCCGAGAACACATACATTCACGGTAAACAAATCATTAAAACTGGGAACGACTCGATAAAAATAATCTCATGTGTACCAATCATGTTATCAGCTGTTTCATTCCTGAATAAACTAGAAGTACCATTGTAAATGGACTGCATATAATGATCTTATACATATGTCTCCAATAAACACCAAGATCTGAAACATCTCACAATAAATATCTTTTCTTCATCCTTGATATGTATCTCAGTATGAATGGTATATCTTACAAATCATGGTATTTATGAAAATCTATCACTTTCTTTTATAACGTGGTAATATCATGGACTTGCATCAACGAGCGCTCCAACAATTCACCAAATCAAACAAGACAAAAAAAAAAAATACTTGCAAGATAAAGAGAGAAAACAGTAAAGAAAAATTTTCATTCCTTTAACATTTGCATTTCCTATTTCAACTAACACACATACCATGTTGCCAACTGTAACAAGATTAGGTGCACGTTCTGTATGGAAAGGTCCACATATTGTTCCATTACCTATTGCCAAAGCCATTCAAAATAAGACAGCTATTAGAACAAATGCCAGAAATAGTACTATTATTCCACAATTTGTTGGCTTGAAATTTGAAATACATAATGGTAAAGAATACGTCGAGGTGGAAATAACTGATGATATGGTGGGATCAAAGTTAGGTGAATTTGCTCCAACTAGAAAGAGATTCATGTATAAATACTCCAAGAATTAGAATATATTTAACCCTTGTATATATATAAAAAATAAAATTTATTGTATATTTTAATCTAAATAATGAGAAAATACTTATCTACCACCTCTTGGATTATAATCATCAAGTCTTGCTTGTCTTAGTTCTCCTGTTCTATCGATAGTTGGCCAGTTGCCCCAACCGTTTAATCTAATCACCATGCATGTGGCATTATCATCACCACCAACATACTCCACAAATTTGATAATTTCTTGAGCACACCATTGGGGAGTAGCAAAAGTTTGACCTCGCAAATTGACATTTGTCATAACAATATCTGCAATCTCTTGATCAGTCAATACGTTGGTTACCCCATCACTACACAATACAATAAAACTTTCATCTCCTCCTAATCCACCAATGGTATGTTTTTGGATTTCTTCTGGTGTTAAAAACTCCAGTATTGCTGCCAGGTCCCCAATAATATATTGATTGAAATCAGGTTCAGCAGTGACACCAACATCTTTATAGTCAACATCACCAAAAGCACGTGTATTGGCCAAAGAAATGAATCTTTCTTCCCCAAATGAGTCTGTCATAAAAAAATTGGCAGCATACTTTCTTAATCTTTGAGCTTCCATAGGGTTCAGGGGATGATGATCTGTCGTTAATTGGTGGGATATCCCCTCTTTGTCAACCAAAATAGCTCGTGTGTCTCCGACATGTGCGATACTTAATCTCGATATTGTATGTCTATTGAAGAAATAATTTTCAAAAAAAGGTTGAAATGTTCCTGGTTTGGAATATATTGTTTCAATCAATGCTGAAGTACATGTAGACCCTGATTTCTGTTCTTGACTGAAAAATTTGTAATCTGCATCCAAGTAACTCAATGGCACTCGTACTGATAAGTCATCACCGGGGAAATTCTTCAATTCTAGTTTCTGTTTCTTCCAATTTTCAACACTTTTCTCTCGATGTTTATACCAACGCTTCCAGTATCCACCAATATTCTTGGCATATGTCTTGAATAATTCTTCACGTTTGGATTTATCTTCTACCAAATGGCCCAGATCTTCAATTATACCAGATAAGTTGTCGGCCATGTAGGATGAACATTGTGCTCCGCCATGTCCATCATAAATTGTAAAAGCAAATACTTGAGAATCATTAATATTAAGCAAATTCCCACTGAAATTGTCTTCATTGGATAACCGACGAAGACGATTTGTGCAATGTCCTAAATGCGAGGGGCTCTTTAATATTGGCACTCTAAGTTTACCAATCTTGGAAGGACTTGACGAAAACCTATTGGTTACTGCCATTGCTGTAAAAGTAACTGTGTTTGACACATGACGAACTTGGAATGTTGTAGGGGAATGTGGTTTGAGTCTGATTAGCATTGAAGCAATTCAATTGTATATGATTTGTGAATATGTTGATTGGTCGCTAATGGTGTCAAAAAATAAAAAATGTGTATGATAACAATGGCCGAAGAAGAAAAAGCAAAGAAGGAAGAAAAAAAAATCTAATTTGTTTTGCTTCGATTTCCAGTGAGACAAAGATAAACACTCAATCAATCGATCACCCCCTCAATTAATTAATAAAAAATAGAACATTTAGTTTGAGTCGCAGAAAATGTGATTCTGTTTTATACGCCATTCCAGTCCCAGTCCCAGTCCCAGTTCCAGTCCCACAATAACCCCGGAGTTGGAGTAAAAGTTTTTTTTTCTCACTTCGGACATGTACTTTCTCTCTCTATTTCCGCCCCCACATACAAATATACATATTGCATACATTAAAATGACACAAGAAACTAGATACACATCTATAAAATCAAATTCTCTTCGTCATCTTCATCATCACCATTAGGATTGTCTCTATATGGTCTATTATTCGTGGCAGTGGTTGGGGTACCGTTTCTCCACCCATTAATCGAGTTTTTCAATGATGACCACAACCTATTGCCTGTGGATTCAGGTTCCACTACAGATCCGTTATAAATGACCGGTTCGGAATCGTCGTGATCTATCCTACCACTAGTCAAGGAATCATGGAATTCTCTTCTGTTTCTCTCGTAATTCATATTTGCCAAGTCTTCATGCGTGGTACTAGTGGTGGAATTGGTTAAATTGAAAGGACGTAATCGCAATTCACGACGAGATACTTCACGATTGACTATTCTTTTAGCCTCAGCGATATTGGAGAATCTTGGATCGTTGGCATTATCATCTTCGTCGTCATCAAAATTTGCCCATCCAATCTTTCTTTTGAGTTTATCATAGACATGGAACATGTTTAAAAACACTGGGATTAAAATCAACCTTGGGATCCAGTTATTCAACAAGTTAAATAACCCAGTAAGTTTTATTGATTGCCCATACCAAGTTTCAAAGATACAGCTTCTATCAACCGCAAGTGTAATAAAGTTATAACTCAAAGGAATAGCCATTCTCGCTGTGTACATGGTATACCAACAGGCCAGAACTGGATCGGAATTTCTAGGAACTAAATGATACATGTTGAAAATCTTCAATTGTGTCAAGGACGACAACGCAGCAAAGAGCATGTATGCAAAAAAGGCTGCTGCGAGTAAAAATTGAGCAGTACCGTTTTTGAAAGCACCACTGGTAAAAATACACACATTTAACAAAGAAAGTCTAGTGGAATGGAAAAACTCCGATTCTAAAATAATAAATGAAACCATTGCTAAAATAACAGCACCAACTCTATTGGCAACAGGTTTGATCCAATTTTTGAGTTCGTTGGTTCTTGGTTTTTCCAATTCAACAATTCTCAGAATCATTGAGTTGAATGCAGATTCGTATCCCACGTACTTGTGCAAGTTGTTGTTAAAACCCGATTGTAACTTGCTCATATATGTTGGTGTTACTTGATCTCTTTCAATGATTGTATTATCATGCATGTACTGTCTCTCGACTTGTTCTCTAATATCTTCTGGAATTTTGGAATACATTCCCAAGATCGTATCTCTAAATTCAAAGTCTTCTACTGCATCACTGGTGAAATTAAGTTTCAATCTCAATACTTGTAAAACATCATCTTTAAATGATACTTTAGTATCTTCCAAATCATCAGATAATCTTAGCAATCGCAAATAATTATGACGCAACTCACTGGCAGTTGATCCCTTGATCCAACAATTTCTTGGAATACTTATCATTCCATGTCCCATTAACCAGGTGGCCAAAATTAAAGAATAGATATGTGAAAGTGCAATCACCATCAACTTCAAATGGTTGAAACTTAATCCAGCTTCAAGCATTAAATAAAGAATCCCCAAAACAGATACACCCAACATCATTGCTTGAAATTTCAAGTTTTGTTTAAACGCATCCTGAATCTTCCCCATGGTACTACTATACCCAGATCTGTAAAATTCTTGCAACATTGGTAAAATAAACCATGTCAATGCAAACGTAATCCAATAATTCACTTTCCAGTTATTCAATATAACATTATCTGGTAAGCTGAGCCATAGATCACCCTCGGAAGTCTTTTGGGTCCAATCAATAGGCAATAAATAAACCAATGATAATGGGATGAAAACAGCCAACGTCAATGGAACCATTAGGTATGCTGGGTATTTAAAGACATTGATGTGATAATTAATTCCCGCAATAGATGATAGAAGAATTAATATGTAGATGATAACGGTTGCCCACATTGGAAACTGTTGTAAAATGAGTTTGTTTCTAATGGGAATTTATAAACAGGTTGGTTTTCTTTTTTTTTTGGTTCTCTCTTTTGTTTGTCCTAATAACAAACGGGAGAGACAATGAGATTGAAAATACTACCAAAAAAAAAAACAGCGCGTTTATGAAACTTGTACAGCTCAGATAACCGGGATTGCAACATAGTCATACTTAACTGTTGTTATCGATAGTAGCCCAGTAGCACTGACTATGTAAGTGTGTCAAAGATATCCAAAAACCGATTCTCTCAAAAGAAAACTGCAACGACTGTTCTTTTTTCTGACACTCCACACACAAGGGAGTCAAACCCGGGACAAAATCGTTCAAATCATGACCCTACAATTGACAATATAGTATTATTATCAGTCGGTACGGTTATCATTAATCAATCAAACGTGCTTGTTCATTGATTAATTGAAATGTACCTTTACGGTATAATTTGGTGGAGGTGTAAATCCCGCATGGGTATATCTCGGTTAACCGACATTCAGTGACTGGGGGAAGAAGAACCAGAGAAAAAAAAAATATAAGAAATGCAAATACCCTTGTTTTTCCTTTTCTTTTTCTGAAAACCCCTTAGAGGTAATAGTGACATTTACAGGAATTTCTAACCACATCAAAAGTAACTTAAAATGTCAACAATTGAAGACGAACAACTACAACATATTCAAGAAAACCAACCACAGCCAGAACAAGCTGGAGAAAATGAGGAACGGTCGGAAAATCAATTACTGGAGTCACCAGAGGAAGGTCCGGAGAAGGGATCAGTTGACGAATCAGCAGTAGTAAAAGTAGAAGAAGAAGAACCAAAATCAAAAGCAAAAAAAGCTAAAAAGAAATCAGTTGGATTTGCTCCACCTCCAGAAGAAGACCTTAAAGAACATCATAAGATCATTAAACAAAAGGAAGAAATGAGAGCTAAATCACATCCATTCCATAAGATTCCACCAGAATTAGCTTATTTGGAAAAAAGGAATCGTACCCTTGATCCAAAGCCTATTGACAAACCAGCACCACCACCATCAGCTCGTCCAAGTACAACTACTCCTGTATCATCTTATTTGCCTCCTTTAAGCAAATTGAAGTTTTTTGATATCAAGCATTTATCTGTACAAAATAGTGAAACTGAACTTCATTTCCAATATAGTCAAATTAATTTACCACCTTCTAATGATTCAATCATAGTTGATATGAAGTATGGTGGACTTAATAGCATTGATGTGGCCAAGATCCATCGTTACCGTTTGAATCTCAGTAATGTCAAAGTGGGTCTTGGATACGAATTTTCTGGGGTTGTCACTAATGTGGGGGCCAATTATACGTCTAAATTTGCTGAAGGTGATGTGGTTTATGGATTAGTTGAGGTTTCTTCAAGAAGAGGTGCATTGAGTAGTAGTCAGATTATTTATCCAAGTCGTGATGTTGTTATTAAAATCGATCAGGAAAAATTGGACAAACTCGATGAAATGAATATTGATATCACTAATATGGATTCTCATGAATCCTTTCAAGTTGGAGAAGATGCTGAAGATGATGGTGCATCTACCAATGATAGTCAGAACTCGACCGGGTCTGCAAAAGATGTTCCAGCATTGGCCAAATTGTGTTCTTTTCCTTTGCTTTATAATTGTGCCAAACAGCTTCTTAAATACTTAAAAATCAAAAACAATCAAGCAAATATATTGATAAACGGTGGTGATACAAATATTGGTTTAACTATAATTCAATTACTTTTAGGAAGCTACAACTTGGATTATTTGAATTTAATTGTTATTGTTAGAGATCATACTCAGGCACATATGGAGAAGCTTATTGAACAATTACAAGAGAAATTCAAAGATCCTGCTAGCATAAAGAGAGTTAGATGTATTAGTTTTGATTCAGTTAATGAAGAATTGGTTTTCCCTGCTGAAGTTGTCCTGACGACTTACAAAAAGAAGGACTTTTTTGCCAGTGAAGTAATTGATGCTCTATTGGTACCACAAGTTTCCCAAGAAAAGATCAATGAAAAGAATATCAATAGCTATAAATTAGACATGATAATTGATTTGATTGGGTGTAAGAAATTTTTCCAAACAACGTCGACAAAAATTGATACCATTGATTCTATTCATATGCCATTTAAGGATAACATTACTTGTTCTGTTGGTAAATTATTTAATGGTAATGTAAAAGAACCATTTTTGAAACGAATTTTGAAACCTAAATCATTTGGAAGTTGTTTAGTTTCTGGTTGTAATTTCTACATGGAGGAGCCAAGTTATGATAGTCATAGATTTATTGAAAGTACTACATTGTGGACAAATTCATGGGTAAGTAACTATTGGAGTACTTATAATTATTATGATATGAATGTATGGGGTCAACGCTGGAAGAGTGACTACACCGAAGAAGGTTTACAAATGGTTCTTGAAGGTAAATTAAAATTCAAAGTTGATGAATATACTGATTGGAAAAACTACAAACGAACTGATGTCAAAAAAAAAGATGCTAAAATCATTGTCAAAGTTGAAGATTTTTAAGAACGAAAATGTGTTTTTGTTCTTGTCTATATATATATATGTCTGTTTTGTATTGAATTTATACCTGTGGAGGTCCGAAATAATCTAATTTAATATTTATGTCTTTATCACTCAAATAATCTTTAATCATTGACATATAACTTCTAGGACCAATAACATAAACATCATGATCAGGTGTTATAAAATCCAAATCTTGAATTGTTAATGATCTTTTATAATAATAATTTCCAATTGGATCATTTGCAGAAGCTCTTGAAAAATATTCCCAAATTTCCAATTGTTCATTATATTCATTTTGATATTGTCTTAGAAGATTACCAAAAGCTCTTGATTCACTTGTTCTATTTGAATATAATAATTGAACTTTTTTCCCATCTATTAAAGCTCCTTCAAGAATAGGTAATAAACCAGTAATACCAATTCCACCAGCTAATAAAACAATTTTCTTTTTCATAGATTTTTCATAAGTAAATAATCCATTAGGTGGAGAAACAAATAATTCATTACCAATTTGTAAATTTTTATGTATATATGTAGATATTTTCCCACCTGGTATATATCTTATTGAAATTCTATATTGATTATTTTTAGGAAATTCAGAAATTGAATATTCTCTTGAAGTTTCTTTTAAATTTGGTAAATTCCATCTAATTGATAAATATTGACCTCTTTTAGGTATTGGTATTGAACAACCATCTTCAGGAGTGAAATAAATAGATTTAACATCTTGACATTCTTGTTCAATTTTAGTAATTATAAATTTTTTAAATCCTTGCCATGGTTTTTCTTTATAAAAAGTTGATTCTAAATCAATTAATAATTTAGCTAAATTTCCATAAGCTATAGTCCAAGCTTCAATAAATTCATTATTTGCAATGGTTGAAGGAATTAATTCTAACATTGATTCAATTAAACATCCGCCAGCTATAGGATATAAATTTGCAGGAACTTGTAATCCTACATGTTTAGATACAATTTTAGTAACAAATCCTAATAATGGAGTTAAATCTTGAATATTTTTAGCATATTGAATAACTGCAAATATAAGAACATTATGTTGTCTTTTTAATTTCATATGAGTCATATTAAAATATTGGGAATTTCCTTTTATAAATTTACTATAGAATTTTTCAATTAATATATCTCCACTATGTTCTAAAATTGGAACTGATCCAAGGATGATTTGGATCTGTTTTGGTGTGAGTTCTTTTGTTTCAAATAAATCTGTCATTATCAGTTGATATAATAATGTTAGAGTAGTGGAATCTACTTAGATATTCCATGACAAGCATGGATGTATATATATATATCACAGAATTGTGAGATTGTCTATTTCAGTTAAATGTTTAATGTTAATATACAATAGACTACTGGAATTTTTGTCCATATTAACAAACGGGTCAAGCTAGTATGTAATAATAAAAAAAAGAATGTTATCAAGAACTAATTTTCTAGTTTATAATACCAAATCAATATTATTCCTAAAGAAGAAATATTACAAAGGGTTCTCTTTCTCTCCACATATATTGGTCCCACAGATTGTGGCTCGTAAATTGCGTAATGCAAGGCGGAGAAAGACTGCTCAACAGCAGAATGAATACAGTTTCACAGCAATATTCTTCTTTTCAGATGCTAAACTGAATATATATGACAATGTATCAAGGCGTACTTATTTTGGAATTGTAAGAAGGATCGTTCTCTAGAGATGTATGAGGTCCCCCCCCCATTCCCTACCAACGTGGTAATTTGTATTGTGAAAACTAAGAAACCCAAAAAGCTACGTGTCTTGTTTCTTTTATTTGACATGGTGGCTTACATCATAACAATAGTCAATCACATGGAAGGGGTGTTTGTCTTGTAGTAGCTTAAGTGAAATGGTTTAGACTAAATTTCATAGACCCATCCCTATTAATGAAATTTCATTTTGTTTCGCAGACGTACACCGTGGAAGGAATGTTCCACATGCGTCCGTTGTAAGAAATTTCATTTTGTACGACTCATTATCAAAACTTCTATGCATTTGCATGATACAACAAATGACAAAAAATCAAACATAAATACATGCATAAACATTTCAAATATACTTCCTATATACTATATATATATATATATACTAATTTGCTCTAAACTTCTAATGGACCAAAGTATTCTAATTTGTAGTCTATTTTCTTACCTCCCAAATGTTCTTTAAGAGCTTTCATGTAACCTCTTGGTCCTAAAAGGTAAACATCATCTTCTGGAGTAATGAAATCTAAATCTTCTAAAGTCAAACCACGGTTGAAATGTTTTTCAATAGCACTAGATTCATCAACTTTAGCATCAGAGAAATATTCAATAACTTGGAATTTATCACCATATTTTTGTTTAAATTGTTTGAAAAGATCACCAAATGCTCTAGTTTCTGGAGCTCTATTGGAGTATAACAATTTAACATTTCTATCTTCTTCAAGACCAGCTTCAATAATAGAGACAAGTGGAGTAATACCAATACCACCAGCCAATAAAACCAAATTTTTCTTACTTGGTTCATAAACAAAATTACCATTTGGTGGGGCAACTTTTAAAATATCACCAACTTTCAAATTATTATGAATATAACCAGAAACTAAACCTTCTGGAACATGTCTAACGGAAATTCTAAGTTCATTAGCTTTTGGGAATTCAGAAATGGAATATTCTCTAGACATTTCAAATTCATGACCTGGTAATTGCCATCTGAAACAAACATATTGACCACGTTTTGGTAATGGAATTTTTGAACCATCAACAGGAGTGAAATAAACAGATTTAACATCAACAGATTCATCAATAATCTTGGTAACTTTAAAATCTTTGAAACCATTCCATGGTTCTTTAGCATATTCAGCAGCTTCGGCATCAATTAAAATTTTAGCCAAATTACCATAAGCAGTACCCCAAGCTTCTAAAAATTCCTTATTTGCAACTTCAGCTGGTAATAATTCAATCATGGTTTCAATCAAACAAGTACCAACGATTGGATAATGTTCAGCTTTAACTTGTAAACCAACATGTTTACTAACAATTTGTTGAACAAAAGAAGTTAATGGGGCTAAATCTTCAATGTTTTTGGCATAATTCAATAAAGCAAAAGCCAAAATTCTTGGTTGTCTTAAAAGTTTTTGATCAGTGATGTTAAAGAATGGTTTGACTTCATCGTAATTGGTCAACATACGGTTGTAGAATTTAGCAGTCAAAGTTTCACCAGCTTGTTCCAAGATTGGAACGGTATCTTTGATGATTTTAATTTGAGCAGGAGTAAGTTCTTTTACTTCGTATTCGACAGTCATTGTTTTCGTTATTTTGCTTGTAGGGGATATTTGTAGGAGATGTTGTTAATGATGAGATATAAGATATGGATGAGTTGGGAAATTGAAGGGATTATCGAATGGTATTTATATAATCACATTTTGAATTAAAGTATGAAAAATAAAATACAAAAGAGTGAACTATATTTCCGACGGGGGTTGATTACAAAAAATAATGCAACAGCGTGAAACTAGCATTGTACTGTGCATACAAATCTTCTGTCGATCGTATGTTTTTTTTTTTCACCTTTCTTTTTTCTTTTGTTTGTTAGATTGATTGATTGATTGATTGCCCTGTGCTTGAATTATTTCTGCTCTTCTTTGCAGGAAGAGGAAGAGTTGTATTGGTGGGGTATCAACCTCGTCGTTCCAGAGTAACCGTTATGGCTTTGCAATGCAAGCGATATGACCCGTTAGTTCAGAGTATGAGCTATAATTAAACACCTGCTTTTCTCTACACCTTATACTCTATTACAAAAATGACACATCAGATAATGCATTATAATTATTTAGCAGCGGGATCCAAATGCATTAGAGAAGATGACTCGGGAATACAAATAACAAGTGTCTTCGGAGTAGTTTAGTTAGTTGGAAACGTTAGGGTGTTTTCCGGTTTCAGGTCCGGTTTTGTCCAATGATGATGATTGAATTTATAAGACACCCTCAAAAAAAAAAATAGCATGTACGATGAAGGGAATAAGATTCTTATACCCGAAAAATTTTGCAGTCTCACCTTAAATGCCCTAGTTAAACTTATGAAGAGTATATTACCGACGGTTGAATGTCTGAGTAATGAAGTAGAATGAACGAGGTGTAAATATAATCATACGATTTACAACAAAATTGATATTCTGACTGAACTGTTGGTGGAGGGCATAGGGCGGAGGGTGGAGGGTGGAGTGCTTCATTGTTCTTGTATTGGTAGTTTTGTTTCATTCCTTGTCCCCACTCTTAATGAAACTTTCAGTGTGTCGATCTAAAGCAAGAAAAAGAAAAAGTTTAACAATAGAGTTCGTGTACTTGTGGCAAGAAAAAAGAAAAAGAAAAATCTTGTATGCGCCACAACGTGCTATGTAGTCACGTGACAAGCAAAAAAAATAAAAAGAAACTACTCTAAGATGTTTTTCGCCTTGTAGATTTAAAATTAAAAAAAAATTTAATTGAAAATTCCAACGAAATTTTAAACAAAATAATACTACAAAAATATTATTCAATAGATTGGAATCTATAAAATTATATAAATAATAATCATAATAATGCGGGATAACGTCAGGCATTCTTATAAAGATTTTATCTTTGTCATAATCCTAATGGTATAAATTTTGGGTGCAAAAAAAATAATAAACATGTTAGTTGTCGCCTTCAAAGTCCACCATAGGTCAAATGACAAGTTGTCCTTATCGATGAATATTCGGCTTGTATTGTAATTTAAGACAAAGCGGGTCTATATTGTAAATATATTGCTTTTGTCTAAAACGTTTCTCACAAAATTGGGGGGAGGGAGGCGGAAAAGGTAGAGGGCGGAACTACCCAAGGCTATAATTTTTTTTTTTAAAGAGAGCAAATACTTTATAGTAGTGCATAACGGTTGCTCAAATTAGTAAGACGTGTTATAAAATGTATGAATTCTATTTTTGTTTAACTGGATTGAGTTAAATTAATTGGATTTTGTGCAACAAGTTTTTGTTAAATTGCCTGCATTAAACGCAATGACAAAAATATTCAGCAAAGAGTAGACACTTTTTTCTATTTGTTTGTGTAGTGAAATTTGTCCCTCAATAAAAAAAAAAAAATAATACAAACCCATTGGGATGTCTATTTATTTCTATTTGAATAATAATAAGTATAGAAAACAACTAAACGGACCATATTTGAATGATGAATGGATTCATAAGATTTTTTCTGATTATCTTATCAAAAATTTTGATATTTCTTATCCATTTGCTTGACCTTTCTTCTCCCCCCATTATATTACATTACATTCCTCAAGAGAAACCATTACTCCAAGTAGTTTAGTTTAGTTTGATAACATTCCCTGCGAAAAATTAAATTTCATTTTATCGATGAGTAAGCCACAAAATCATCGTCAAATATTTCTTCATTTCCAACTATTGACTGGAGTGGAGAAGAGAGGAGGGGGGAGTGCCTTCTTTCAAGAATGCTTTATCTGATAGTTCAGTTATCAGCATATATATAACGTTAAGAAATACCATTAGCTTAACTTTAATGTAGTTAGTCTTTCATTGGTTCGCGTGAAAACCCTGTGTTTTATCTTTTTGTTATCACAAAAATAAGTGCACATTGTTTGGTTGAATTGTTCAATCCCACCACAGGAAGAGACAGCGTTATCAATTTGCTGTGTTAACAAACCGTCAAGAAAATACAAACTCTATGCAAATACTCATAATATATTGTACATGAAGCAAGAATAATGATGTAACTTATACCCAACGTTATCAACTGGTAGAATTATTATTACTCTAGGGGACATCAACGAGTAATTACACAAATCCCCCCAAACAATGATAAATAAATAAATCCGCTATGAAAGAAAAGAAAAAAAAATTTTTTTTTTTGTTCTCATTGGGTTAACCAAAGTTTCTAATCGAATTTAGCCGACTAAACTGTTAATGTAATTGAAATTTGAAAAAAGGGGGCAACACAATCCCTTCCCTTCCCTTCCATTCCATTCCATTCTTGATTTAAAGAAAGGGTTTCTCCAAAAATAAAATAAAATAAAACTATTCCATTACTTCTTCTTATTATTCTTTTTCTGTCACATACTTATCATCTAGCTACCTATCATGACTGTTGAAACTCAACCAATATCTCCAACTCAAATCCAAATGATCAAGGATTCTGTTCCTATTCTTGATCATGTACATGTCCAATTAGCAGAAAAATTCTATAAAAGATTATTTAAAAGATACCCTGAATTCAAGGTTTATTTCAATACTACTAATCAAAAATTACTTAGACAACCAAGAATCTTGATCCATACTCTTATTAAAGTTGCAGAAAATATTGATAATTTGTCTGGAATTCAAGAAGAATTTGAAAGAATAGCTTCTAAACATGTTGGTTTACAAGTTAGACCAGATCATTATCCAAAATTTGGTGATGTGTTAATTGATACCATCTGTGATTTATTCCCAAGAGAAATGGTTGATGATGAGTTTAGAGAAGCTTGGCAAATGGCTTATGATAAAATGGCAAGTATTTTGATTGGTTTGGAATCAGATGAATATTCCACAAAAGCTTGGTTTGGATTCAAAGAATTTCGTGTTACTAAATTACAAAGAGAATGTATTGAATCTATATCTTTTTATATTACTCCAGTTGATGGCAAACAAATCCCAAAACCAAAACGTGGGCAATATTTATGTATGAGATGGCAATTACCAGGACATGAAAATGAAATATCTAGAGTTTATTCCATATCTGAATATCCAAAGGGTAATGAATATAGATTTACTGTGAGATATATTCCTGGGGGTCAAATTTCTGGTCATATTCATAGTAATTTGAAAATTGGAGATATTGTTCATGTGGCGCCACCATGTGGTAGTTGTTATTATGAAAAGAGTCTGAAAGATTTGGTCATGTTGGCTGGAGGTAATGGAATTACTGCATTACTTTCAATGATTGAAGCAGGTTTAGAAGATGGAAGAAATGTTAAATTGTTATATTCCAATAGATCCCCAGATTCAAGATCATTTGGCCCAATGTTGAGGGAATATAAACGAATTTATCCTGATCAATTACAAATTGTTGAGTTTATTTCTCGTGCTCGTTATATTGATCCTATTGATCAATACAATAATAGATCCTTGACTCTTGAAGATTTGGACTTCATTACTCCAGAACATGATGTTTATCTTATTGGCCCAAGATCATATATGAAAATGGTTGAAGATTATTTAACTGAAAGAAATGTCAAAGTTAAATTGGATTATTTTGGACCTCAAGAAATTTGAAACATATTTTTACATTACATATTCAACATTAGATATATTTATTCATTTTAATTTTAGAGGTATATTAATATACATACACCTACCTATTCCGTTTAGCCTAATATTTCCCAATTTATTTATTACTAATCTCTGTTTTAAAATAATCACCTTCTCTTTTACTTTCCCTAATGTTCTTGATCAACAAAACCCTATATATATATATATATATATATACTCATATGCACATCGTTTAAGGAAAGTAATAGACATATAAACGGGGGTGGGATAAGGAGGAGGTGCATGTAATTGACGAACAAGACAGAGTGTCACATTAACCACATTTCTACTCTACTAGTACTCCTTTCTATTTAAATTCCGTGTATCAATCATATTCTACCTCCTTCTATGTATTACTGGTTATTCTTTTCTATGACGTCTACGATATTCTTGAAAATTTCAATATTGGAAACTGCAGATATACTATTCCCACTAATATTTAAAAATATAGGCACATCGAATTTCTTTGTCAACAATTGATTTAGCAGTTTAACTTGATCATTATTTGTCAGATTATGCAAATATGTAGAATAATTTGAAATCGTGTAAATATAATCCCCCATTTCTGGGTTTCCTTGTTGATTAATGTAGATTGTTATTGGTGCTTTCTTGTGAAATTTGTGATTATATGATACAACTATGGTGTAATCCAATCCATTTAGCGTAATTCCATCTATTATATGATTCATGATGGTATATAATCGTGTCTCTTTTATCCTCTGGTTGTCCAAATCATATTTATTGATAGTGGCCGCTGTTGCTGCTGCTGCTGTTTTTTTTTTCTTCGTTCGTTGGTTCGTTCGTTGGTTCGTTCGATTGTGCGTTCCTTCTTACTTACTTGTTGCTGCTGTCAAAAAAAGAGTGTCGTGCGTAAATGCAAGATTTTTTTTTGCTTTGTTTTGTTTTATTCGGTTTCTCGTTCGCAACACATTTTTTTCTTCTTTAGTTTGAGATTCTGGCGGGGTCGTGTAAAATGGACAGACATCAAACAACATCACGATACTTTTCATACGAAGTGAAGAAGAAGTAGTAGAAGAAGAAGAAGAAGAAGAAGAAACACACAAGTGTTGAATAATATACACAATATGAACAAAGTTAAAGAAGGAATGATTACACAGAAGGAAATTAAGGAAATTTACTCACATATGAAGACAACCTTCAACTTATTCTCTTTCTAAATTTGTTCTCTCCCTTTTTTTTAAAAAATATACCTTTCTCTTTAGTTATATCCCTTAACTTTATAAATACAGTGGTTGATTCACTAGAAATCAAATTTATTCAAGTATAAGAAAAAAGCATTACTTTCAGTTTTGGGGTACCAAATTCTTATATTCTGTGATTTCCATTTGTTACCAGAATTGACCAATTGAATAATAATAATAATCAAAAAAAAAGACAATTCATAACTCCTTGTCCTCCCCCCCTTGTTTATCCTTTCGTCGTATTGCGCTTATAGTGTCATTAAATACCTGTCGTACCTTTATTTTTGCTTTCACTCTTTCTTCGGCTCGGTTCCAAATCCATACCAAAAAAAAGAAGAAGAAGAAGACAAAGACCATAAAGGGACATTATACGATAATTGTAATTGTATTTTGCTACCAAGTTCGCCATTTAATTATATCAAGAACAAGACAAACAAAAAAAACATCACCAATTTCAAATCATTGGTTAGTTACACTCTGTTGTCCTTCTATTGATTTTACTAATTTGAAACACGTGAATTGCAATTCCCGAACTTGATTTAAATAACCAACTAAAATTCAAATTACGTGGGTTGAGTGCACTTTTTTTAATTTTTAATTTTGGGTTGGCGTGTATTTTGGGACAATTTTAGTAAGAATAGAAAAATAATCACCTTATAACATCATTCAGTTTGATTTTTCCGATTTATAATCATAAAAGAAGGTTTTTCCATCAGGTTGGAATTTTTTTTGAAAATTTAATTTATAATTTATAATTTTTAATTTCTTTCTTTCTTTTTGACATTTTTTGAAATTATTCAAGGGTCTTTGATTTGTGGAGATTATATAATTACTTTCTAATTCCTCCTCCTCCTTCCCCCCCCTTTCTTGGTTCCATATATATAATTTTTTTTGCATACATAAATTTAGGTCCAACTTTTTTTATTTTTTGGGGCCAAAATATTTTCCATTGGGACAATTTATCACTTTCCTTAAAAAAGAATAACTGCAAAAAAAAAAAAAAATCATTATTACTATTATTATTACCGTTGAAGTTTCCCTGAAAAAGAATATATTTATAATATATATAAAATACTATTAGAAGGGAGGAAAATATAATACAAAGGAATTGTTGGTTAAGGTTCAAAGTTTCCATTATTTCCATTCATTTTTGTAAGTTTTCAATTTTGACAACATTTTGATTTTAATCAATGGGTTCTTTTTTTTTGTTTTTTGAATTAGCATTATCTCATATTATTATCTTATAATGAAGACATCATCATCAAGTATATCAAGTATAGCCAGATCAAGTAATTTAGAATTACAATCCACATCACTGGCTTCTAGTAGAATGTCAAATGAAGAGTTGCAAAAAGAAGAATCACACGAACAAGAAAATCAACATGAAGAAAAAGAAGATGAAGTAGAAGATGAATTAGAAGAAGAACTGCATGAACAAGAAGAAGAACAAGAAATTGAATCGCCTCAAAAGCCAAGACAAGATTTGATTGATTGTTTAGATCAATATGTTTTGACAAATAGAGGTGGAAATGGACAAACGTTTAGTAATTTTCCTATAATTATGAAAATTCCCATAGATGAAGAAAAACAAACAAAATCAATTGTTGAAGATGTTATTTCACAATGTTTAGGAATATCATCAATTTACCATCAAGGCCATAGTAGTAGTCATGAAGGTGAAGACCAACAACCACAACAAGAGGATAAAGATGATCAGGAAGAAGAAGAAGAAGAAGAACATTCTTGTGAGAGTTATATAACAATTGGGTTTACTACTAAAAATGAATTGGATGATTTGATTTATAAATTATATGAAGAACAAATTACTTTTGATTTGGATTATTCAAAATTTATTTCTCATCCAGGTATACTTTTCATTAAGAATTTATCAAGTAATTTAATGTTTGATGATGATTTCACTTTGGATTCAATTACAATTAATGAATCTACTATTCCAAAACATAAATTGTTTGAGTTTTTAATGGATAATTGTCACTTTAAATCATTAAGAGAAGTCAAGATATTCAATAATAATAATAATAACAATAATAATAATAACAATGATCATCATCATCATCATCATAATCATAATAATAGTCACAATCATCATAACAATTCCCCATCATCTACGTCTTCAAACTTGTCATCATCATTTGCAATTGTTAAATTTACAAATCATTTGGATGTTGATATTTTAATTAAGAAATTTAACAAGTATGTTCCTAATATTTTCAATAATAATAATTCAGTTCCATTATTTCTTAATAAATATCTTAATAGAAAAGAACGATTTGTACCTTCAAATTTATCATTAAATTCATCACAACAATTGTTTTCAAATGGTGGTGGTAATACTACCACTAATAATAATAATTCAAAATCAAATGATAATTTCAATCTTATAATTGTTGAAAATTTAATTAATTTTTTACCTCAATCAAATTTATCAAGATTTGAATTTGAATCATTTATTAATAAATTTAAAAATTTTGGTAATTTTATTGAAATGATTTATTTTCCATTGATTGATAAAGGAGTTAATTTGGATGATATTAAAACTTTTGATTATGGATTTATAAAATTTAAACAACCAAATATTAATTTAATGGAAAATACTTTACGTATTTTATATTATTTGAATGATTTAACCTGGGAAGAGTTTATGGATTTGGATATTGAAAATTTACCTGGTTTGTTAGAAAAAGATGATGATACTGAAGAAGAACAGGAAATACAAAAGGAAGGAAGTGCTGATAATACTGATGGTGAAGAACAACAACAAGATGAAGGTGAAGAGGAAGAAGATTCTCAACCAGGAAGAATTTTAATAACTATTGCTCAACATAAACATAACCATTATTTGTTTGGTCAAGCTAATAACTTTTATTTATCATTGAATAAAAATTCATCAATTGGAGTTAGTTTTCCAAATCCAATATTTACTATAAATCAATTTTCAAGAAATTTGAATTATCAAGAAACAAATATTTATGTAAATAATTTACCAATTGTATTTAATAATGATGATGTTACTTGGGAATCATTTTGGACTCAATTTGGTGTAATTAAATCAGCAAAAATTATTAAACCACAATTTTATCATGAAGATGAAGATGAACATAAATCAGGTAAAATTGGATTTGTATTTTATAAGAATTTTAAAATGGCTATTCGAGCAATATTAATGACTAATAATAAAGTTGTTAATGTTGAACATTTTAATCCAATAATTATCCAATCATCATTTGCTATTCAAAAATCAAACAATAGTAAAGAATTTAAACAACAACAACAACAGCAGCAGCAACAACAACAACATCAATTACAATTACAGTTACAGTTACAGTTACAATTACAACAACAAGCTCATAATATTCATATTCCACATCATCACCATCATCAACATAATAATAATAATAATAACCAAAACTACCACCATCATCATCATATTCATCTGCAACCACTACATCATCTTGCACTGCAACCACATCATTTACCACAGAATTTATCCATGCAGGGTGGTCATATTTATCATAATTCAAATCCTATTAATACAGGTCAAGGAGCAGGAGGTGTTATCAATAATCATAATAATCATAATAATAATAACACTAATGGTAACAATAATAATAATAGTAGTAATGGTAATGGTGGTGTTGCAATTGCCACTGCGGCAGCAATGGCTGCAGCTGCAGCAGCTGCTGCGAATAATCAACCATATTTTGCATATCAACCAATGATTCCTTATTATTATGGATATCATCCAAATCCATATCAATTTACTAATGGACTCCCACCAACTAGTGTACCTCCTCCACCACCGCCACCACCGTCATCACAAACTCATCATACTAATAATACAGGACATGGAAAATCTTTAGGTGATAAATCCATTGATAGATCATCTGGATCTTCAATTCATGCTGGTTCAAGTAGTCCCTCAGTTTCTAATGAGAATTTAAGTGGTAATAATGATAGTGGTGGTAATCCTCATAATAACATGACGGCATATTCAAATTATTTGATACCTACTAGAGCTTATCCGTATTATTATTTTGAAGGTCAGAATAGTACTACCAACTCTACAGAAAAGTCAAGTAAAGATTGAATATATATATATATATATATAGGTTACTTAAAGAAAATCAAAATTAAATTTGGAATATATACATCACTTCCGTATATATATATTATACATGAATATGATCCTTTTTTTGTTTTTCATATATTTTTGGTTATTTGTCTCTTTTGTCAATATTTACAATGATGGTGGATGAGTTAATTCTTCTTGATCTTCTTCTTTAATTCCTCTTGATTGAGGATTAAGTTTTGCTGATTCAACAATAGCATCAACTTTTTCTTGATCTTGATCTTCTTCATCAATAGGTTCAACTGAATTAACTTCTTCAATATAATGTTTCAACATACTTTCAATACCATTTTTTAAAGTGACAGAACTTGAATCACAACTACGACAAGCACCTTTTAATTTTAAATAAACAGTACCATTATCTGGTTCAAATTTAATAAATTCAATATCTCCACCATCATCTTGAATAGCTGGTCTTATTCTTGTAAAAATTAATTCTTTAATCATTGAAACAACTTCATCATCATCTTCATCAAATGCCATATCATCAGTTATAATTCCATTTTTATCATTCTCTAATAATATAGGTGATCCATTAGTTAAATATTCAGTTAAAATTGAAAAAATTTCTGGTTTTAATAATGGCCATGCAATATTTTCTGATTTTTCAATAGTTATAAAATCTGATCCATACATAACTGATTTAATTCCATCAATACTAAATAATTTAACTGCAAGTGGTGAACAAGCTGCTTCTCTACCACTTAAAAATTCTTTAGTTTGATTTTCTCCCAATATTTGAATCAGGGGTAAGAATTTTAATGCTTGTTCATTAGGTGTTTCAGATGTTTGAATAAATAGATTTCTTATACTTCTTATAAATGATGAATTAATAGGTCTTGTTATTTGTGTTCTATAATTTATAAATGATCGTGGTAAACTTCTGGCAAACATTGTTTAGGTGATTATTAATGGGTGATCAGGTAAAAGACAAAGAAGAATGAAAAATTGGCATCAAGAGTTTTATTTTTCTTTTCTCTCTCTCTCTCTCTCTCTCTAAGAATTGCCATAAAAAGAAATGTTTAGTGTGCTCGGAAAAAACAGGAATGGTGGAGGTAGAGATGATGGCTATTTAGGTGTTACAATATTTCCTGCAACTTGGGTTCCACTAAATTTAGTAAGTTATCAAAAAGATCAGTTGATCTTGAAGTGTAGAGTTTGGCCCACTGATGCTTTTTTTTTAAACCATAGAAGCAGTAATGGTATATATACAACCTAGAGATACAACATTTCTGTGTTTTACTAGCATCAACAACTTCATATCAAAAGATACAAAACAGCCTCATCTTTACCAAACATAACCAACTATCTAGGTTATCCTTGTCACAATACATACTTCCAATTAAGCATATTTAAAAATAAGTATTTTGATTTGTGACACGTTCTGATTTGAGAAATGTAAGGATCGAGTTTCCTTTAGCAACAACTTACTACTTGTTTGCATCCTGGACATTGTTTCATTGAAACTAATTTAATAATAGAGGATGTCGATGAATTAATGTGAATGAAACACATTCGTTGACACTATCAGAACAAAGAGATTTGTCGTACATAAACTAACAAGAATATATATATATATATATATCTGCAATAATTCATCCTCTCTTTGAATCAATATCGATAGAATATTGATACCATAGATAATAACTTGCGAAAACCAATGACCACCATTTTATCTCAATTCTCTGTGTAAATGTTTATTTCTTTAATTAAGACGAAATTCCTTGTTTCAATGAAAACTACAGAAAATAAGATATATGAATTTGGAAGGAATCAGGGTTCCTGATATATACAAAAATTTCAACCAAGAAAAGGAGAGTGATAAGCAATTAATCTACTTATTGTTCTTTTCCAAAATGTTAGGTTATCTTCATTTTGAATATTTCGTGCCGTTCATTCTCAGCACAATATAAAGACTTCCTCTTAATTCCTTGTAAATCCCCGCGGAAAACTTTGTCATACAATACATGAATGGATCATGTCGGAGTTGTATGTGTGTGTGTTCCACAACTGATTATTGGTTATAGGATTTGTTCACCCTCGTAATGGCCAACTATAATCATTGACATTAAAAAATCTATCATCTGACCTGCTACAATGTCCATCATCCATTACTTCATGGATCCAAGGAGCGAAAGAAAGAGACAGAGAGAGAGAATAGAGGTCCCTGAACATTGTCATGCAAATTCAAACCCATTCTTGTACCAAGGGACACGAGTATTCTTTCTTTTTTTCTGTTGGTCTATTATCACCAAACCAAACTTGCCCAAGGAAAAATTTTCGCCTTGTTAGCAATATAATACCCCAATAATCAATTCAACAACAACAACAACAAGAAGAAGAAGAAGAAGAAGAATGGATAGTGTGTTGATTGCATTATTAACTATCTTAGCAGGATTTTTAATAATCCTTTTGATATTTTTCATTCAAACAGGTGGATTAAATTCTATTTCACCAGTTTCTAAAAAATCTAAATTTTATCATCCAACTTTTCTTATCCTTGGATCTAATAATTCAGGTAAGACTTCATTATTTAATAAATTACAACATAATGAACAAATTAAAAATACTGTATCATCAATTGAACCAAATGTATCAATGATTAATTTACCAATTTCAAATCCTTCAATTGGTAAAAAATTTCAAATTATTGATTATCCTGGACATTTAAAATTGAGTAAAATTTTTGAAAGATTAATTATTAATGAAATTACTTTAAAAAATTTAAAAGGAATTATTTATATGATTGATTCTTCAAGTATTAATATTAATGATGATATTAATTTTGAAAAAATTGTTAAATTTTTATATAATTTATTTAGTATTACTGAACGTATACCAAATGGTGTTGATTTTTTAATTGCTATTAATAAAACTGATTTATTTGATTCAATACCAGTTCATAAAATTAAAAATAAATTAGAATTTGAAATTAATAAATTGATCCGTCATGAAATTGATAATGTTGGTAAAACTTCAGGTATTGATGATACTGGAAAAGATGATGATGATGATGATGATGTATCAAATGGTGGTAATTCTGATAAAAATGAAAGTTTAAGAGCATTTTGGATGGGTGTTGTTGGAAATGGTGATTTTACTTTTGATAAATTAGAAGGTAATGTTGATTTCTTTGGTGGTAGCACAACAAAGAATATAAGTCAATGGGAGAATTGGCTTGATGAAAAAGTTGTCAATCCATAACCTCCCCCCTCCCTCATATACATTCAATACTATGAGTAAAAGTGAGAGAAAACTACAATGTATAGGTATTTCTAGCCTCTCCAAATAATAATAATATATATATATATATAAAACGATACATAACATAGTAATAAAAATAGACAAATGTAATCAGCAAAACAACCTGTAGAACTTATATAGACCATTTCGATTAACCCCCCATTGATACAACAAGTCAAACCAAAATCAGTGTCGAAAAATATATTCCAATTTCGAACAATTTTTTCTTTTTTTTTTTTTTTTTGCAACCGAAACTAAAAAAAAAGTTGACAATACACATTAAAATATACAGAAAGAGTTAACAACCATCATTATTACAATATAAAAAAATGACAACCAGGAAACATCAAAAACCAACCCACCAGCAGCACCTTCACCCAATATTCAAAAAAAAAAAGCACAACGACAAATCAAACTCTCTAAATAAGTTAATCATTTCATTAGCTAAAAAGAAAAAAGTAATAAAAAAATAATGAAGAATCTAATCTCTTCTTTATATTCTATACTTTTTCTTTGAAGTCTTTCTTTTACTAATATACAAGCATCTTGGTTTACAAGATTGGTGAAGGTTGAAGGGAAAACTAGAGAATCATCAAGAAAACAAATGTGCCGAACTACATAAAACATCTATATATAATACAAGGATAAATGCAGTTATTGGATGGGTAATGTGATAAATGATGTGTGAGTGATGCGTGGTAGATGGATGAAAGGGGGGAAATATAAATATTGTCTAAAAAATGATTTGAAAGTAATAATAAACACACACACACACACCCAACATCATGAAAATAAAACACTGGTAAAAAGTTGATGGGATTGAAAGCCCTGGGAACTAAACATATAATGGTTGATTTCTTTCATTTCATAATAATGAGTTGACTGGAAGCAAAAAAAATAAAATAAAATAAAATGTATGAATTGGATTTAAAAAATTCAACACTTGAATGGCTCTTTGTAGAAAAAATAAGGGTTAAAAGCCTGTGATCTAATGTACATAAGTTTTTGGTGGTAAGGTAATAATAAAAATAATAATAAAAAAAAACACACAAGATGGTTGGATAATCAAAAAATAAAAAAAATAGAAACCACTGATAGTGATTCATAAAAAAAGGAGTGAAGAAAGGAGGAGGCAGTAAACAACAACACCAATGGTGATAAATGGTAAACCGTAAAAATAATAATAATAAGAAAAGTTGAGGAGGATGTGAATAAATCAAGTGATAAAGATTAGAACGAAATCACTTATTTAACAGTCTTCTTTGGTTTTCTTTGGTTGGCACCTGGACGGTTGTTGGCCACATTTGCTGGGGCATATCTTGGTTTCTTGTCAGCAGGTTTCAAAATTTGGAAGGAACACAATAAACTTTCATCAACAGACATCATGGCACCAGCATTGTCAAATTCACCACAATAGTTTGGTGCAGAGAATAATGTCACCAATTGACGCTTGCTGAAAAATTCGTAACCATCTTCAACAACTTGATGGGCACGACAAATCAAATCCATATCGTGTTTTTGTAAAAATCTAGAAACAACATCTGGACCAAAAGTAAAGGACACACCTCTATCGTTTTCTGACCATCCAGTGATATCCTTATCTGGATCTGACCACAATAAATCACACAACAAACCAACATCTGGAATATCGGTTGGTCTCATAACTCTTCTGATTTGTTCCATAGAGTTCAAGTCAGGTGACAAACCACCATGCATAGTAAAGATTTTTTCATCGATAATAGCTGCAATTGGTAAACAGTTGAAACAATCAGTAAAAGTTTTCCACAATTTAATATTGTATCTTCTTTTACATTCGTCGTAGAAACCGTAAATACGATTAATGGATGCACATTCGTGATTACCTCTTAAAATGAAGAAATTTTCTGGATATTTGATCTTATAGGCCAACAACAAACAAATTGTTTCCAAGGATTGTTTACCTCTATCGACATAGTCACCAAGGAAAAGATAATTTGCCTCTGGTGGGAAGCCACCGTATTCAAACAAACGAAGAAGATCGTAATATTGCCCGTGGATATCCCCACAAATCTTTATAGGAGCCTCAAGCTCAAGCAATATAGGTTGTTGGATAAAGATTTCTCTTGCTTTGGTACATAAATATCTGATTTCGTTTTCACTTAATGCCACTTGTTTTCCTGGCCTTGAGCCACGAACTTCGAGCAAACGGTCTACAATGGAGTCCACAGAAATGGAGGAATCGTCTTCTATGTTTGACATTTTCAATTATAAGGTTGATATATTGATTGATTGATTGGATGGGTACGGTGTTGCTGTAATAGCTTGTGTATAATAAAAGGGGGGACAGCAACTCAACAACAAATTCTGTTATCCGAAGAAAGAGAAAAATTATTTAATTTTTTTTTTTTTCCTTTTCCTTTGGTAAAGTGAAAACGAACGAAACACACTGTAGAGTGAGAGTAGTGCGTGTGTGTATCGTTGTTGTTGTTGTTTCTATGCTTTGAAGAGGAGAGAGAACAGAAAAAAGAGAAAAAAAAATTTTTCTGTGTTGTTTTTTCCTCTTCCCGTTCTTCGCAGTGTCTTTCTTTCTGGCCATCGCGAATCGCCTCCACCACCATCTTCTTCTACCACCACCACCACCACCATTATCTCCCTTTTAACTGTCCAGTAGCACCAGAAAAAAAAATTAATTATTACAAATTACTCAGCGTTTGGCCCAAAGCGAAAAAAAAAAATCCCTCACGTAATCACATCACCACATTTTTTTCATTCGGGGTTTCTTTTCCATTCGTAAAATTACATAGATTCTTTTCTTTTAGTGGCGAGAGATTCTTTTTTTTGTTTTGTTTCTTTGTTAATCACTCCGGATCTAAAATCATCAAACTAAAATATATACATAAAAACAAAGGAGGCTATTAATGATTTCTATCATATGGTCAATGAACTCAATTCAATTTAATTCAACCAATTGAACTTCTTCAGATTGGCTGTAAAATTTTCTTTTTTTACTTACCTCGTTTCATATTTTTTTTTCTTGTCGCGTATTGACCTTGCATTAGTAATTGACGACATTTTTTCCTGTTTAAGTTTAATTGTCCAGATTGAATTATTAAATCGGTGGTTTTATAATATTATTAATACTCTAATGTCGTAATACCAGTGAATGGGTACGTCCGCTTCTCCTCATTTATCATTGGTCAAAAGTAATATCGCGAATCCCATTACACGTCTGTATTATCATCTGTTACGTCCCGGTATTTATTCTCAACTGAGTCAGATTGATTTAATTTCGGTGACGATAAAGTCGATTTAAAAAACCCGCGTCCCCTCGCCTTATTTGGCACATCATAAAAACAGAGTCATTCAATATGATACGTACAACCATCAATTTCTATTCCGTCAACATATAGGGATCATCATCGAGAAGATTATTCCTCCTACATCGTGATTTTTGCTGTCTTATGGAAGAATATTACTATCCAATTACTGTCCTGTGCTTTGGAAATCAATCACGACTTTTTTTTTCTCCAAAGACACACTTTGTAGATATCGCTGGCTCTTTTTTTTAATTTTTTTCTTCGATATTAACTCCTCATTATCATTACTGGTTGAATAATAATGAATTGATTCAAGTAAACCCACCCCCCCCCACACACACACGAGTATACCTACCATATATTTCAATGAGCAAACCCCAACAACAACAAGTGCCACCATTTCCAAATAAATATCAAGTTAGATTAGTTGCATCATCTGATTCTAAACCATGTATAATATGTTATAAACCAGCAACAACAGTATTATTAGCTGAAGGGAATGGAGATTTCTTTTATACTTGTCAACAACATTTAAAAGATGAACAATTTGCTAATTCTATACATCCTCAAGAATATACTGATTTGGTTAATTCTCAAAAAGAATTAACAACAAAGAAAGTTCAATTAGAAAAAGATGTTGAATTAGAAAAACCATATATTTGGAATAAAGTTACTGGTTATTGGAAGAATGATAAAGAGAAATCTGAAGACTCTAAAAACAATGATAATTTGAGTAAATATGAAAAGCTTAAGAATGAGTTAAAAGAAGTTATGAAAGAATTAGATGAAAAGAATAAATTAATACTGGAATTTAAATTTAAACAATATAAATTGAATCAAGATATATATAAGAATAGATTAATGATTCATCAAAAGAAAGTATATGGTCAACAACGAGCCGTGAAGATTCAACAAGAAGGATTCTTCCCATCTGCTCCAAGCCATAATCTAGAGTAATTACTACGTGTTATAGAGTATTTAATGTAGAAACGTCGTATAGTTTCGACTAATGAATAATGGTCATGAAAGAAACGTAACAGTTGTGAAGTATATGTAGGTTAACATAGTAAGTAACTACTATGAACGGTTGCAAAAAGGCAATATAAACTGCAAATTGGCCTGGGCTTTTGTGTGTGGAACTGGTAATAGTTTTTTCACTTTTTCCTGTACACTACCAAAAACATGGCAAATATAATACAGTAACAACTGGGTATCAAAATGATAGGCCCTCTAGTGATATAATAGTGAGGTGATGATAATATGCTTGGAATCTAGTAATTTATGCAATCACAAAAAATGTAGTTAAATTATTCTTGGTTGTTATTTATTACCATAGACAATCAGAGTATATTGACATTTATGTCATTTTTCATGTATATATTTCCAAGCCCTAATAGCCCTAATTGTTTTCACGTGCACGCAATTTCAGTATTTTTTTTTGTTAAAGGTGCACACCCTCCCAATACAGTAGTAAATTTTTTTTTGTGTGTGTGTGCGAGAAGACTTTCTCTCACTCTCTCACAGTCTCACACTCCCTTTTACTCACTATAGTGTGAGCACTCACATTGTGTGTTACTGCGAGACAGCATTGGAGAAAAGAAAAAAAAAAAGAAAATTTTTCTTCATTTTTCAGATTTCATTTCCTGAACCTATACATATTAGAGAAACAAGTCAACAATGGTATGTTCAATAAACTATTGATAATGTAATGATTTTGAATATTACCAGTAACGTAAAATGAACAAATGGATGAATGATAAAGAATTGGAAAATGAATAGAATCAAAAGTTGATCAAGAAACCCAAAAAAAAAGAATGAAAGAATTAAACGATTAGTTAAAAGAGTTTTGAATTAGTTAAAAGAGTTGAATGGAAAATGACAAATCATTACCAATGTAATACGATGAATATGTAAAATACTAACATTTCATTTTTTCTAATAGGTTTTAGTTCAAGATTTATTGCATCCATCTCCAGCTTCTGAAGCTAAACAACACAAATTGAAAACTTTAGTTCAACAACCAAGATCTTTCTTCATGGATGTTAAATGTCAAGGATGTCTTAATATCACCACTGTTTTCAGTCACGCTCAAACTGCTGTCACTTGTGACTCTTGTTCCACTGTCTTGTGTACCCCAACCGGTGGTAAAGCTAAATTGACTGAAGGTTGTTCTTTCAGAAGAAAGTAAATTTATTAATCAACATAAGAAAACTATTATGAAATAGAATGATGTCATTTATTTTAGAGTAAAAGAAAAATGAAGTATTGTTGTGAATTTATAATGATGAAAGAAATATGAAGAAGTCAGAATGAAAGAAATTGAAAAAAGTGAATTATATATTTTCATTGATAATGAAATAAAGTTGGTAATATTATATGTATCATAGGAATTCAATCCATTTTTGTTATTGATGTTAATTTTAATAATCATTTATGGGGAGAATTTTACAAAATTTAAAAAAGAATAGTGAATTTTATAAAGCATTTTCTTTGTAATTTTTTTTTATAAAATTTATTAATAATATAAAAAACATTTAAAATCGTTATTTTTGTAATTATATAGAATTCAAATTGAGAGCTGACTGGGTGTATACCTACATGTCAGTATCAAGTGGAGATAACAAAATACAGAATTAAAAAAATATATTCAAGAAAATCAAACAACATTAGACATTAGGGTTATATAAACTTTTTTTTTTCCTTATATATCTATATTATATCACCTAAAGTTTACTCTTACCAAAATGTCTGACAACTTCATCAATAGCTTTAGCAACTTTGTCAACATTACCATCATTCAAACCAGCAACAGAAGCTCTACCACTGCTGACCAAATAAATACCGTGCTTACTTTGTAAACGTTCAACCATATCTGGGGTCAAACCAGTGAATGAAAACATACCAGTTTGATCAGTAATGTGGTTCCAAGTACCTGGAGTACCTAAACTTTCCAATTTAGATCTTAAAGTATCTCTCATCTTACCAATTCTTGAAGACATGGTAACCAAATCTTTACGCCATTGAGAGTATAATTCTGGATCATTCAAAATGGTAGCAACAATCTTAGAACCATAAGCTGGAGGATTAGAAATTTCCGAACGGATAATCTTGTTCAATTGAGATTTGATAGCCTTGTTTAAAGATTCATTTGATTCTTCAGTTGAAGCAATGACATGGATAGCACCAACTCTTTCACCATACATACCAACATTCTTAGCAAAAGATTGACAAATGATGATTGGAGAAGTGATAAGTTTGGAATCAATGGCTTTTCTGATTGGATAAGCATCTTTTTCCAAATCACCACTGGCAAAACCTTGATAAGCAGAATCAAAAATAACCAAGTGTTGTTTCTTATTCAAAGCAGTCAAAATTTCGTTCCATTGGCTATGGCTTGGATCTAAACCAGTTGGATTGTGGGCACAAGCATGTAACAAGAAAATAGAACCTTGTGGAGCAGATTCAATAGCTTTCAAAAATCCGTTTAAATCCAATGATTTGGTTTCGTTATTCCAGTAAGGATAACTAGCAACTTTGAAACCAATAGTTTCAAAAATTTGTTTGTGGTTAGCCCAAGTTGGTTGGGACAAATAAATAGTATGGTTACCTTGGTAGAATTGTTTGATGAAAACACCAGCAACATGTAAAGCACCAGTACCAGATAAACTTTGTTGAGAAACAATCTTGTTATCTTTAATGGCCAAGGAGTTGTCTCCCAAAATGACTTTAGCGGCACTACTAGTGAATGGTTCATACCCACTGATGGACAAGTATTCGTGGTTGTAATCTGGGGAATTGATTAATTTCTGTTCGGCTTGTCTGACGGCTGGTAAGATCCATGGTTTCCCATCGTTGTCTCTGTAAGCACCAATACCCAAATCGACTTTATCAGAACGGGAATCAGCATTGTAACGGGCCTTTAATCCGAATAATGGATCTGGTGGTAATTCTTTAATACCTGCGAATGGTGACATATTGGATTATAGCTATTGAAATAAATAAGGAGTAATTAAAACAGAAAGAAAGAAATATTTGTTTATTTATTAATTTCTATCTTATAAAAAAAAAAGAGCAAAAAAAAATCAAAGAAAGAGGAAAATTGTATTTTATATTATCTGCCAATTTTGAAAAACTTATGAGCAATAATTGTACAGTAATTCCTACAGTAAGAGAAAAAGAAAAAAAAAATTCTTCCTTTTATGCGAAGATTCGGTTTAATTGTCTTGTGGCAATTTTATTTTATCTTGTCCCACACGCACAGCGATGGACGTAAATTATCCGCTTCCTCTGGTTGTGGGTAGTGTGCCGGTCAAAGAGGGGAAATTATCTTTCAATCTCGACAAGGCAAGGCAATACAAGGCAATACAATACAATACAATATAATTCCCTTGCCTCGAAAGGTTTGAAAGCAAGTAGTGAATCGGGAAAATTGTCTCTCTCTCTCTGTATCAGTCACTTTCCCCCCTATTTATTGATAATCCCACCCTGTCTCCCCCAAGCGGTTACAAACTAAACACCGAACAGGATTGTTGAGCTTTGATATATTTATATATCAATAATCCTCTCTCTCTTTCTCATCTCTCCCCGCCGCCCCTCCATGTATCCAACATTCCTTTTAAAAAAAAAAGTTAAACGGATTAAACAGATTAAACAGAGAACACATCACCATGATACGACCGATCTTGGCCCACCTTAATTAGAGATAAGCAAAATATACTTTCAGAAGGTTTCATTTGATCTTTTATCCATGGGATGTGGGATTAAAGATCGTGTGAATTTTTTTCTTCTTCTTATTCTTGTAGTTGATGTTCTGCATACCAACTGGCGGGGATAAGTAAAGTACATCAAAACCAAATCCCGCATTCGTCCGTTAACTTGTAATTCCTAATGTGATGTGAAATTAAGCACACAGCACCACAGTAAATAACAGAAATTGTGTCAGTTTCCTTTTCAGTTATTTGCCGTACGGATTGGGGGAGAAATAGAATGAAAAAGATCGCGTACGGACTAAAAAAAAAAAATCGGCTGCTAATTTTTTTTCACTTTTAGTTATTTAAACAGCCGGTACGCCCAACTATCATGCAAGTACCCTGTTTTGTTTGTACAATATCACACCATAATACTTGAAATAAACAAAAAAAGATACGTTTTGATCTAATTCTGGGGATATAATCAATGTACATTTATTTGACCATCTGTTACAAAACTAGTTGTTGACGTTCTATTGCCAGGAAATTCCTTTCCTTATTCTTCGGAAAACTCAAACAATATTCACAATGCCATTCAATTACTGGAACAATACAGTAGAATTTTGTTATTGACATCAGAATTCCGGCTCATCTCAAATTCTTGTGGTGGTTGACTTTGGTAGTTGACATACTTTCTCAATCTTATTGTGAAATTTGCCGTGGCTTTTATCGAAACCAATGGGTATTGATCTGTTTAATCACATCAATAAATCGTATTTCTTGAAAGTGTTACCCAAATTTCCAGTAAGGCGGTTCTAAAATGCAACATCAAGTTAATAATCCACTAATAACAACCTTAACCTAAAATGAAAAAAAAAAACTTACTTTATTTGACACATCCCTTCTTCCGAGATTATATGATAATGGTTATCTTTGATTGAAAGACATTCAACGAAATAAGATTTCCTAACTTTTAATATGTGGCACTTTCTGTGTGAATGATTAAATATGAAATAAACTGCGGTGTTGCTTGAACATTGTGATCATCATGACCGTTGACAGCATTAGCTGTCAAATTTTAGTATAGGTATGATTGCAAAATAAGGGTTTCTCCGTAAAATGAATAAATTAATTTAAACCAATCGTGATACTCTTTCCAGGATAGTCAAATATGTTTGTCCATAGTGAGGATACAATCATTGGGTATATTTGTAGTACTCTTCACTTTGATTGTTGATTTGCAATGACAATTAATTGGTCGTTCCTTGAGTATTGTGCCTTTTGACTTTGTCGTGTCTTTGAAGTCTTACTTTATAACCTGTTTCTAGAAACGTTCTTGTTATTACTTATATACTAACCTGAAGCAAGATACTACAACGTACCAAGACCAAGACAATTTCAACATTGATTACCAACACCAGTAACAGAAAAAAAGACAAAAACACAGGTTCTATCTAACACTCAACGACATTTGAATATAAATAGACACACTTGCGTCACCAGTTACTATAACAGCTCTTGGTTAGAATCCTTTTTGTTTTTTCTTGGATGAAGTATTCTTTTCGGAACCAGGTTGGAATATTCATAACAACCAATGTATAGTTTCTAAAATCAACAAGAAAAGGAGAGAAATAAGTGCCCCAGTAGAAACACTAAATTGTAATCCACTTCTCTCAATGGACCGTGTATAAAGGAAAGGCTCATTTGTTTAATTTTGTGTCTTTTCTCCAATAAAATTTGCAAAATGGAAATTTCTTGCATCGAATTATGTATCCGAATTGTACACCTGTTATCTAAATAGTTGGGGGGCTTTTTATTATTTCTTCCCACATAGCTACCGGCCACAAATTATCATTAAACGCTCAATTTGATATAACTATGGGGTATTATAGTTGATACCTAATGACAGGAAAGCGGAACCGACAATATTAGTAATTATCAATGTCTTCAATTACTAATATTTGAAGACATTACTTATATGTTTGTTCTTAAGTATAAATCGACGTCATGATACTGGTCTGGATATGCTGCTCTTTTGTTAATCCCGTTATAGGCACTCGTACTTGCTATATCCCAGGGCCGGCGTATAGAAACAAAATTGCAAAATCATAAACCGATTCCGTTTAGTAATCCAGATAATCAAATTTGATCAACATGACCTGCTTTTTTACACAAGCAAAAATATCAATCATTAACATCTGCATTAGTTTACCACATTCTAACTTATCTCAAATTAGAATAAATAAATAAATAAAAAGAAATAAAACATCGCTTTCCATCGCATATTATTCTCTCAGTCTCTCTTAAACCTTCCGTAATTTAAGACTTACCGCGCTAATGTAAGACCGTTATGAGCTCGTGCATCATGCCCATTAAAGCAATTCGCAACCTTAGAAAGGTATAAACAATGATGGAAATAGGGGAATAGCATCAAATGGTTCCGATTCCGTATTGTGATAACAAGATATTTCAAATGTTGAGTTATAATATCTGCGACAATGTTTCGTGGCTAATTGGCGTTTTTATATATTGAATGGAATTCCTTGACGTTTTCATTTAAACTCAACGTTTTTGCATGTTCTAGAAAAAGAAAAACTGTCATCTGATTCCATTTGCCCGTTGTCACTAGGCATTTGCTTGTTGTGATGATTTATTTTTAGTTCATTGTGTACCTATATGTTGTCAAGATATTTTATGAAATAGTACAATAAAAATATTACATAAAGAAAAAGGGTCAATTCTACCCTACTTATCAAATGGCTCATATTACACTGAACATCAAATAGTTACAGATTATGAACAATGACCTTGATAACTTCCTGAAATATTATTTTAAGCAAAACTAGCTATATCTTAACCACTTGACGTTGTTGTATTTGTCACTATTGTTGATCCTTTTATTTCTTTTTTTTTTTTTATCTACACGATATATCCGTTTTGTAATCTCGTAAACGTAATTTCAGAAGTCTTGAAACAACATCATGTTCAGCTTTAAGAATCACAAATTCATTCTATTTAAAAGAAGGCAATTATAGTAGAGTAGTTTTAAAAATAGGAGTGGATGCCCGCTGGAGAATTTTTGTATTCGGCTATTGATTCCCTTTGTTAATGTTCAAACTCCACTTTCTCGTCAAGTGTATACGGCTATTCATACTTAAATTTGTTCTTTCGAGATTGTGAAATACTATTGTCATTCAAATGTGAAATTAATTTCAAGTTAGAAGTTTCCAAATTTATCTTTGTATTGTATAATCTCGAGTAAATATACCCTTGGTATACGCTTTTTTCTCTTTTTTTTTGCCAACGCATAATGTATGACATCAACTGGTAGTTCGCATTTTGTTGCAAATTCATATTGTATATTTTTTTAGTAAGCTTAGTAAAATGCTCATAATTTATAAAACTAAGTGCATGAGAGAATTAAAAATTAAAGTAGAAGAAGAAGAAGAAGAAGAAAACAAAAAAAAAAATGCAGAAATCCGATGGGGTATTTAATCTTTGAGTAATGTTCGTTTATACTATCCTATTTATTGGTTATCTTTGTAACTATTAACAACAGAAAGATTTTTTTTTTATTTATTTTATTTAAAGAGAGTGCAAAAACATCGGAAAAAGCAATTTGGAATCTCATTTTTTGTATGACATTTCTTCTTTTTCCGAGATTATATAAGAACATGAATCCTCCATTTATAAACCTGGAACTTGGTTTCATTGATCTAATTTTTATTTATTGATTCATTGTTGTAATTTCCCTTTTTCTTTGTTCTTCTTTTCCTTAATTGATATATCTTTTTTTTTAATCTTTTTATTCAAATTAAAGTTACGTTGTTTGCCTTTTTACCTTTCATCACAATCCAATACAATGTCATTACAAAATAAATTGGAAATAGAATTTGCTCCATCTCAAGATCAATTGCTTGAATATATTAGAAATATTCCAGTAAGAACCATTCCTGGAGGAGAAGAAAGATATAGTAAGAATGCTAGACTAGGGGTGGAAATACCAATTGATCCAAAACAAGCTAGAGAAATGTTTGAATTTGCTCAGGCAAGAAAGTTGACTACAGTACAACTAAAATAAGTATAAGCAATTTGATATAGCTTATAAATAATGATAATAATAAACGATAATTCACAATAGTAAATATAATTCGACTGACGTTCTTTTGACAGAATCAATGAGCTGTCAAAATCTCTTCTAGGAAACGGAATTCCTTTGATCGTCTCTACAAGTGAAATGAAGAAACTGGACTTTGATCAACAGAACGAAACTAATGGATTTGAAGGCTTATTACTTATTTGTTAACTTTACAAAGCCAGGCATTTCTTCAGTTATTATTATTTCTAATTGGCCCATCAACTATCAGCCACAACTTCTTACAAATGCAGGAAGAAAAAGATAAAGAGAAGAGAAAGCGACGCGTGTGGGTTTCTCCGAGATTTTATTTTTTTTTTTGTTCCTTTGAAATCGCATCGCCAATTATACACGACTCAAAAAAAAAAAAATCCCATCAAGAATCCACGATAGAAAAGTCACGAAAGAGAACGACAACATCAGTTTAATCTTAATTGATCTTTATGCATAATAATAGTAAAACACCGAAAAGAGAAAGCAAGCTACAAGTACCAGCTTCTTCACCAATAGTTATTCAGTCGTCGCCAGTCAAACAACCAACAATGCAACAACCGTCATTAAGTGAAGATAAAGCAAGGGAGTTGGAAGCCAAGAGGCAGAAAATACGTAATCATCCAGATTTCCCATTAATCAGAAAGAAATTCCCATATGTTAGTGAAAGTGATATATTTAAAGCATTTGTAAGAGGTAAAGGGAATGCAAGAGACATAACTAAATATTTGGAAAGCAATTTTGATAAATCGGAATATTTACGTCAAGCTGAAGAAGCAAAAAGAAGAAAAATCAAACAAGAGGAAGAAGAACGTAAACGAATCAAAGAATTGGAATTTCAAAAGAAACTTAAACAAACTGAAAATGGGAATGGAAATGGTCATAGTGAAAAAGTTGAGTCAGGGATCATTCGTAATACAACTTATGATGAAGAAGATGAATCACCTATTAAAAGTGGTACTAGAGGTAGAGCAAGAACAAAAATTGTTGATGATTTGCAAGTATCACCAACCAAAAAGGAATCCACCAAAGTCAATGTAACAAAAACAAAGAGTATTACTGAAAAATTCAATCTAAAACATCAACCAACAATTGATCAATTTGGGATTAAAAGATTGGAACCACTAAACAAAAAGAGAAAATTAACTCGATTTTTATCCCCATCTCCAGAACCTACACCTTCTGTTTCGAAATATTCCTCATCTAATCCAAATCGTTTACCAGATCTATCAAGTTTCAGATACAATGGAGCACCAGAGAAAGTGGAGCCAAATGATCCCGTAGTGATTGATTCAGAGGACGACAAAGATGAAATTGAAATTCTCGAAGAAAGACTAGCCGAAAACAGTAGAAGAAGACGTGAGTTGAAAAAGTCCAACAAAAAGACTGTTGTTGATATCATTGACGATGAAGAAGAAGAAGAGGAAAGTGACTCTATGGAAGAAGAAGATGATGATAATAGGTATGGAGGATACACAAGTATTGATGGTAAAGTGTTGGAATTTATCAATAATGCAACAATCCAAGATTTAAGTGATATTTGTGCTATTGAACCGAAAATTTCAGAAATTGTTATAGCTCAAAGACCATTCGCTAGTATTGATATTATAGCAGAAAGTGATTTCTTATTACCTGGTGAAACTGCAAACAAAAGAAGGAAAAAAATGGGTATGAGAATGATTGAGAATACAGAAACTAATCTTAAGGGATATAAAGCAATTGATTCTTTGATTAAGAAATGTTCGGATTTAGGTCAAAAACTTACAGATAAAATGAATGAATGGGGTGTTTCGGTTACAGGAGATAATGGGGAATTAAGCATGGTAGATCTTGATCCAGTTGACGATAGTGAATTGCAAACTACTCCAAATGATAGCGATGATGACGATGACGGAATAGTTGTTGTGAAGAAAAGAAAAGTTGGTTTGAAATATATCAAACACAAACCAGCACTTTTGGCCGACAAAATCACTTTAAACAATTATCAACAAGTTGGGATCAATTGGTTGAATCTTTTGTATCATAATAAATTGTCATGTATCTTGGCAGATGAGATGGGTCTTGGTAAAACGTGTCAAGTCATTGCATTTATGGCCCATTTGCAAGAAGTGGGAGAAGTTGGTCCGCATTTGGTTATTGTGCCAGCATCAACAATTGAAAACTGGTTACGTGAATTCAACAAGTTTTGTCCTAGCTTACGTGTCAGGGCCTACTATGGATCTATGGCTGAGCGTGAACAATTGCGTTATGATTTGGAGATGGATGAATTTGATGTTTTGGTCACCACATATAATTTAGCATGTGGAGGTCCTGCCGATGCAAAGTTTTTGAAGAACAGAAATTCAAATGTTATTGTTTATGATGAAGGTCATTTGTTAAAGAATTCCACTTCTGATAGATACATCAAGTTGATGAAATTAAAAGGTAAATTTAGGTTATTATTGACTGGTACCCCATTGCAGAACAACTTGAAGGAATTGGTTTCTTTATTATCATTCATGTTACCTGATTTGTTCAATGAGAAAAGAGAAGAATTGGCTAGTATATTTAATCAAAAATCTGGGTCCGTGACAAGAAAAGAGAGTTCTTCGTCTTCATCATCGTACAATCCATTGTTGGCTGAACAAGCTATTAAGAATGCAAAAGCTATGATGACTCCGTTTGTGTTGAGACGTAGAAAAGATCAAGTCTTGCAACATTTACCTGCAAAATCCCATGAAATTGTTCATTGTGAATTAACACCATTCCAATCAAAGTTATACTTTGATTTCTTGAATAAAGGAAGAAATCTTAGATCCGAAAGAGAAAGAAGAAGACAATTGAGTAATGCAGAAGCAGCAAGATTGGCCAAACTGGATCCTATACCAACTTCATCCAACGTTTTAATGGATCTCCGTAAAGCTGCATTGCACCCATTATTATTTCGTGGACATTTCACTGATGCCATGCTACAGGACATGAGTAAAGCAATTATGATGGAACCTGAGTATGTGGAAGCAAATCAAACATATATTTTTGAAGATATGCAAGTTATGTCTGATTTTGAATTGGACAGATTGTGTGTTAAGTTCCCAAAGACCTTGAGCAAATGGAAACTTGATGATGAAAAGTATTTAGATAGTGGGAAAATCATTGAATTAAAGAAAATTTTGGATAAAACCACCAAAAAAGGTGAAAAGATTTTGATATTTTCTTTATTCACTCAAGTATTAGACATTTTGGAAAAAGTTTTATCCCTATTTGATTTGAAGTTTGTTAGATTAGATGGTGGTACTAAAGTTGATGAACGTCAAGATACTATAGATATTTTCAATGAGGATTCCACCATTCCAATCTTTTTATTATCTACTAAAGCTGGGGGATTTGGTATTAATTTAGTTGCAGCAAATAATGTAATTATATTTGATCAATCATTCAATCCACATGATGACAAACAAGCTGAAGACAGAGCTCATAGAGTTGGACAGAAAAAGGAAGTCACAGTGTTTAAAATGATCACTAATAAGACAGTTGAAAAGAACATGTTATTGTTAGCTGAAAATAAATTGGCATTAGATAAGAAGATCAGTGTTGACGATAGTAGTGACTCCACCAAGATAGATGAACAAGGTGCTTCACTTTTTGAAAAGATTTTATACGAACAAGATCAGTAGTATATAGATTGTAATATTAATTTAACAAAATATGGATTTATTATCGTCATCTGAATTTGTAAAGATCTTAGGACTTCTAAAAAAAATTGAACCAATCAAGATTGTAACTGGATTAGTATCAAAAATAAAACAAAATACTTCAGTAGAATCGAGAAGTATCCAATAAAATGATAGAACATTCATAATCTGATCGATATTTGATATCATAAAAGTAGTGATATTAATTAAATCGCCGTGATTATATATGTATAAAAGTCATCACAAAACATTGAAATTGTTCTTTAAAGTCAATAACACAACAAAATTTTATATTTTGTATGGGTAAAAGAGATTCACATCAATTCTTAAGATTTTTTCGTGTGTGAACCAAAATTAAAACAACGGGAATAAACCAATCGACAGGCTGATCAACCCCTTTGAAACCACTAAATACCCTAAAAATAAGAAATATAAAATAACAATGGTATGAAAGGAATATTATTTATATAAATATTTTAATGAATACAATTTGAGCGAGTTCAGTATCGTAATTATTGAGTTATTTAGGAAAACAATAATTCCCGATAAAAAAAAGATACTTTGATTTTTCAAAAGTAAGAATTGACCATTAACTCCATCAATTGTTAACCAATTCGTCCAGGGTTGAGTGTGGTGGTAATAAACAGTGATATAAACAATATCATGTTGTTCAAACAACGATAATCGAGCTAGAAGTGATAGATCTAGCAAAACATGTGCAACTTTATGAAATTGCTTTAGTTTATAGAATAAGGAGAATAATTTCCTGTCGTCGCATTTTTGGAAATTCTCTAAAAATTACTGAGGTTTCTTTTTTTCCACCTTTTGGCAACTTTAGGCAACCTTATAATGATGCCACTTTTCAGCAACATAATGAGGTTTTCAACAATCTTAAAATAATACCGCGATTTCTCAATTTTGGTTATTTTTAAAAGTTTTTCGCAACTTTATTACTTCACCTTTTTTCCCAAAATTTTGCAACAACAATTGGCTGGTAACAGCTTTCATCATATTTTTGTTATTTGAAAACATAAAAAAAGTGGCAAAAACAACAATATCGATAAATAATATATTGGAATATTAGGAATATTTGTATAGAATATCATTATATATAAAATATTGACAAATATACATCAGCGGCAATTCATGAAACTATCCAGGAGCTACTCATTCAATATAAAAATCCAGTATGTACTTCATTCTCCAAAGGGGTGGACTGTAGGTAGATTTGGAAGAAAAAATTTACCATTTGAATAAGCTATCAGTAGTCGATGGTTTGAAATGAATCAGCATTACAAATACTTACAAATTGAGATTGGTTATTAGTTATGCTCAACCTATTCTCGAAGTGCAAGTGGTGCGAATTTGTAAATTTAGGTCCTAGTTCATACCGAAAAATCTGAAAAAGAAAAAAAATTCAAATATCAAATGCAATGAAATATACAATGTAAAAATCAGTTTGAAATCCATCATTATCACTATTAATACCTACCAAAGACATACATTATGTTATTCTTTTATTATATCATCGAATTAAATGCATAGAACCACTAATGGATCATGTTTCCAACCAGTACAACTGAAAACGTACCATTTGTTATATTTTATATGGGGAAAAGAGATTCAAGTGTTTTTGGTGATTTTTTCGTGTGTGAACCAATTTGAATTTCACGGGAATAAACCACTTGAGATCCTGATGAACCCCTTTGGAAACACTATATGGTCTAAAACCTGGAAATTGAATATAAAGATAGTATATTAGTGATAATATTTATATGAATATTCCAATGAATACATTTTCAGCGGTCTGGATATTGTAATTATTGAGTTATTTACGAAAACCATAATTCCCGATAAAAAAAAGATACTTTCAAATTGCAAGAGTAAGATTGATAGATAACTCCTCCAATATTTATCCAATTGACTCAGAATGAACTTATATAGCATAGTTTATCATTACAAATCATATACCATCTTCAGAACTGCAAAAATATCACTAGGAATGACAAATGTTGGAAATCGTGGAACATTTGGATGGCGCACTGTGACGACCATAGAAAACAGAAACATGAATGCTATTTTTTTCTAGAACATCCAAATATTCCTCAAATTTGGAACATACAAATCTATGCATCTATGGAACGAACATTTACATCAATGGATATATGGACGGAACATTTCTATATACGGATACATGGAGGGGAAATTTCTACATATAGATGCGCAGCAAATCAGGAACATACAAATCAATGGTTTAATGAATGGAACATTGTGACACACAGATATAGGGCGCAATCACTGGAACATATGCATGTGCAACAAAAAGTGACATTTAAAAATATGGTTTAGGTGTGGAATATTTGAATATATATATATTTATTTTCGGAATGTAGATTTATAAGTTACCGCCATCAAATTGATGAATATAATCTACTGTTATGCGTCTTTCCTTATTCAGAATTGTGTCAAACTGATTATCTTGATTGATTCCCATTATATTCAGATGTATTAGATAATATATGTCAAATAGAAATTGTTCAAGAGTATCTAAAATGCATTCATTTTTTCTGTATCATTACAAAAATATGAGGTATACTCGCAACATAACAAATCTACTAGCCAGATACATAGAACTTAATACAAAGACGAATAACTTCTAAAGAAGCACGTATGTTATTTTTTAAAAGAAGAATAAAAGTGACCTGGATATGACTACCCAGAATTTTTACACTGAGTTCTGTAAAGATTACTGGGTCATTGGAATTTGCAATGAAATAAATAGATCAAAAGAGTCTATTATTGCCAAATTGTGAGTATTTTCTTTCCACTTTTCAAATTGAATTAATTTCAATGAAATATTTGCTGTCAGCTTACCGCAGAGACAATTCTAGTACATGTTTATATACTTATACAAACTTTATTGTACAATGTCTACTCAGAGTCATTTATCCGTAAATATTGTTCTTGTTACACTACTTTTTTTGCACGCGCTTTTGCGGCTCCGCTCTAAAAAAGAAATGAAGAAAAAATTGATTAAAGAGACATCTTAAATCATCTGTCCTTATCACCCCCCCCCTTAAGTTACCATGTCAGAATTAGATCAACTTGATGTTAAACTTGTGGATCAAGATGAATTAGAAACATCAATCACAAAGAAAGCTAACAAAGTTTTACTACTGAAAGATGTTGAGCTTGATGAGAAACGGTTGGAGAAAGCCACAAAGTTGCTTGAAAGAACCAAAAGGCAAATTACAGCATTATCAAATCAATTATCAAATCCAAGGACTAAAATTAGTGAAAGAAAAAGACTCAAAGATGAGATATCTTATATAGAAGAAAACGACTTGGCTCCTCAACTCCGAGATGTGGATGAAATTAAAAAGAGATTACAGGAGAATACCAAACAGATAAATGATAAGACCCCTCTGCAAAAAAATAGTAGTGATAGGTTACCGGATGAATCAGAAAGAGATTATTTGATTAGGACAGGTAAGATCACAGCATTTGGGAATGAAAACGCGTTCCAACTGGGTGAAGATCATGAATTAGAACAAACGAGTCACGTCTTTTTACGTGAACCAGGAATTGATCAAGATATTGAATCTGAACCTGAAGAAGTTGGTAATGATGACGATGAAGATTATGTTTATGAGGAAGATAAAAAACATGATGATGAGGAATATGTGAATGACCAAGATGAAGTTGATGTGGATACGGACGAAGATGACTCACGAAACATTGATGATGGTGATGAAAGTCTATATCAGAAAAGACTACAAACATGGGTACGCAAGAGGTCGTCGTTAAGACCACATTCAGATGACCTGGAAAATAAAGATACTCCAGAATGGTTTCTACCGCATCCTACTATTGCTGATGCTAAATTAAATGAGAACTTCAGGCTACCTGGTGATATTTATCCATCCTTGTTTGATTATCAAAAAACGTGTGTTCAATGGCTATGGGAATTATATTCTCAAAAGACTGGTGGTATTCTAGGTGATGAGATGGGTTTGGGTAAAACTATTCAAATCATTTCGTTTTTAGCAGGACTACATTATTCGGGACTACTTGATAAACCTGTTTTAATTGTGGTTCCAGCTACTGTTTTAAACCAATGGGTTAATGAGTTTCACCGGTGGTGGCCGCCATTGAGATGTGTTATTTTGCACAGTATTGGTTCTGGTATGAATGGAAAAAACATAAATGAAGCAAAACTTGAAGAATTCTTGGAAAATGCAGACCCTAATTCGTCTAAAAGCTCCTTGCTGGGAGTGAAAAGTCAGATAAATGCTAAAGAAATCATTGATAGAGTAATGGAAAAGGGGCATGTGTTGGTGACAACTTATGTTGGACTAAGGATTTATTCTAAATATTTACTTCCTCGTGAATGGGGGTATGTGGTTCTTGATGAAGGTCATAAAATCAGAAACCCAGATCTGGATATTTCCTTGACCTGCAAAATGATTAAGACAGTCAATAGAATTATCTTATCAGGTACTCCAATTCAGAATAACCTTATTGAATTGTGGTCGTTGTTTGATTTTGTGTTTCCTGGAAGGTTGGGAACATTGCCTGTTTTCCAGCAGCAATTTTCAATCCCAATTAATATTGGTGGTTATGCTAACTCGAATAATCTTCAGGTTAAAACAGCATATAAGTGTGCTGTTGTTTTGAGAGATTTGATATCTCCCTATATGTTGCGTAGGCTCAAAAGTGATGTTGCGAAAGATTTGCCAAAGAAGAACGAAATGGTTTTATTTGTCAAATTAACAAAACCCCAACAGGAGTTGTATGAAAAATTTCTTCAAAGCGAAGATTTGGATTCTATATTGAAAGGAAAGAGAAATATGTTAATGGGGATAGATATTTTGCGAAAGATTTGTAATCATCCAGATTTGGTTTATCGGGATGCCATGATGAAGAAAAAGAGCTATGGAGATCCATCAAGATCAGGCAAAATGCAAGTATTGAAGAATTTGTTGCAAATATGGCAGAGTGAAGATCACAAAACGTTATTGTTTTGTCAGACTAGACAGATGTTGGATATTTTGGAAAAATTTGTGGCCAACTTGCCATTGTTGAATGGTGGCGAGTTTAATTATTTGAGAATGGATGGGAGTACCCCTATTTCTAGAAGGCAGATGTTAGTAGACAAGTTCAATCGTGATCCCAATATGCATGTCTTCTTGTTAACCACAAAAGTTGGTGGTTTGGGCGTTAATTTGACTGGTGCCGATAGAGTTATTATCTATGACCCAGATTGGAATCCTTCAACAGATATTCAAGCAAGAGAGAGAGCATGGAGATTAGGGCAAAAGAAGGATATCACTATCTACAGGTTGATGACAACAGGTTCAATTGAAGAAAAGATTTATCACCGTCAAATTTTCAAAACTTTTTTGACCAATAAGATTTTGAAAGACCCGAAGCAAAGAAGGTTCTTTAAAGCTAATGATTTACATGATTTGTTCACTTTGGGAGACCAAGATGAAGAAGGTACCGAAACTGAGGCAATGTTCAATGAAAAAAATAACAACAATGGAAGTTCATTATTCACCAAAAAGTACAAGAATGATGATGATTTTTATCAAGTTGCAAAGATTGCTGGTGTTTCCAAATTAGATAAATTTGAAGATGGTGAAGATGAAGATGGAAATGATAAACAACTGGAAAATAAAGACGATAGCCGAGTGATGTCAAGTATATTTTCAACTGGAGGTGTTCATAGTACTTTGGCTCACGATGATATTGTCAATTCTCAAAGCAAAGAAGACCCAACAAATATGCTTGAAAACGAAGCTAGTAAGATTGCTAATGCTGCTGCAGAAGCATTGAAGGAGTCAAGAAAACAGGCTAGAAAAAATAAAATCGGAGTCCCGACTTGGACGGGAAAATTCGGATCGGTTCCGAAAAAACGAAAAATTAACTCGTCAAGTAGTATTCTTGCAAATTTGAAAAAGAAAAATGAGATAAAGGATTCGAAACAGAAAGTTGCTGATGTTCCATTAGATAGGAAGCAAATGATTGAAAAGTTGGTTACTTATCTAAATACTGTGGAAGATAATTTCAGCACATCAAATGAAATTGTAAAGAAAGTAGATTTATCTATGAAATCAGAGGAAGATATGGTGTTGATCAGATCAATGTTACGCGAGGTTGCGGTATGGGACTCGGCCCGAAAAGGTTGGAAGTTGAAAGATGAGTTTGTAGATTAAAAGTTAGCCTATTTATAGAGGACACAATCCCGCATCAAATCAGTAACAAAAAAATTATCACCTGAAAAAAAAATAAAAAGAGAACATAACCATTGAACTTCTTTGTTTTAGTAATGCTCTTTCGAAGATTCTATAGTATCAGATGGAGATTAAAAGATTCATGTCCAGTTCCCAAATATGATACTGGTTGTACATACTGTACTCCCGATATTCCTGACGATTTACCTATAGATCATGAGACCAATTTGAACAAAACAGCTGCCATTCCAACCAAACATTTATTTGTATTTTCTAAAACACCGATAAGTGAAATCCCATCAAAGGCTGAATTGGTACCGAATTCAGTATCCAATGAGATTATAAAGTATAAGAAACTATACCATACCACAACACAACGTGTGACGATTTCCAATATCTATCTCAATAACCAAAAATCAATCTTGGATTCATTTGACCCTCATGAGGACAACCAATTAGTCATGTTATACCCCGATATGAAAATTATTAAGTTCAACATTCAACATTTGGATCAATTTGTTCAGAGGTATTTATACAGCAAAGATGAAGTTGAGGTGTATAATCCATTTGCTAAAACGAAAAAATCAAACGAAACACCATCATCTGTTATTAAAGTAGATCCATCAAATTTTGAAGAATCCCAGATTGAAAAAGACTTGATCTTGACATGTGGACATACCAAACGTGATTTGAGATGTGGTTTAATGGCACCTTTGATTGTAAATGAATTAGAAAAGACTTTGAAAGATTCCATCCAAGATTATTATATCGGTGAAATTTCTCATATTGGTGGACATGCCTACGCGGGGAACTTGTTATATTATCCGAAATTGTGTAAATCCGAAAAGGATTTCATCTGGTACGGCAGGGTTTCTCCTGAACGAATACAAGGAATAGTTGAACTGACGGTGAAGAACAAGTTAATCATCAAAGACTTGTTTCGTGGGGATATAGAATTGTATAAGTAAAGAAAAAAACAGTAAAATAGATTCGTGTATATAGATTTCTCACAATTAAAAAAAAAAATTGTTATTGCAAATAATAACAGGAGCAAAAATGCAAGAACCGGGAATCGAACCCGGGGCCCAACGATGGCAACGTTGGATTTTACCACTAAACCATTCTTGCAACTCGACCAAATGGTCTACTTGTTGGAGTAGGAAAACTAGACGCTCATTGACACTTTTTTAATTAGTTTTAAAAATGAAAAATTGATAAGTATATATGGATAACGTGAGGTTATACTGCTTTTTTGTATGTCTAATTGTATTAGTGGGCAACAGTATCGGGTATACTATAATATATCCTCCTATAACCTATGTTTTATTGAATTTGTTATGAAGGTCATTTTTTTACAAAGGTATTGATACAATTTTTGTATGAAAATGATGATTCTAAAAACATCAGCTAAAATTTCCAACTTTCCAACAACAAATTAGCTTTTACTAATATTTGTATTACATTATAATAGGAATAATCTCCCAATCACGTTAGGAACAAATATATCACGTATATCTACAATTTTTTGTTTTCACCTTTGCCCAACATCATCAACTACACGGTTCGTGTCAGATTGGTCTGAAACAAACCAAAAAAAAGAGCACCAAAAAAAAAAAAAAATCAAGACGCGACTCATCTGTTTCAGTGCCAAAGAATCATCATGCCAACTGCTAGGTTAGATTGCTCATTAGTACCAGATATCATTAATTCCAATTCAGATAACCTAATATTCACATCTTATGGATTGACACTTTTAGAAATACAAGGAGAATTAAACTTACCTTTACAATATCCAAAGGGAAAACCACAAACACCTGAAGATTTCGAATATTTGAATAATTTTATAACTATAAATGATATTTATCATGCTGTTAAGTTTGGAAATTTGGTTTTTGATCCTCATGATGATAAGAAAGTAACACTATTTATTGGCAAATCACAAAGATTATTAGGTAACATAGTAAAACTACAGACTCCACTTGCAATCTTGAGAATTCCTACCAATAGAAATGGTGATGATGATGATGATATGGTGGACGATAAAGAAGATATTAAAATAGTTGATATCGTAAAGGCAAAATTGATCTTTGAACAAAGACCATTACCGATTATGTAGTTAATAAATAGAAATCATGTATTAACATCTATAGAAAATAACATCAGACGTACTAGAAGAAAAATAAAAGACTCACTAGATCAAGTTCTAAAACTTTGCTTTACTAGAAGTTCTGTGATCCCAATTTACTGGTGAACTAACTTCAAAACCAATATTTTGTGGATCCACAATTACTAAATTTTCATAAATCTTTATAATGTCTGAACTGGAGAATCCTAACTTATCCTTCAAGTAATTAACAATGTTTCCATACTTTTGATGGAATAAAGCAATTGTTGCCAACATAGCTTCATACCTAGAACTAATCAAGTTGTTAAAACCGTCTTCTTCAATAGACCAACCTTTTCTACCTTGAGATATAACCAGTTCAATATCATTGGCATCTTCGCCTAGTTTTTCTTTCAATTTTTGAACAGTATTGACAAATTTACCCTTTAATATTGGATGATCTGGTTTTAATCCAACGGTGGTTAGTTCATATTCCTTAGCAATAGTGTTTTTGTCAACTCCTGACAATAACAAGATCAACATCCCTAAAATACCTGTACGGTCTTTACCTGCTGTACAGTGGAATACAAAGGGTTTATTCTCATCCCTGATATATTCAAAGATAGTCTTGTAGGCCAGTGTTCCCAATTCCAACATATCTTCATAAACATTGACATAGGTTGACCAACATGTCATGAGGTTAGTGTATCTAATGGCGATAGCCTGTGGAGAATAATCATCATTAGTGAAAACAGGCGCATGTATTCTCTTGATTCCATAGTCAGATAAATTGGCAGGGTAACCATCCAGTTCTACTTCACCATCTGATCTTAAATCAAAAATTGCAGCTACACCTAATTGCTGCAAAGTTTTCAAACCGTTTGAAGTCAACCCAGCAACATTGGCACAACGGAAAGCAAAATGTGGTCTCACATAATAAACTAAATTGTCTGAAGGGGAATGAGAATCAGAGCCAACCAAGACAAATGATTTCTTTGAATCACCCAACTTGAATGTTGGACTATGAACTCTCCAACCTCCAATATCCCTAAAATTGCTTACACCTTCAATGTTCTTCCATCTTGACACTCTGCCAATATCTTTACTTGTGCTTATGAATCTTTCCAACTCTTTTGCTGGCGATAAATATTCTATTATATAATCAGTTACGAGGAAATTGTAATTAACTCTTTTGCCACCTTTTAACGGTAAATCATATGGATTGATTTCACTCATTTCCGAGTCCTTAGCAATTTCAGTGTGGCCATAAAAATTGTGATCAGCATCAGGAATCAATCTCAATGTATGGGAAAATGGTCCTCTGTTCAATGTGTTTGCAAAATTAGCACAATCATATTTTGGAATTATTTCATCTTCAGTACCATAGATACTCAAAACGGACCAATCACGAGACAATTCATTCAACGAAGTCAAGTCAGGTTTTGATAAAGAAATTATTTCTCTTGCAGATAATTGGATTTGCTTATATTCACCATGTCTAAAAGTTGTAACTGGGACAAAATCCATATCTGCAAAACTGGAATATCTATCCAAGACAGTAGGACTAGTAAATCTTGACGAACAGTTAATTAAATTAGGAACCACTATTGCTGTTGTATCACCCTGTTTACTTAACTTGTCCTGAATTTGTGCCCATAAGAACATTGCAACTGCCCCACGAGAATGAGAAATGACAGAGGATAAAGTCAAATCAATTCCTAAACCATTTAATTTCCCATCTGTCAAGAATTCAGCACATGCTTGAATATCATCCACATCTTGAGCCAATGTACGGCCCTCTAATTCATTCTCATTCTCAGCACTATTACCACAACCTCTGAAGTCTATTCTTAATGAAAAAATGCCTAGTTCACTTGCAAGTCTATGGGCCAATGTTTTCTGGTAACAATAGTTTCTGTGACCTCCTTGACCATGTAAAATCAAAGCAGCTTTATGTGTTGCTGGGGCTAAATTTTCAGCAAATGCATTTTGAGAATCAAGACCTGGTGGAATGGCTAACGTAGCTGCCACACCTTTCCCCACAGTCACTTCGATCTCCCTTGGGATTGGAGGATTATACTTTGTATTTGCCATGTGTGATAGTGATTAAGTCAAAAGGAAAAAGAAGAAGATCTTAGAGTATAACTGAAATCCAATATTCAGAGTTTCAATTTTTTATAATGTGGATGAAACTGTGATTTTATTAGTCGTTCAAATAACCGAGCTTCAAATTTCTGTTAGAATTTTTTTTACGCTTTTTTTCCCCCCGTTCGCGCTTGCTTGCTCGCTCGTTCGTTTCTCACCTAAAAAGTACGGGGAAGTGGTGGGACAATGTATTTGGCCAGAAGTGGAGAATGGAACCAACAAGCGGATCTTTTCAATCTGTCTATGATTAATAGAATGTGAAATTTTACTATTGATAATGATCATCAAACATGTATTATCTAGAGATCACGTCACGTACTCTAGAGTTTATTCCACTCCCATAATGATCAACCAGGTGCTGGACTGATATTCGCACAGAGAATTCAGGCGATAGAAAAGAAAAAAAAAAATCAAAATCAAGGAAAAAAAAAGAAAACCATATTTATCCGTTACTGATATTACAACGTATATTTGCATTTATTTTAGATCCATAATATGAACCATAACACAGATAGAGATGCATTTCAACAATTAGGTCGATCATTAAATGAAAGACATTCCAATCAATTATCTACTCAACTACAAGTTTTTCAATCAGCATTAATTAATTTTGCCAACGATCATGCAGAAGAAATATCCCTGAATTTGGAGTTTAAAAATAAGTTTACACAGATATCACAACTGATTGGTATTGATCCATTGGATTTATTGATATATACATCTAAAGGTAAGAATTCTACGAATTTCCATACAGCTTTGGCAGTTAAAATAGTTGAAATTTGTCAAAATACTCGAGACTTGAATGGAGGGTTGATTTCAGTTAAGGAATTGATATCGATTCTAAAAGATAATTCATCTGGAATAGTATTGGACATTACTCCCAAAGATATTGATAATTCATTGACAAGTCTAGACAATCTAGGTAAAGGATATGAAGTTCTTTTTATAAATGGTAAAAAATGGTTGAAATTTTCCTCCACGGAGAATTTGTCAAATGATCAATTGAAAATTTATGAATTATGTGAGTTCATGGGAGGGTTTGTTACTAATAGATTATTACATGATAACTATGGATGGGATAAAGTACGATGTAAATCCGTGATTGATGAAATGATCATGAATGGGTTTCTTTGGGTGGATTCCCAAGACCCTACAGGAGAGTGGAAATATTGGGAACCTTCATGGATATCTAATTAGGAGAAATAAAAACAATCGTCTATAAAAACAATATTTACATGCAATTCTATTCATTTTCTTGTTGCTGTTGTTGTTGTTGCTGCTGTTGTTTTCTGGCACCTTTCTTTTCCAACCATCTGGCGTTGATAATTTCATAGTTTTCGGAACGGTCACGTGCAGAAAGTGGTACATAAGTATTGTACGAACGACCAACCCCATCACCAGTGTTCATTGTTTTCAATATTTTGTCAGGAGTCAGCATCTGCCTATCATCAAAGAGCACAGTTTCCATAATTTGCAGCATTTGTGCCTTCAATTGTATATCATATTCCATTTTACTGAAACTTTGAGTCACACGAAGGAATTTGTGTTCATCCTTGGTAACTTTCCATTCCATTTCCGGGAATTCACAGTCGTATAAGACCAATGGTATATCATGTGCCATCTCATATTGTGGTTTAGTAGGATACTTTTCCATATCCATTAATTCAGTAACAATTTCTGGTTTCTCCAAACCTTGACCAATAGTAAATAATATAGCCACCATACAACGGACCTGGTGCCATAAGAATGCACTTCCTTTTAAATCAAAACAATAGTAATCATCATGTAAATGAAGAATCTTGGAACTATATATTTCTCTTTGGAAATTTGTGATTTGCTTTGACCCATCAAGTTTACAGAAATTTCTGAAATCATGAATACCTTGATACAAGCTAGCCCCTTGATTCATTAGATCGATATCAAGGTTTTGTTTTTTGAAAATGTATCTATAATGTCGAGAAATACAACTGAATCTAGCATCAAAATCTTCTGGAGGTCTTAAACATATAGAATGAACTTTAATATCACTTGGTAGATTTGCATTTAATATAGAAAGGTAATCAACTTCTTTATCGTCAAGTTCTGGATTAGCTTGATCTTCTTTACTTAAATTTGATCTAAGTTCTATCGATATAACTTGATTCATTGCACTTACACCTTTATCAGTTCTACCACATCTTGAAAATTTAACCTCTTCAATTGGTTCTTTGATTAATTTTACTTTGGCTAAAGTTTTCAAAATTATCTCTTCAACTGTAGGTAATGGGGTTGGTTCTAATTGAAATGCCAATCCATTATAATTCCATCCCAAATAAGCAAATTTAAATGCAACAAATCTCATATTTTGTTTACTCCAATCAAATTGTTTCTTCAGTTTTTTAACTTTTGGAAGAGTTGAAGTTCCAATTTTTGCATCTTGACTTTTCTCAAGTTGAGTTATTTTAGCAATTAAGTCTTCTTTTGACCAAGAAGAATAATCTATTTTCATATTAGTCGTGATATTACTAAATGATCTTTTCACCATATACGACCGAAATAGTGTTAAACCTTTCAACATGAATTGAAAAAAAAAAAAATATAAAAAAAAAATTATCAACTTTGTTCAAGATTCTCTGATTTTTTTGTTTTCACTCCATCTCATTTATGTGAGTTTTTTTTTTTTTTTTTTCCATATCTCATCGGATTATCAATCAACTACTAGCCATCATGAAGACAAATACAGAATCTCTTGCATGGGAGAATTTAAGATATGATTTATATCCATGGATAAAAGAAGCTATATCATCTATGGGCTATCCTACGATGACACCAGTACAAGCTTCAACTATTCCTTTATTAAGTGGGAACAAAGATGTTGTGGTAGAAGCAGTTACTGGATCTGGTAAAACTTTATCTTATGTAATTCCTGTGTTACAGAAAATATCTACTAGATTATATAAAAAAGATGATGATGGTGATTTACCAGAAAAAGTTAAACGTGGACATATGTTATCTATTGTTCTTGCACCAACTAGAGAATTAGCAAATCAAATTCAATCAGTTTTTGATAATGTATTACAATATCTTCCAAGTGATTATAAAAGTATAAATACACAATTATTAGTGGGGTCAATGGGAACAGTTAGAGAAGATATTGATAATTTTTTGAAAAATCAACCACAAATTTTAATTGGTACACCAGGAAGAATATTAGATTTTTTGGGTTCTCAATATGTGAAAACAAATTCATTGGAAATAGCTATTTTAGATGAAGCTGATAAATTACTTGATTGTTCATTTGAAACAGATGTGGTTAATATTTTAAGAAAATTACCTAAACAAAGAAGAACAGGTTTATTTTCAGCAACTTTATCTTCTGCTGGTGATACAATTTTTAGAACAGGTATGAATAATCCTGTTAAAGTTCAAGTGAAATCAAAAAATAGTCTTGGTGAACAAGTTAATGCTCCAAAAAGTTTACAATTATCTTATATTATGATTCAACCAGAATTTAAAATCACAACACTTTTGGACATGTTATCCAAATATCAATACAAAAAGGCAATAGTTTATTTCCCAACTTGTACTTCCGTGAAACATTTTTATCAAATATTTTCCAAAATTCCATTTAATAAAAACGATAATGATGAAGAAGAGGATTTGAAATTTTTTTCTTTACATGGTCAATTAAATACCAAGGCTAGATTAAGAACATTAGAGAAGTTTACAGAAGGTGATGCAAATACTAATAAATGTGTTTTAATGGCGACTGATGTTGCAGCCAGAGGTATTGATATACCGGATGTTGATTTAGTCATACAAATCGACCCTCCAACTGATCCTGATGTATTCTTGCATAGATGTGGTCGTACAGGTAGAGCGAATAAAGTTGGTCGTGCTATACTTATGTTAAATGAAGATTCACAAGAAGAAGATTATATTGGATTTATGCAAGTTAAAGGAATCAATTTAAACGAAATGAAAAGGTCAAATATTGATCAAAAAGACCATGATTTATTTCAAAAGAAACTTCGAGAATATATGCTTGAAGATAGAGCTCGTCATGAATTGGGCGTGAAATCTTATGTTGGATTCATTAGATATTATTCAAAACATATTGCTAGTTCGATATTTCGTATGGCATCATTGGATTATTTGGCCGTTGCTAAAATGTATGGATTGTTGAGATTACCGAAAATGCCAGAAACAAGATATATAAATAAAGATGCCATGCCTGAAAATGGATGGTTGGGTGATGTTATAGATATGGATAAATACAGCTATGCTGATAAACAACAAGAGAAATCAAGATTAGATAATCTTGAACAAGACAAGTTGAAAAAAATTGAGGATGCTAAAAGAAGAAAAGAATTAAAAAGTAAAGAATGATGCCTGGTCTAGTAAACTTGAAACTAAAGAGAACAAACAAGAACGTAGAGAAAAAATGAAAAGAAAACGTGAAGCCATTGAAAAACAAATCATGGAAGGAGATACCAGTGATGATGAAGAAACTGTTGAGGATTGGAAAGACTTGGTCAGAAAGAACAAGAAAAAGAAAAGTTCAAATATAATACAAGGTGCGTTTGATGATTTATAGTCTCTCTCTACTTACTTTTGTATAGAATTAGTTAATTAATTAATTAATTAGTTAGTTAGTTATGTTTTTCTCATTTTTGAATTTCCATTTCAACTTAGATTTTAAATCTTTCACTTTTAGATTGAACACCATCAAAGACAAATAAATTGTCTAGTGGAATATACTGAGCCGTTGTTGACTTTAGAACTTCTTGACTCACTATTCCACCCATTAAACTACTCAAATTATGATAATTTGTGCTATTATGACTTAAAATCTCCTTAAATATGTTTTCCGTGTTTTGATCAATCTCGACTGGCGAGATTCTCTCATGATATAGTTTTAAAAAGTGTTGATAATCATCAATTGATGGTTTTTTATTATACTGGTCGATAAACCAATTGAAAGTCAAGATACCCAAATAAATTCCCAATTGATGTTTCTCTTCCAAATCTAACATGCCCTCAAGGTTAAACCTCTCAACTAGCTTGGAATTTATTAAATCTTTAGAACCGACAGTTGCAAATAATAATCTTGCATTTTTGCAGAAGGCAGCAATAACTTCAGGGCTAGCTTCGGATTTTGATTTACCTATTGATTCTAAAATTTTGTATACTTGTTCCGTGAACAATTTCTGGTCTCTAACAGCACGATCATGATAAATTTTTTGTAACCTTACATAATTGTCAGTATCGGAAGCCATGTCTGGTAAAGTACCCGGTAAGGGTAATACGTTATCATTTTGAATAAGGAAATTTTTTAATGCAGCAATGAATATCCAAAATATGGAAGTTTTCTGGGTCAATTGTCTTTCTTCACATACTTTTATCAATTGTTTGATGGAATCTGGAATTTCGGTTTTTTGATGTGGTCGCAAATGGGCTGCATCTGCGTCAATAAAATTGGTTTCCAATTGGAAATTTCTTGATAAAGATTGAACATAGGCTCTGAATTGTTTCTTATCGGAATAAGTCAATGGGGTCTGGCCACCATGGGTTGATCTCCAACTATCCAATGCTTTTATGAATATGACAATATAGGGAACATGTGAATGTTCTTGATCACTCAACAGATTCAAGTCAAAAGAATCAGCGAAAGCTTGCAATTCCGGCCATGGTTTGTCAATTCTCAAATCATACAACTTTGAAGGATCATGGGTTTCAATAACAGTGGTCTCACTTGAAATGATGTTAAAGGAGCCATAGAATCCAATGGTGTTGACAATAAACAATGGAATTTGTTTTGCCCAAAGTAAGTTGATTAAATTTTCAAGGTTTGCAGTGTGGTCGCTGACAATCACCACGTTAAATTGATCCCAGAACGAGTCGGGTTCGTTTGACAAAATATTTGACAAAGATCTAATGATTGAAAACCCATGTACATCAGTGTTTAATTCATTCAAGTTTTTCTGAACAGCAGATGCTAAATCCTTGTGTAAATCCTGCTTCTTAAGGAAAAAGTTTGAGGAGACGTTTTCATTGGTGACTTTTCTATCGTCGATAATGGTGAAGTTTCCAATACCTGGTAAAATCAAGTTCTTTAAAATTTCTGAACCGGTAGATGTAGCATTAATCAAACAAATGTGTGATTTTTCGAGATTGGACTGACCCGTAGTAGCCCATAATCTCAATTGCCTGTCGTACTTTGTTTCTTTATCAATAGACATAGCCCGTGTGATGTAAGTAACGATATGAATTGGGGGGAAAGAATTGAAAGTGAAATGATAAGGCCAAAAACAATGATGAACTAGGTTGACGTGTGGTGATAATTATCCAAAAAAAAAAAAAAAAAAAAAAAGAACGACAGACCAAGGGAGGAAGGAAGGCAGATTGTTGTTGTGGATTCTTTTTTTTTTCTTTGTACAATCGTGTATTTTAGTAAGGCAGTAAAAAAAAAAGAGAGAGAGGAAGAGGAACAAAGAGGTCAAAAAAAAGAATACAAAACGCAAACCAAAACCATTGGGAGACTGCATTTTCCAATTTTTCTTTTTTTTTTTTGTTTTTTGTTTTAACACATATAACCAGCAATACATACACCGGAAAACAAACACATTGGAACAACATGATAAACTGCATGGGTTGCTATAGTTATAGCTATAGTTGTAGTTTTTTTTGGTGGTTCGTGTTTTGGAAATGCAACAAAATTAATACAGAAATAGGAAAGAAGTAGAAGGAACGAAGAATGTTGGGGATTTGTTGCTGTCGTTGTTGTTTTTTTTCATTGTCATTTTTTTATTTTTCTTCTCTGGTTTATTATTCACTACTCGCAACATAGGACCCTTTTTTTGGTCTCTAAAATAGTAGACAACAAATGGTGTAACCAATCTATGTATCAGGAAAAAAACAGCATACAGGAGATAGAGTCTTGATAATGCAAACACCACCAGTCTAGATATGAATTTATAGGGAAGGGAAACCAAACGCGTTATAAATGTGTATATATCTATATTGAATTCCCGAGGTCACTGTAAATCCTATTCTTCTTCTTCTTTCTTTATGCAAGAAAGGCAAATTTTGGTTTGTTTTTTTTTTTTTAAAAAAAAGAAGACAACTTCATGATATGGTCAGTGCATTGCTAGCTGGTTTGTCTACGATTATGGTTGACCAGTTCTAAACGTGTTGCAAGTTTGTTTCAATGGTATACAATATCGTGTGGTTCTACAATATGCCTGGAGAACAACCGCTTTCCTTGTATGTTTTACCCTTAAATTCCAAGATGTAATGATATGACCAGCCTTATCTTGCATAACAAATAAAAATATAAATATCTCAATTTGGATAATATTTTATGTTTGAACCTGCAATTAACAACTGTCTTTCCAATGACAAAGTGTACGCGACAATTTCAATAGATTCCGGATTACTTGCACATGTTTCGCACGTGATTATAATCACCTGATGAAATTCAGACAATTTTTTTTTGACTCGTTTCTTTTCTTTTTTTATTGTTCCTATGAAAAATGAGTTAATTGATATACCCTCAGTGACAAAATTTTATGTACATAATTATCATATCTCGCATAGTTAAAATTGTTCATATCTATGTGTACGAGAAGAAAGGCTATAGACACCAGACATTAAAAGGAAGCATACAACAGGATGGTTAATATAAAAACAACAAAAGTAAAAAACAGAGCAGATATTGGTAAACAATTATTGATGACTTATAATATATCCCATTTAATGTGACTTCTTTTCCACAATGATTCGCGGGGGGGGGGGAGGGAGGGAGGGAGAGAGAGAAGAGTAGATAATTATATATAATCTTGATTTCACAGCAGGCACAAATAATTTTGTCGCATTGATAAAAATAAATTCTGCTGTAGCTTAGATCTCTTCTTCTCAGCAACGTGCTTATGAGGTTATAATTTTTTTTTTTCTAATTCAAAAAGAAAAGAGAATTGGCTAATTACTTGCGGATTATTATAACCACTAAATATCCATAGTCATTGGATGCTTATTGATTAAGAATACATAAATTCACAATTACTTTACTAATGAATACCAGACACCATTGATCTTATCAATGGTTGGTTAATTATATACCGCAACAATTTCTCCTTTTCTCATTCCGTCCCCTACTAAAAAAAAAAATGAACGGCCTAAATAATTAAAAAAAAAAAGAAATACACCTTAACTGCATACTGCATAGTAGAGTAAGAGAAATAAAAAATTTTTTTTGTGCATCTTCTTACTAACAGAGAAGAGAGACAGAGAGAGAAAGAGAAAAAAAAATTACTGTATTGTACAGCTGGTAATAGTTAAAAATTTTCACCCATCACAATCATCAACTCACCAGTTCCATAGAAAAAAAATTTTTCTTCTTATTCATCTCTTTTTTTTTAACACTCTTTTTCTTCTTCTTCTTTTTCTTTTCACTAACAACATTTTGGAGAATGTCTGCTGCTAGTGAATCTCAATATTCTACTGAAGTGCTTTCCGAATTATTAAGCAAATTGCAAGTTGCTGATAACAAGGATGAAGCTGCTTCCAACATTGCCACCTTCTTGAACTCATCTATTGTTGAACACGATGTTCCACTTGAATTCTTTGAAGATTTGAAAAAGCAAGTCAAAGCCAAAGACGCCAACACTGTCATTGCTGCTTTAGATGCTTACAAACACATTGCTTCCACTAATGGTTTGTCTCCATCCGTTGAACCATACGTTGTTGAATTGGTTGGTGAAGTTGCTACCAAGGCTGGTGACAAAAACAAGGATGTCCAAACCGCTGCTGCCAGCGCTTTATTGGCCATTGCTTCTGCTATCACCCCAACCGCCGTCAAAGCTATCTTGCCAAAATTGCTTGAAAACTTGACCTCCACCAACAAATGGACCGAAAAGGTTGCCATCTTGAGTGCTGTTTCCCAATTGGTTGACACTGCTAAAGATCAAATCGCTTTGAGAATGCCTGAATTGATTCCAGTCTTGTCCGAAGCTATGTGGGATACAAAGAAAGAAGTCAAAGAAGCTGCTACCGCTACTATGACCAAATCCACTGAAACCATTGACAACAAGGATATTGAAAGATTCATTCCTCAATTGATTTCTTGTATTGCCAAACCAACTGAAGTTCCAGAAACCGTCCACTTGTTGGGTGCTACCACCTTCGTTTCTGAAGTTACCATGGCCACTTTGTCCATCATGGCTCCATTGTTGTCCAGAGGTTTAGCTGAAAGAGACACTGCCATCAAACGTAAGGCTGCTGTTATTGTTGATAACATGTGTAAATTGGTCGACGATCCACAAGTTGTTGCTCCATTCATGGACAAATTGTTGCCAGGTTTGAAATCCAACTTTGCCAACATGGCTGATCCAGAAGCTAGAGATGTTACCAACAGAGCTTTGACCACTTTGAGAAGAGTTGGTGCCGTTGGTGAAAACGATGCCATCCCAGAAGTCTCCACCGCTGGTGATATTGAAGTTACTTTGGGTGAATTCAACAAATTGGTTGGTGACAAGAAACTCGCCAAGAGATTCGATGTTGCTTTGAACTATATTGCTGCCATTGCTGGTGACTTGATTGACGAAAGAGAAATTCAACCAGAAGCTTGGTTGCAAAACATCTTGCCATTCGCCACCATCTTCTTGCACGAAAAAGAAGCTAAAGAAATCATTGAAGAATTCAGAAAGAGAGCTCTTGACAACATTCCACAACCACCATCTTTCGAAGATGAAGAAGATGAAGGTGAAGATTTGTGTAACTGTGAGTTCTCCTTGGCTTATGGTGCTAAGATCTTGTTGAACAAGACCCAATTCAGATTGAAGAGAAACAGAAGATACGGTTTGTGTGGTCCAAATGGTGCCGGTAAATCTACCTTGATGAGAGCTATTGCTAACGGTCAAGTTGAAGGTTTCCCAACCCAAGAAGAATGTAAGACCGTCTACGTTGAACACGATATCGATGGTACTCACGCTGAAACCACCGTTGTTCAATTCGTCATTGAAGATGGTGAAGTTGGTTTGACTGAAGCTGTTGTCACCGCTAAATTGCAAGAATTCGGTTTCTCCGATGAAATGATCAAGATGCCAATTCAATCCTTGTCTGGTGGTTGGAAGATGAAATTGGCTTTGGCCAGAGCTGTCTTGAAGAACGCTGATATCTTGTTGTTGGATGAACCAACTAACCATTTGGATACCGTCAACGTTGCTTGGTTGGTCAACTACTTGACCACTTGTGGTATTACCTCCATTATTGTTTCCCACGATTCCGGTTTCTTGGATAACGTTACCCAATACATTATCCACTACGAAGGTTTCAAATTGAGAAAATACAAGGGTAACTTGTCTGAATTCGTCAAGAAATGTCCATCTGCTCAATCCTACTACGAATTGGGTGCCTCTGATTTGGAATTCAAATTCCCAGAACCAGGTTTCTTGGAAGGTGTTAAGACCAAACAAAAGGCTATTGTCAAGGTTTCCAACATGACTTTCCAATACCCAGGTACTACCAAACCACAAATTCAAGACATTAACTTCCAATGTTCCTTGTCTTCCAGAATTGCTGTCATTGGTCCAAATGGTGCTGGTAAATCCACTTTGATTAACGTCTTGACTGGTGAATTGTTGCCAACCTCTGGTGAAGTTTACGTCCACGAAAATTGTCGTATTGCTTACATTAAACAACATGCTTTCGCCCATATCGATAACCACTTAGACAAAACTCCATCTGAATATATCCAATGGAGATTCCAAACTGGTGAAGATAGAGAAACCATGGACAGAGCTTCTAGACAAATTAACGAAGAAGATGAACAAAACATGAACAAGATCTTCAAGATCGAAGGTACCCCAAGAAGAATTGCTGGTATCCACGCCAGAAGAAAGTTCAAGAACTCTTACGAGTATGAAATTTCCTGGTTGTTGGGTGACAACGTTGGTATGAAGAACGAAAGATGGGTTCCAATGATGTCTGTTGACAACACCTGGTTGCCAAGAGGTGAATTGATGGAAACTCACGCCAAGTTGGTTGCTGAAGTTGATATGAAGGAAGCTTTGGCTTCTGGTCAATTCAGACCATTGACTAGAAAGGAAATCGAAGAACATTGTGCTATGTTGGGTTTGGATGCTGAATTGGTTTCCCACTCCAGAATCAGAGGTTTGTCTGGTGGTCAAAAGGTTAAATTGGTTTTGGCTGCTTGTACCTGGCAAAGACCTCATTTGATCGTCTTGGATGAACCAACTAACTATTTGGATAGAGATTCCTTGGGTGCTTTGTCTAAGGCTTTGAAGGCTTTCGAAGGTGGTATTGTTATCATTACTCACTCTGCTGAATTCACCAAAGATTTGACTGAAGAAGTTTGGGCTGTCTTAGACGGTAGAATGACCCCATCTGGTCACAACTGGGTCCAAGGTCAAGGTTCTGGTCCAAGAATTGAAAAGAAGGACGACGATGAAGAAGATAAATTCGATGCTATGGGTAACAAGATTGCCGCTGCTAAGAAGAAGAAGAAGTTGTCTTCCGCCGAATTGAGAAAGAAGAAGAAGGAAAGAATGAAGAAGAAGAAGGAATTGGGTGACGCTTACGTCTCATCCGATGAAGAATTCTAAGTTTGATTTACTTAGTTTTTCTTTTTCTCCCCCTCTCTTCATGTTGGCGAATCTGGACAGTTTATAAATCATTAGCCAGCAGTCGTTGTTTTTTTTTCCATCATGAAAAACTTCATCATTTTAGTATTTATATACAATTATTATTTGTTATTTTGTCATTAGTAATATAAGAATAATAAAATTTTTCAAAAAATATTCTTTTTGTCTTTTCCTCTCTTGTTTTGATGTCTTGCGTAAAAAAAAAATTCGTGCGTTGGTTAGACAAGTTTATACAGAAAACTTTGCAACCAGATTTTGGAAATCAAGACGTTATAAATGATTGTGTTATGGTTGACAGTTTTCATACATCTTGTGATTTCCATAACATTCTATACAGATACAAACAGGTTGTTGTATAAGAATTGTAGCAACTTTATTGAACGTTCAATTTGGAACTTATCATATGCTCCATTTACGATTACATGTCCCATAACCAATCTCATTCGTCAAGCCAACAACGTACGTTCAAAATTAGCTCACAATTGTCCAGTTTTGGTAAAAGCCTTCATATAAATAATATCTAACATATTATTAGTCTTTATGTCAGGAAGAGCAGAGGTATATTTACAATCGTAATAAGAAGACAGAACCAGCCTTGAGATCATTGTTATATCGAAATAAAATACCCAATTTTGATATTGACAATTTTTGGAGAATTAAAACAAAACCAACAAGAATTGCTATTGCAATATCAGGAGGAGGGTTTAGATCTATGTTGGTTGGAAGTGGAGTTCTTCTTGCATTTGATGACAGATATCCACATTCAATATCACCATTATCTGGATTATTACAAAGTACAAGCTATATTGGTGGAATTTCTGGTGGATCTTGGCTTGTTATGAGTAATTTCATTAATGATTTCGAACCAGTACACGTATTGAAAGATGGTGGATGGAACTTTAATGAACTGTTACTACATGGTGTACCAAATTTTGATCCTAATGATATTCCACAAGACAATAGCGAACACCAAGCTAAAAAACCACAACGGAAACAACCAGGGGTGTTTAATAGTTTATGGGAATTTTTTAGTGGGGATAGGATAAAAAATGAAAATAAAGGGAATGGATCTACAATTACAACTTGGGTAAGTAAGTTATTCAAGTCCAATTCCAAATCACTTGAAGATGTTTACACAACTTTGAAGGATTACTTAACATTCTACAAAGAACTACTAATTGAGGTCAAGGATAAGAAGAAAGCTGGTTTCCATACATCTTTCACTGATTATTGGGGTAGAGCTTTGGCCAGAAAGATATTCAAGCCTACAGTACGAAGTCCCGGAATAACTTTTACAGCAGCAACAAGAATATTGCCGTCGTTTATTGATTATGAACAACCATTCCCAATAATTGGAACCATAGAAAAAGATCCTATTAATCCAGAATCATCAACCAACTTGGACTCACATTGTTTTGAAATCACTCCATTTGAGTTTGGGTCATGGGAGTCGTACTTGAATGCATTTATTCCATTGAAGTACCTTGGATCATCATTGAAAGCAGGAAAAGCGACAAACCTTTCCCTGGATGGCACATTTGCCTATTGTGTTTCTGGTTTTGATAATGTTGGATTCTTAACTGGTACGTCTTCTTCGTTATTTAATCATATCTTTGTAACTGTTTACAAGTTACTTGAAAAATTTCAACTGGAAACAGCATCCGCCATTGAAAGTATACTAAAATCTCTTGGGTTGAGTACAGAATGGAATTGTTTCAAAACACCCCATTTCCATCCAGATTATGCATTATTTTCTCCCAATCCTTTCTTTCAATATGGCCCAAACACTAGCATTTCAAATAGCCCTGATTTATACATGGTTGACGGTGGAGATGATGGGCAAAATATTCCATTTCATCCATTCTTAAATTCTGCAAGACAAATTGATATAATATTAGCATATGATATGACAAACGAGGTGAGCAACTTCCCCAATGGCACGGTACTCCAAAGAACATCACAAAGATACCAACAGACAAACAATAACCAGTTTCTGATTCCATATTTTGAGGTACCAAATGGAGCAACAAGTGACCAATGTTACAAATCTATTTTTCCCAAGGTTCCTACTCCGGAACAGATACTCAAACATGATTTGGGAAAATATCCAATCTTTCTCGGATGTGATATAGTTCAGGATTATGAGACTTTGAACGTTGTAGATACAAGTTTACTTCGGAGAAACTATCTTCCTCCCATCATAATATATCATGCAAACAATAACTACGGATACCCGTCCAACACGTCAACTTTTCAATTAAGTTACAATAAAACAGAAGTTGATGGGATGATTTCCAATGGGTTTAATCTTGCAACAAATATGAATAGTACGGCCTTTGCAGTTTGTTTGTGTTGTGCTATGTTAAAACGTGAATTTGACAGAATATCACTCCGAGTCAATCCCCTTTGGAATAACGGATTTGTTGTACCCAAATTTTGCAAGAAATGTTACAAAGCATTTTGCTGGAGGGAATAATAACTCTTGCACAAAGTAGAAAAATTATTCTTCTTATTATTATCCATACAATTACGATCCTAATTGATTACTTTGCTTGAATAAAATTATATATTCAAAAAGAAATGCAGAGATGGAATTTCAACATCATGTAACCAAGGAACCTTACACAGAATAACACGACAGCAAAACGAACAACAATCTGAAAAAAAAAATATATTCAAATACCAAAAAAAAAAAGCTAGAAGAAAAAGAAAAAAAAAAAGAGAAAGAAGAGCACGACAATCAAAATACAAAAGACAAAAAAAAGTGAAAGAGTAAATTAGAATAAGATTTCACTCTATTTCAACTTCTATTAATAACAATTTTTTTTGTCTGTTTGTTTGCTTCTTCTCAGTTTATTTCAACGATTTAAGAGGAATAATTTATTTTTAATTTAGTAGAATTATGGCAGGTGTTAGACATTTAAAAGTGATAGGGTTAGCTGCCTTCATTGTTGGATTGGTGTTTATTTTACATAGAACGGGATCTAACGCAGCATCCTTGGTCCATGCTCAAGCATCAGATCAAGCACCAAATAAGAACAATTTGAAATCTAACAATGGACCAGGTTATGCAGATAACGACAACAAATTAATTGCGAATAATATTTTGGATTCAAAGAATGATGATAAAATGGATGCCAAAATCAATCAAGAGATATCAAAAGAAAAGGAACCAAATGAAGATAATGTTGAGAACAAGAAAGAATCAAATTCAAATTCTGATAACAGTGGTAAAGAATATGATCCTGTTGCTGATTTGATCAAGATTAGATCCTTATCTCCAATGACTATTTTCAGTAAATCATATTGTCCATACTCCAAAAAGATAAAGCATTTATTGTTGAACATATACCAAATCACTCCAGAACCAAACGTTGTTGAATTGGACAAGTATGAATTTGGTGCTGAATTGCAAGCATATTTACATGAAAAGAGTGGTAGAAGAACCGTGCCTAATGTTTTGGTTGGTAGTTCACATGAAAGTAGAGGTGGTTTTGACGATTTTAACAAGTATCACGAAGATGGTGAATTGATCAAATTGTTGGTTGAGTGGGGTTCAGGAAGATTACAAGTTCTGAAAAATGATGCTCCTTCGAACGTCTAAGATGATAATGTTATTAAAGCATAAGAAGATACAAGTGAAGATATATACATATATATATAGAGAGAGGGAGAAAGAGAATTCATTATTTATGCATACAATATGAGTGCTGTAGTAAAGTAATATCAAGGGTTACATGACTTTTAAAATAGACTTCTACTGTAAGAAACAAATAGTAATAAACTAAGAATATACCCCGTTTAATATAGCAAAAAGGTTATATACATATTCTACTATACATACATAGTGATTGATTTAGATTAATCATATGCTTTTAATTGTTTTGTTTTGTTTTTTTATTTTATTTTGATACAAATTGTGTGTATTAAATTATTCCTCTAATATTACAAAAGAAAACTCCTTAGAATTTAGAGAATTTCTTGGATTTAGAAGCACCAGCAGAAACTTTCAAAACGTTGAATCTAACGGTTTTGGAGATTGGTCTACATTGACCAACAGTGACAACATCACCTTCTTCAACTCTGAAAGCTGGGGAAACGTGAGCAGCAACATTCTTGTGTCTCTTTTCGTATCTGTTATATTTTGGAACATAGTGCAAGTAGTCTCTTCTGATGATGATGGTACGGTGCATTTTGGTAGAAACAACAGTACCGGATAAGATCTTACCTCTGATGGAAACGGTACCAACGAATGGACATTTTTTGTCAATGTAAGAACCTTCAATGGCAGCTTTTGGGGTTTTGAAACCTAAACCAACATCTTTGTACCATCTCTTGGTCTTTCTGTTAGCCTTAGCCTTTGGGTTGGTGAAAATGTGTGGTTGCTACAAAAATAAATTAAAATGTTAGTATTCAAAATTAATTCATTTGATAATTTAAAGTCAAGTCTTGATTGGTTTCTTTTGTTTCTAGGAGTCAACTTGTGAAAATTCTTACTGGGATGGACTTCTTTCAGTCATCTTGGAAAAATTACATTGCCCTGCTTTTTAAAACTCTTCAATAGTTACATTCCACTTAATGATTCCATTACACGGTGGTCTCTCTTTCATAAACTTATTCTCCAGTCTTATTATTTCTTTTCATTATTCTTGAATTCAATACATCCAATCGTGATTCTTCAATTTGATATTTCCCAGAAACAATATAAAACTAAACAAGATTCATGCAATGGTATTCTATTTACAAACCTTTTGGAAAGCTCTTTCAGATTGAACAGTTAATTCGGTAGCCATGGTTTCTTAATGTCCTAATACAGTTTCTAAACCTCAAAAAGTATACTACTTGAAAAAATTTCAGTTTTTTTTTTTTTTCTCATTCTGTCTCTGAGGCTGTTTGCTAGTCTCTCTCTCTCTGTCTCTGCGGAAGTTGGTAGTGTGTGGTGAGAGAGTGTGTGTGGAACCAAGCCAGTGCGACACCACCCGCGTAGGAACCATCTCTCTCGCGGTCCCTTGTCGGGGCGTGTACGATTTTCAACTTTGTTTATTGTTAGTGCGCACTTTGAAATAATACTGAAAATGTAAGATAAAGAAAAAAAAAATCACACTGAAAGTCGCACCAAAGGTATTATTGTTCCTGTATATACTGTAGGGCTGTAACCCTAACATTGACAACTTGCACGTGATTATGTATACACAAACGCATGCACGAATTATTCCTAATTAGGAAATCCAATTGACGTTTTTGTTTTTGAAATTCCCAAATGGTACAATAACGACATAGAGAAAGCAAACAAGTATCGGAAGTAAAGAAAGGGAGAAACGAAAAAAAAATTAACTAATTAAACAAAAACGAAACTGAAAAAGAAATTAAATAATTCAATTCAACTATAATAAACCGTGTGATTATTATTCATCCATTGGTATATCGTTTCCCTTTGATATATTTTTAAAGCAAGTATTAAAAATTGAACTGGACAAACTACAGAAAAAAAGAAAAGCCAGTAGTTATTATTTTATTGTTATCTGTTATAGTCGGAAATATTACCAACCAGAAGAAGGAGGATAATTCCTATCAAAACCAGCACATACTCCAGTTGAATTAATAAAACATTATAGAACGGCCATGAATTTATCAGATAATTATATCCTTCCGAGATCGCGGACTTCTTCAACCATGTCCAATAAGTATAGCAGTCTACCTAAATTCAACAACCCACATCATCAACACCAACACCAACACCAACATCTTTCCAATTCACAATCTTATCCATATACACAATCCAGAGTATCTTCGGCTAGCGATATGCATTCTATCAGTGGATTTCCATATAATAGAACAATTAGTTCATCCTCTTCGATAATTAGTACACCAAGTAACAATATCAAAAGATTTCAAAGACAACGACAACAAGAGAACCAACAACATCAAGCTAAGGCTAACCAAGCTCCGCGTACTTCTCGAAACACCAGATTGGTTAAGTCAAAACTTTTGAACTTACAGCAATCACTGAAACAACAATTGATAAATAAAATATCTGAAGAACTGCCGAGGTCAGGTATTAAACATTATCATGGTGACAATCGTATGAAATTCCCACCTCATTTTGCCTTAGGTAAACCTGAAAAGAGTTCATTTGATTGTAAGATATATTCCAAGTCAGTTGTTCCTCATAAGAATAAATTATTCACTCCAATTAGAGAATCTCAACTCAATGCATGGGAATCAGCAGAAAGTGTTACACGAAATCTTGTATTTAATAATGATTCGTCCGATGACGAGAGTGATGATGATTGTGATGAGACAAAGAATAATGATAATGCAATAGTTTCTATTCCAGGATACACCCAGGGAGAATTAGATATGTTATTCAAGTTTAAGAACTTGTCCAATCAAGAAGAAAAGAAATTATTGTTTGATTATAAACGCAAGTTTTTATCCCAACAAGAAAGAAATCTAACTAATAGTGGTGATACATCACTTTCCTATAGGCGCAGCTTACAGATTAATCAAAAACGGGAGATTATTTCTAAAATGTTTAATAGTAACATTAACAATCTCAATTTAGAGTATATCACAAACAACTCGAGTAATGCAGAAGATATACTCCAGGTTATAAGTCTTGACACTGAAGAAATGAATTATCTATTGGAAGAAGATGGAAATTTTAAATTATTGCAAGAAGAAGTGAAACAGAATGTATTCCATAAAAAATTAATTGCTAGTAACAATCAAGTAGATGAAAATGGGAGTGGGCATTTCGACTATGATAGGTTTCAAAGTTTGACTAGTAAAAAATTAGATAAAATACATGATGCTTTTGTGAGACAACATGAAGAGGATGATAATAGCAATGACGACTATCGTGAACCTAGTTTCTATAGTGATGATATTTCCAATTTAGAATTGGAAGAAGAATTGCTACAGTTCACAATTGGTCATTTAAGGAAATGTATCAAAGAAACCGCTTATGAAAACACTGGTGTTGAAGAGTAAACTTACTATTTGATCATTATCGTTTGCATCCGCTTTTACATATATTTGCTGTTATAGAATATTGGCTTGTTCCTTCTTTTTTTTTTAATTTTGCATCCTCTTATGTACGATGTGATAATGCATAATTCAGTTCTTTTTCTAGAATCCACGATCTTCTTATTGAGATTGTAGTTTGGCTCGTAATTGTTGAACACATGACAATACAATGATAATTAAAGATAAAAACGTCATTGGTGTGTGTTGTGTATAACCAGTTGTGGTATTTTAAGCGCGGCCTTAGTAATACAAAGCAAACCCCCGACCCCCGAAACTGCAGGTCTATACCCGCGATAAATCAAACTTTGATATTCTTTAACTTTGATAAAAAAATCCGCAGTGGCCAATATACACATTACTAATCGCAAACAAATGAAGGCGAGCCCAACAGCAAAGGAGAGAGAAAGAGAGAGAAAAAAAATGAAAGAACCTGCGTACATACTTAGAATTTGTAGAATGTATAAAGAACCATCGAAATTTCCATACAAGATATTCGAACACTTTTAGCTTTTCTTTTCTTTTCCTTTTTTTTTTTTTTTGCTTTTTCTATTTTGATGTTTAATAGACAATTCTTGACAAAATCGAATATAAGATTAACTCAATTAACTAGACAATTATCAACAATGCCTCCAGTCAATCCAATAAAGAACTTTGATTATTTAGTCATCGGTGGTGGATCCGGTGGGGTAGCTTCTGCTAGACGTGCAGCCAAGTATGGTGCTAAAGTATTATTAATTGAAAGTAAATTCAAGAAATTGGGAGGTACCTGTGTCAATGTTGGTTGTGTCCCAAAAAAAGTCATGTGGTATGCTTCTGATATGGCCCATAAGAAGGAAGCTTTGTATTCATATGGATTGAGCAAAGATCAAGAAGAAGTCAAATTTGGGGATTTTGATTGGTCCTTGATCAAAGAAAAGAGAGATGCCTATGTTACTAGATTGAATGGGATCTATGAAAATAACTTGAAACGTGAAAAGGTTGATTTTGTATATGGATTTGCCCAATTTCTCAATGAAAATGGTGATGTTGAGGTCACTTTACTGGGGGAACAAGAATTGCCATTTTTAGAAGAAGGTAAATCATACAACCAAGGTGAAAAGTTGGTTTTCTCTGCTGATAAGATTTTAATTGCTACTGGTGGTACTGCTATCATCCCACCTTCTGTTCCAGGATCTGATTTGGGTATAGTTTCTGATGGTTTCTTTGAATTGAAGCAACAACCAAAGACTGTTGCCATTGTTGGTGCTGGTTACATTGGGGTTGAATTATCTGGTGTCTTCCAATCTTTGGGTACTGAAACTAACTTTATCATTAGAGGTGACACTGTCTTGAGAAGTTTTGATGAAATTATCCAAAAAACCGTTACTGATTACTACGTTGATAACTTGGGTGTAAAGATGCACAAGCAATCAGGTGTTGTCAAAGTTGAAGGTGAAAAGGATGGAAAGAAACTTGTTCACTTGAAGAACGGCACCGTTCTTGAGGTTGATGAATTGATTTGGACCGTTGGTAGAAAATCATTAATCGACATTGGTTTGGATAAAGTTGGTGTTAAGGTCAATGACAAACTCCAAATTGTTGCTAATGAATACCAAGTCACTGACAATCCAAAGATTTTCTCCCTTGGTGATGTTGTTGGTAAAGTTGAATTGACTCCTGTTGCTATTGCTGCTGGTCGTAAATTATCCAACAGATTGTTTGGTGGTGAAAAATTTGCAAACGACAAATTGGACTACAACAATATCCCTTCGGTTGTTTTCTCCCACCCAGAAGCTGGTTCAATTGGGTTGTCTACCAAAGAAGCTATTGCTAAATATGGTGAAGAAAATATAAAGATTTACAATTCTAAATTCACCGCCATGTACTATGCCATGTACGATAATCCAAAAGAAAAATCACCAACTGTCTATAGAATAATCTGTGCTGGTCCAGAAGAAAAGGTTGTTGGATTACATATTGTTGGTGACTCCAGTGCCGAAATCTTGCAAGGTTTTGGTGTTGCCATTAAAATGGGTGCAACCAAACAAGATTTCGACAACTGTGTCGCTATCCACCCAACTTCCGCAGAAGAGTTGGTCACCATGACATAATTTACTCATACTTGATTATATTAAATAGAAAAAAAAAATGAAAATCATAAATGTATATTAACGCTGTAGTAACCCTTGTATTATTCTATACTCTCTTTCTCTTTGGTGGTGGACCTCTGATTGGTGGTTTTGGTTTGTCACCAGGTTTCATAAAAAACATAGGAGCATTCTTTAAAATATCAGGTACGGAAACAAATCGTATCATTGACCCACGAATAAATACTTGGTCCATATGTTCTACCAGTCCTGATTTACCTTTGGTTACTGTTGCTTCATATAGTGAGAGGTTCATGTTATCTTCATTTTCTAGTAATTTGCCTCTGTAAGTATCGCCATTGGTCAACTCTATTGATATCACATGTCCTTGAGCTTCATTTAATAGTCTTACTGGTATACCTGCTGACATTGTGGGAGATGTGGAAAAATGCTGGGAATGGGCTGCAAAAATATATATATATATTACTAAATGAAAGTCGTCACTATGTTATTTTTCGTATATAACAACTTTTATTTTGTTTGTCTTCTCATAATCGGCGATGTGAATTTTTTTTTTTTTTTTTGTTCTCATTTGTTCGGTTCGCCATAGGTACACGACCTCGACTGAAAAGCACATAACCTTAAGCATAGGGGCCAAAAAGTACAATATAGAGAGACTAAACCCACAAACAGAACAAAACTAACAAAAAATGGAAGTTAGAAAACCTTAAATTGTGCCGTTTTTTTTTGCTCATCTGGATATTTATTAATGGGTGATGCTACAGGTTGCCAATCACCAGAAACAAAAGTCATTCGTCAATTTATTATGGAGTTTCGGATACTTTTGATGCAAAAAAGAGCCTATATATAAGCCACATGTACAAAAATGCATTTAGATTCGGGGAGATTACAATTTTCCCGAAGTAGCACAAGTGAATTGGTTCATTGGATGTTCTTATACTTTTGTCATCGGCATAGAAAGCCTACATCTTTCTATTAATAAAACGGGTATTTCCTTTTTGTTTTTTAGTACGGACTTGCATCAGAAATGGAAAGATAAATCCAGAACTATCATGATATAAATTAAGTAGTTATTAAGAGCCCACAACTCTAACCGAATCTTATTGTATCTTTATCAATGTCATGATGCGTTTGCAATGTACCAAACTCCAATTCTTATTGGATGGACATATCGGGAATGTCTAAATTTTAAAATTTTAGAATTTTTTAATTTTCTTTTGCTTTTTCTTCTACGTAACTCGAGGGTGCAAAACCTAGATGGCACACAAAAACACGCAATAGATTGTTAAGATATACCTTAATTAGCTCACAACTGAAATGCCATACGATTTTGAGAGTATTTGTGCATGAATTAAACAATACTAGTCTTTGTATTATGTTACTTTCTCACTAGCCCTCCCTTCCTCTATTCTGCTCCTCCTCCCCCCCACTAGCATATACCGGATGATAATATAGCCTTGGTTGCAGTAATGCAAGTATATGATTAGTAATAAAGTGAACAAAATCAAGATAGACACCAACCTTGGCAAATTGACAAAGAGACAAGAGTATAAAAGTTTTCATGTCTCCTTTGATTTTATCATCGTTTATTATTTTTCTTTCTCCTTCTCTCTCTCTTTTTTTTTCCGTTAATTATTGTTTTTAGTTTTATCAGATCGATCAGTATTCAAGTTTTCACACATCAACAAAGACATTAACCAACGATCATATAGACCCTTTACAGCGTTAGAGATTGGAATTTATTATTGTTATTAATAAAAGTCGTTAGTATTGCGCAAATCCCAAGTAAACGATATTCGGAGCTCCCGACTTCACAAAAACGGATTAGAACATTGAAGCAGAGGCTGACCTAAAAAAAAAATAAAAGAGAAGGGAAAAAAAATCAAGAAAATTCCCGTATCAAGCAAATTGCATTCACCACAACTACACTGTTCATTACTCATAACTACTATATTGTCTATATTTCTTATACGGACACGTTGAATTCGATAGCGTCTACAGAAAAAAAAAAGTGGTTTTTTACGTGGACTTGAGTTCAAGAAATTGAAAACATTATGGGTCCAAGCATTCTTAAACTAGAAGAGTCCCCCAAGCCGGTCTCGAAAGTATCTAAGCCAAAAAGACAAAGAAGTAGAGTGCCTGTGTCCTGTTTGGCTTGTAAAAAGAGAAAAGTCAAATGTGATAAGGGGAAACCAGCATGTGGTGGCTGTATAAGAAATGGTGTTGGTCATTTATGTGAGTATATTTATCCTCACTGGGTAGATAAGGGCCAGAGCGGCTCAGCGTCAGCTTCTTCACCTGCAGGCCAGCCGTTACTTTCTCCTGTCAAAATTGAACAAACTAATGAATATAAGGCACTTAAGAACCAAAATGAAAAAGTAATATCCAACCAAAGAAAGGAGATTGAAGATTTGAAGAGACAACTTCTGGTTGTACAACAATTGTCGCCACCTCGCGACGCTCAAGGAAATGATCCCACAGGAAATGATAGATCATATTTGGCTAATGGTATTAGTGTTTTAGGGAAATTAAGTCCACTAACAAACTATTCACTTGCTAAGATGGAAATCCTCGAAGAATATAATGTGCTGCCAAATAGCACGTGGAAGAATCCTGCTTCTATTGATAATTTAGATATATATTCATGGGTTAATATCATCAAATTGGATCCACAGTTGACAACGTTGTGGTTTAAGATAACAAATTTGCAAAAAATGTACCACATGTACAAGATAAACAAACTTAAAAATGGTAGTGATCGAGTTAAGAATGCTTCACAAGGAAAACCTTCCTCCAATTCTTCAGCTGGAAAGGTAAATGAAATTGATTTCACACATGCATTTCTAGAGAATTCACCTAATATTATTCCACAACAAAACTCGGGTAGTGACCACAAGTGTCCCGTCATTGAATGTGACTTTAATCTTATAATGGATGATATGTCATCTCCAAACCAAAGTCCCAAAAATGGCTCTACAAAACAAAAACAAACTCAACAGCAAGAACTGAAACAACTCCAGAGTCAACAGATGCAGGGATTAGAACTGGAACTGGGACAGAAGCAGCAACAAGAACGACAACAAGAAAAAGAAGATGTTGAAATGTGTCCAGAAAAACTACAGCCTGGAGGAACAGAGGGACAAGAACAGATGACATGTCCGATGTTCAAAAATGATGTGGTTCACAAATCTAAAGCGTTACAATTCAAATTGCAAAGTTTGTTTGATTCATTCTTGAATTTAACTAGAGGTTGTAACTTAGGTTACAATCAAATGATATTTTTGATTGATTTTTATTATCGGAGTGATTTATTTGACAGCAAAATGTTACTTTTATTTTACAAGCAGGACATTCTAGATGTGGTTCAGAAGGGTATGACTGGTGAAATTTTACTCAATTTGCCAAAGGGGTTACATGAAGATATTTATTATCAACTAAAGGTCAGTGGTATATATTTATCGATGCTAGCAACTATAGTGGAAACAAGTTTAAGTTATTTGAGAGAATCACTTAGAACAGGTGATTGTGATGAAGTTGCTCCTTCGTTTAGAGCCCAGTTCCCACATGAATTAGCATATTTAGGTTTGGGTTCTAAGCAAACCAACATATACTACATCTGTGAAGATTTACTTGGTAATGCAGATATGAATTTTGATTCATTGGCTTGTGTTGCTTTGTACATGACGTTCTTGAATAAGATTATCGTTGAATACAACAGCCCTGGAGGCTTGTTCAATGAACCTAGGTCGTCCTTCACAAAACTATTCACCAATTTGTTGGAGATTATTTTCGCTCCATCATCTCATTTGGAAATCTGGAAGAATCCCGAGCTTGTTGAATTTGGCACACCTCAAAAGAAAACTGTCAAAGCTTTAAGATTGCATTTGTGTCATTTGTGGTCCAATTTGATTAGAATCTCCAATATTGCTACGTTTAATTTTATTCCCATAATAAAGTCATCTCCAAAATTGGATGGTTTATTGCAGAAGATGTTTTCGAAAATTGCTGTAGTTGATCTGTGGCAATATCATTTAAAGTATTTAACATCTATTGGTGAAGGTCAGTTAATTATTGTATTACATGTTCATTATTTGATTGCTGAAATGTATTCGGCCTTGCGATTTGGAATATTAAATATTGGGATTCCAAAATTGACGGTTTCAAATTTGGATATTATTATCAAACAATGCTCCACTTGGTTGCAAGATGTGGGACTAGAGAGAGTTTCGGAGATTAGAAGATTGGAAATTGTGTACATGTTGTCTTACTCACGATTATTTTTGATGTACATTTTGCTATTACAAGGTGAAGACTTGAACAACGAGGGAATGCTTGGACATATGGTTTTACCAGACATTGTGTCGAGATTGAATCAATTTGTTGAACTTTTAAAGAATGGTAGTAATCAATCGTTGTATATTTTCCTGGCATTGGGTGAATTGATAACTCGTACTATTCAAATAGTCATTGCAGTGTTAGCAAGAATAAAAAGTAAAAACAGCTGTTTCAAATCACACCAGACATTGTATGAAGAACAAATTTCCAAAGTAATAAAAGAGGTTTCTTCAGTATTGGAGTTTTTACAAAATGTTACTCCTAATCGTGGTAATGAGCGATTGGTGAAATTGTCTAAATTATGGAAATTCTACCTTACATTTGTTAATTCAAGCAATAGTGAATCCAAATCGGTTAATTATGCAAAGCTTCATGCATCAGTTCCAGAGTTCCAGCAAAAGAGTTGTCCTGTTGCAGATAATTCAATGAATCCTGCTCCTGCGCCTTCATCAATGAGCAATGAGTTTACAAGGTGTCCAATTTCACATATAACGAGCCCAATGGCTGAAGAATATAGCGGTGGGAAATCGGAGGATGCTTCATGTGGTAGATCGTCTAATATTATACCTCCAATCGGTGGTTTTGGTAATAACTACACTTCAAATTCCAAGAGACGCAAGTGTCCATTTGATCATACAACTATGATGAAGAGAATGCCTTCCTATTCCAATGCTATTGAGTCAAATATGAGAGAATACAAAACTTTCAGTCCAAGTCCTTTAGGTAGTACTGTTCCAATAACTTCTCCGATGGTTAGACACTCTGATAGCACAGAAATATTACAATCAGTCCCATCATCTACCCCACCTCCAAGACAATTCCCATTACCATCCATGTTGGCGCAATCTCAATCACAACAATCACAATCACAGATGCCTCCACAACAGCAAGAGATGGATTTAAGATCTGTTACATCCAGTATATCTATGTTTGCTCCCGATGATTTAGAATTATTTAACCAATTTGGTGATTTCGATTTGGACTTTTTACACAATGAGAATCTTTTGGATCATATTGGCAATAACAATAATATCAAGATGGAAACCAGTAGTTCCAGTGATAACAATATTAATAACAGTAATATAGAGAACTTCTTTCAATAGGATTTTGTTTAGTGTCATTTTTTATTATTTTAATGTATTAATGAGTTCGATGTTATATCATAAAACAGAGGTTGATAAAAATTATCACAAGCATTTTCTCTGTTCATGTTTGAATAGACTCTGTGAGGTTGCTACCATAAATCGCCAACTTTTTATCACAGAATCGCTAACCACGACGGAAATTGGTGGGAAGAAAAAAAAAAAGTACTGAAAAAATAAATCTTGTCATTTTTTTTTCTTTCTTACATGTGGGTTGAATTACTACTATACTATACACCATATAGATTTATTTCACTAGTTCATAATGATTAGATCGGTATTGAATTCGAAATATGTAGTGGGAAGAAGTCGTATTCATCACAATCTAGTTGATGCCACATTATTCAGAAAGGCTGGTGTATTGACTACTTTACCTCCACGAAAATATCTATTCAGCAATCAATATCAATGTTTTAGACAATATTCTACAACTCCAACAACTACCACTACTAGTCCTCCTCCTCCTCCACGTAATTCGTCAAGGTACTTAGGTTTATTCAAGTTTGGTATTATATTGGGACTTGGAGGTACTATATTATTCTACACTAATGATTCCTTCAAGCATGCGATTCTAACTATTGATAGAGTTAATGTGGTTACAATAGCCATGATTCGTTGTTTTGCATTATATAAAGAAACTTTAGGGAAAACTTATAAAGATGAAGCTGAACGTCATAAAGCCTTAGCGGATACTCATAAACAAGCAGCTGAGATCACTTTAAAAGCATTAGAAAAGAATGGTGGGATTTATATTAAATTAGGTCAACATATTACTGCTTTAACTTATTTATTGCCTCGTGAATGGACAGATACTATGATTCCATTACAAGATAAATGTCCAAAATCATCTATGGAAGAAATCGAGAAATTGTTTGAAAATGATTTAGGTTTAAAAATGAATGATGTTTTTCTCGAATTTAATCCTGAACCTGTTGGTGTTGCTTCTTTAGCGCAAGTTCATATTGCTACATTGAAAAATGGTCAAAAAGTTGCTGTTAAGATCCAACATCCAAGTTTAAAAGAATTTGTTCCCCTTGATGTTACCTTAACTAAAATGGTATTTGATTTGATGTATAAAGCTTTCCCTGATTATCCTTTGACATGGTTAGGTGAAGAGATGCAAAATTCTATATTTGTTGAATTGGATTTCACTAAAGAAGCTGAAAATGCTGAAAATACTGCTAAATATTTTGCTGATTATGAAAAGGAAACAGCTTTACGTATACCTAAGATTGTTCAAGCCCAACCAAGAATTTTAATTATGGAATGTGTTCAAGGTGAAAGATTAGATAATTTGAAATACATGAAAGATCATAATATTGATCCATCAGAAGTATCAGCTTGTTTGTCTCATATTTTTAACAACATGATTTTCACCCCTAATGTTTCGTTGCATTGTGATCCTCATGGTGGTAATTTAGCCATCAGAAGTTTACCAAGTACGCTGAATGGACACAATTTTGAAATTGTATTGTATGATCATGGTTTATATCGTAATATTCCATTGGAAATGAAACGTGATTATAGTCATTTCTGGTTAGCTGTATTGGATAATGATGTTCCAAATATGAAGAAATATTCCCTGAGAATTGCCAATCTTCCAGTAGATGATGATCAAAAATTTAGAATCTTCATGAGTGCCATAACTGGAAGAGCACCAGAACAAGCTTTGAATTATGATATTTCAAGTAGAAGATCGCATGATGAAATCAAACAAATTCAGAATCATGTTAATAATGATGGAAATGTTCTTGAAGATTTGATGGATATTTTGAGTAATATGCCAAGAATGGTATTATTGATTTTGAAAACTAATGATTTGACTAGAAATTTGGATGAAAATTTACAAAGTTCATTAGGACCTGAAAGAACTTTTTTGATCATGACCAAATACTGTGCCAAATGTGTTTATGATGAACGAAAGGAATCAATAGATAAGACCTTACGTGGTTTGAAATGGCTCACTGGTACTGTTTCCAATTGGTGGAGTTATCAAAAAAGATTAAGTACTTTATACTTTTACGATTTCTTCTTGATGATTAGAAGATTAACTATTTAGATAGGATAGTGTTTAGAAAGAAAGAAAGAAAGAATGTTATTTATTCCTGTAAATATATATATGTATACATTATTATACAGAATGCAAACCTACTAGTTATCCATATCCTTTTTAATCTTATCCAAGAGATTATTGATTCTTGGACCCATTAATGGTTGACCTTTTGTTGTTGTCTTTTTGAATTGCTCTTTTCGTAAAGCACGTTCTTTGGATTTAGTTTCAATTGTTGTAAGTTTCTCTTGAACTCTTTGCAATTTTTGTCTTCGTTTTTCTTCTTTACGTTGTTTAACTATTTTAGCTCTTTCTTCAAAATTTATTCCTTTCTTTTGAGGTCTTGGTCTATCTTTTCTGGTTTCATCTTCATCATTTGAATCATTTTGATTATCTTCAGGTCTACGATTCTCTTGTAGTCCTTCTTTCTCTAATAATTTGAAATAGTTCTTTCTTAATCTTGCTCTATGAGTCAAAGCTCTCTTTATATCTTGTGATTTAGCTTCTCGGCGATCAACGAATTTCTTTTTATTATATGGTTTGTTTGGTGGCATCTTTGATGTATGATAGTATGAATGCAAGAAGATACTGTATAATAATTTTTTTTTTTTTTTTGAGAAAAAAAAAAATTCTATGAGATGAAGTGGATTTACATATCCAGGCACGTGCATTCATGCACACTGAAATATACAAGCGAACCCCAATTATTATTTTTCAATATTATTACAGATACAATAATACATACCCTTACACACACACACACACATATATATATATATATATATATAAACACGCTCTTTTCTTTACTTCGACAGCTTTATTCCACCAAGAAGTCTTTTAAAAATAGATTGTTTCTTTGGTTTTATTCGAACATCGTGATACGAAAGTTGTTGAGATTCAGTAGGACAAATGGTCTCTACTGGTGTTGTTGGTTCTTCATAAATAGGTGAGCTCATTTGACTACCTTCACTATCACAAATAGAACCATTTCTTGTAGCTTTCCCCATTGAAAAAAAGGATTGGTTTGAACTTCTTGAAGATATCAGCATTTTCCTTGGGGGTTTATATTGATAATCTGAAACACTAGTATTGGTATTGGTAGTTGTTCTATTTAATTGTAAGTGGTTTGTATCTTTCTCCTGAAGTTTGTCAAAATCTTGAGATAATAAGTCATAAGCAATAAATTCTAAAAATTTTTCCCATGTTGCTAAAGCATCATTTTGTTTATTACCTGACATTGCTTTGATATTTGAACTAATAACATCAAGTAGTTTTTCGTAAACAACATAACGAAGATTTATATCCAGACAACTTTTAAATAATTTATCATGCTCCAATTTCATTATTCTAAAGTAGTGATAGTTAAATTCTGTGAAATACACGTAGTATAATCTTTGTAAATGGATGGTCTCTTCAGAATCTGTGATCTCTTCAGTATTAGGTTTAAGGGTATGGATATTAAATAAAAAATACTCCAATATTTCATTGTAAAAATTCTTCAATTGTTTCAATGAAGGTAAATACTCAATATAGTCTAGTGGAGATTGTAAACTTTCAAATTTCATTTCTTGAAAAATATTATTCCAAAACTGGTCACTTTGTAAAATTGACTTGATATTTTGCTTATCATTAAAATCAGGTATTGCTTCTTCATCTTCTTTGGCCTCTTTTTCATCTAAAGGTAATCGAGGTAGACTTTTTTCGGCACTTTCTGTCAAACAAGCAATTTTATTCATATATTGAAGGTTATAATCCCCATTTACGTTTCTTTGATTTAATCTAAATGAAGCAACTGAATTATAATTCAAATCTTCAAAATAGGTGTATCTTAACATTTCCAAAGATTTCAAATCAAAGATATGTTGTTTGTTTAAGTTTTCATTGAATTTTGCATAGGGAGATGACTTTATTATTTTTAAACTTTCATTATACTCTAGCAAGGAAACTTTGAATGCGGGATAAATATAATCAATATAACTGTTGGTACTGATATCAAACACTTTCTTCTTTCTCTTCTCTTTGCCTCTTGTAAAACTAGATGAATATGAAAGTGGGATTGATCGAGAAGATGAAGCAACAGAAATAGTTGATGGGGCATATGATATACTACTCTTTTTATTAGATATGGATTTCTCCAGTGTATATCTTGAACAAGCTTGATCGTGTAATAATAAAAAGGCACTCATGTTGTTGAAAGGCGAAGTTGCAAAATTTAGTGCAAATGTTGCCACAGTACAAAATCAGGAGAAACAAGAAAAAAGAAATAGTGTAGATTTCTGAAGAGAAAACAGTGACAAGATCTGGTTGTTATATACTACACATTATAAATCGGACATAACCTCCTGAGAAAGATTTACTCTGGATGAAAAAGGGGGAAGAAAGATTCAATGAAAATTTTCAGTATGAACTATAATCAACAACAAGCGTTAATCCTTCCCATTGTTCTCTGTCGTTGTTTGTTATATGCTTGAGCGTCAAATATAATGGAAAACAAAAGGACCCGTTCTTTTGGTAAAATAGGGCGCATAAGAGCACTCCCTACCGCGGCCTACGACCCAGTTAACCTGTCATTTCTCCACCCGATCTCGTTTGCTTGCTTAAACAGTTGTGTCTAATTAAATTCCAGGGCGGTTACATTCATTTCTCATAACTACTGATGGCGTCAGTTTGCGTCGACTAATATTATAAATTGTTTCATGAATGCAAACTTTTTGGTGATAGTGCTTGATACAAGAATAGCTTTATAACACCGTTTGAATTAAGAATTTATACTATTGCTTTTCCCACCACTCATCCCCCCATACGCACACACATCAACACACGATTCGCTCGTCCCTCAAATCAAAACAATATCTACTAAAAAAAAAACTAACACTAAAATTAGACGATAGGATATACATATCCACTGACCATTAAGCGGCATTAGTTATCAATAAAAAGAAGATAAGAGAAAGTTAATATTGTGGTTCCATTTGGTCAATATTTATAATGCAAACTATGGGCCACACAAAAATCAGATAGCTTTAGTTTAAAATAATAGGGCCCCTATTGTTTAATGATACAATTAAACGGACAATTATTGTTATAGCATTTAGCTTCCACTCGATTCTCCTCTTTGGTTTTGTAAAACTTTCTATTAGCACTATGTGTTATAATCCATTGTTTATACGTTTTATGGACCACGAGATGGTTATACAAGCAGTTCTCGTTTCATCACTTTGCATATATATATCATTCAAACCCTTCAAAAAGACTCTAGATGTTTTTAATTAATTGCTGATCATTAGTTTCACCGTTTCTGTGGTACACAATGTAAGGGGGGTACACAAAAGTTTATGAGAGAATAGCTCGTACTGATACTGGTAGACTGCTATATCTCATCATTCCTTATTGTTTTGAAGGGGAGAAAGCTCCCAAATTCTACTTACTTCCTTTTCCATTCTAATCTACGCAATGTTTTATCTTCTAATTATTAAGCTTAAACTATTTAGATTGATTCATTGAAAACTAATTAGACAAGATTTGGAATCACATGAATGTAGGTGGCTTTTTTTCGTCACAACCGGAGGTTAATCATTTATTAATTTAATCACTAAAATGAAAACAATTGTTTTAAAACTTGCGATAATTCGAATTTGCCCAAATTAGGAGAATTATGTCTTATGAGTTACGAGTAATACAAAAAATAAAAAAGGCTGCACTATCCGTTAGCGATATTTTGTTACACATTTCAAAACACAATTGCCACAATCACGTACGGCAATTCTAGAACCTTCAAAACCACTCATTCATCCATTATACAGCTTATCTATTGGCGTCCTAGAACTTTTAAATTACTTGCACAGAAATGATTTATCAATCAAATAAAAACGTCGAATCTAGGTGCCGTTACGCGTTCTTTTGTCTCCTATTTTATTTTTCGCCACAAAAAAGAATGGATCCCTGTACAAAATGGTCCCCTTTACAATGGAAAAAAAAAATAATAATAATTAAACCCCTATTCCGGTGGAGGTACCGAAACAGTTTGATATGTTATGAAATAACAAAAAACGAAAATCTTCTCCCTTACGGGGAATCGAACCCCGGTCTGCTCGGAACTTTTAAACTCGACTGAATCTGAAAGCGAACCGTGATAGCCACTACACTATAAAGGAAGAATGAAATTGTAGAGAAACTCCCTTACGGGGAATCGAACCCCGGTCTGCTCGGAACTTTAAACCTGTGAAGATTTGAAAGCGAACCGTGATAGCCACTACACTATAAAGGAAATTTCATGACGATTGATAACCCCCGTTTTCTTGGTATGTTTTAAAATTGGTTGTTACAATATTACACAAAGTTGGTGTCTCGATTCAATAATCAAGACAATTCATAACTTCTAGTATATAATATACTGTAAAAACGTACCATTAATGATTCTTTGAAGATGAGACTACACTACGTATTATAATTGTGTAGAATATAGTGTCAATGTTGGATATCTAATAGTATCCTTATTTTGATCAAAACATTGCAATAATTTATCACAAATTTTTATTTTCATGAAAAACTTCAATAATAAAACATATGGTAATTGTACTAGACATTCAAAACGAAGACAATTATATAATACACCAACATAACCAAGCATTTCTTCTTACAATATATACTTATAAACCATCTTCTTTGGAAATACCCCAGATATCATGGCAATATCAATGCCAGTTTTCAACATTCACACGACCTATTTCCAAACGTTATTGAATTTTTCTCTCTCTCCCAATGGAACTGGAAAAAAAATCAAAGCCAAAAAAAAAAGAAAAAGCGAAAAATTTTTCTACCATCAAGAATCACCTACTCACCAAGCTACGGATTAGTTTAGAATCAGACAAACCACTCACCACTAACATCACTCCTTGTACATATATATATTTACATATCATCTATTTATTCCATTTACTATTTCCGGCCTTCATATTACAAGAAAAAAATGTTTAGAACAACAATACGTAGGGTTTCTACCAAATCTATTCCATATGAACCAATACCTAAAAATAAATATAATCAAAATAGATCCGTATTCAATTTCAAACCAGTTCCAACAGAAGGATTAGTTTATAATCCACCAGCAGCTATAGTCAAACCATATATGCAAACACCATATGTTTTCTTACCACCAAATGATCCAAGACGTGAATTTGCCAAACAAAATTGCATAGATCCTTCTATTGTTAAAGAAATGCCAGTTATAAGAGAATTCAAAGCTGCTCATCAAAGAGAATATAATGTTACTGCTGAAACTATTACTAAAATCAAACAATTGATAAAAGAAGATCCTGAACGTTGGACACTGAAAGCTATTAGTAAAGAATTTAATATTGAATTGGTCAAATTGCATTATTTCTTGAGAGGTGAATTGGAAAAGAAATTAAAACCACAACCTAAAGTCATATCTAAGAGACTTTTGGATAGACAAAAGAGAAGAGAATTATGGTTAAGAAATGAATACTAGATGAAAAAAAAAAAAAAAAAAACTGATTAGTAAAGACGTTTTTCTTTTTTTATGAATTAATTTTGTAAATAGCTTTACACTGCACATAATGTATACTAGATGTAAGGAAAGTAATAGTGATTGTTGTAGATATACTGAAAGAAACGAGATCTCAACCTAGGGTAATCTGCTAAACGGACAAATAATTAAAAGACTCAACAAGGAATATTAGAAAGCACTCGAGGAAGACACAACAGAAAGTGCCTGCAAAGAACTGTTTCAAAATCTACTGATTGACTTAATTATTCACTTTGATCAGTGACTCTTTACCTTTATTACAGCTCAATCGACTCCTATGACTATAACATCAAGAACAAAGGTAGGTATTGCAAAAACGACAAAAAACAAAAAATACCTGCACATAATCACCAATTTTTTTTTCCCTTTCTCTTAATTGTTCAACCTTGAAAACTAACCAAATAAGGAACGAAAAATTTAACAACCAACAAAAAAACCCAAATCAATCATAAATATACCGTAACAATGTCAGATAATGTATGTACTTATTATCAATTATATCTACTACCTAATCAATGCATAATACTAACATGGATATTTTTATCATAGCAACAACAGGATAGAAGATACAGAAATTCACAACAAGGACAACAACAATATAGAAGAAGAAATAACAATTCTAATGTTCCTAAACAGGAAGGACCTAAAAGAGAAGCAATTTTAGATTTAAATAAATATAAAGATCAAGATATAAGGGTGAAACTTATTGGAGGTAGACAAATAACTGGAACTTTAAAAGGATTTGATCAATTAATGAATTTAGTTTTAGAAAATGTTCAAGAAACACTTAGAGGTATGTATATCTGAATATATCTATACAAACAAGTATAGACTTGAAATTGAAATTGAAGATTATTGATTTTTACTAACTATTGATAATATTAGATCCTGAAGATGATGATGTATTAACAGATAAAACAAGAGATCTTGGATTGGTTGTTGTTAGATGTACAAGTTTATTGACTATATCACCAGTTGATGGAAGTGAAATAATTGAAAATCCATTTGGTCAACCTGAACAATAGATAATAATAATAATAATAATAAAGAGAGGTAATTATTATTAATAAATAGTCTAGTATTATTATACGTGTACATTATATTATTATCGATTTATGACCATTTAAGTGGTACAATTTTGCAACAGTAAATTAGACATTTTTCAAAGGAAGATTTGGTTGTGCCGTAGTAATCAAATCCTCTCGCCATGCCATCCTCAGATATCTCATCGTGAGGTTTAACAATTTTTTTTTTTTTTTTTTTTTTCAGTCCAAGTTTTTTATTTTTTAACTTGCTCTGCTTTGTTTAACTTATTTTTTTTTAATTGGATCTCTTTCTTATCTTTTTTTTTGATCTTTAATTAATTCATCAAAACCATGTCTGCTGCTAAAGAAGTAGGTAAAAATGTCATCTTGTTACCACAAACCAATCAATTAATTGGTTTATATTCAATCATTCGTGATCAAACTACCAAAAGAGGAGATTTTGTATTTTATTCAGATAGAATCATTCGTTTATTAGTTGAAGAAGGTTTAAACCAATTACCAGTTGAAGATGCAATTATAAAATGTCATGGTGGCTATGAATATAAAGGTGCTAAATTTTTAGGTAAGATTTGTGGTGTTTCAATTGTTAGAGCTGGTGAATCTATGGAAATGGGTTTAAGAGATTGCTGTAGATCAGTTAGAATTGGTAAAATTTTAATTCAAAGAGATGAAGAAACTGCATTACCTAAATTATTTTATGAAAAATTACCTGAAGATATTAGTGAACGTTATGTTTTCTTATTAGATCCAATGTTAGCTACTGGTGGATCTGCAATGATGGCTGTTGAAGTTTTATTAGCTAGAGGTGTTAAAATGGATAGAATCTTCTTTTTGAATTTATTGGCTGCTCCTGAAGGTATTAAAGCTTTCCAAGATAAATATCCAGATGTTAAAATAATCACCGGTGGTATTGATGAAAAATTAGATGAAAGTAAATACATTGTTCCAGGTTTGGGTGACTTTGGTGACAGATATTACTGTATCTAAACGAGGCATATGAGAAAGTCATCAACTTTTCTAAACTCATTATTCATAATAACTATGCATAGCAATTATCACTACATACACTTTATATGTATTATATCAGGATTCTCATGATACTCCTCTGATGTTACCCACATCTTTTTAAATGTAGATAAACCTGCTAAGATAGACCCACCAATCCATGTAGAGTATTTTCGCTCAGGAGGAGCATATATTTTAACCTTCATTTTGGTATTGTAAACATCATTCAGAACATTTTTATTCCAAATACTGGTTTTAGAATCCTCTTGTTGTGGTTGTTGTAATTCCTTTAATTCTTTCAACATTCTATCACCAAAATTCTGTAGTAAAGTATTTCCTCCAGATAATATAATGTTTTGATATAAAATCGGACGCAAATCCAAATCAGTTTTACTAATGGCTAATGATGTCAATTCATGCAATCCAGGAGATTCATCACCAATCAATTGAGGATTGAATAAAATTTCAGGAGCTCTAAATCTTTCAACACCCAATTGAATTTCATGACCATCAGGTAATTTATAAGTTGAAAACAATTCATTATTTTGATTATTCCTAGAATAATGACTACCATAAATTTTTTCATCTCTAACAGGATCTTTTGAAACAAAACAACATTGTTCTTTCATCAATCTTACAATTTCCAATTCAGAGCTACTTTTCATTGAAATACCAGACATTCTTCGAATATTAAAACTTAATGATTCTGTAATATCTCTTCCAGCTATATCCATTCTCTTGATAGAAGGAGGTAAAGAAAACCCTTCATAAACAGGTACAATATGACTTACTCCATCACCACTATCTATAACCACCCCAGTTGTTCTTCCTGATGCATATAATGATAACACTGCTTGAATTGAGACGTAAATACATGGAATATTGAAATTTTCAAATAATATTTGACACATTTTATTTCTATTTGAACGAGGATTCAATGGTGCTTCAGTTATTAATAATGGATGATCTTCACTTTGAATCTTCAAATCTTGACTATATGTATGATACCATAATTTTTCCATATCATCCCAATTATTAACAATTCCATGTTCTATAGGATATGTTAATTTCAATAATCCTCTATTTTCTTGAGCCAAATTACCGATATAAATTCTCAGATCATCTTGTTGATGATGTGATGAAGATGCAGTGGATGGAGCTGTTTGAGGATCCGGTAGTAATGAATGACTTCCTGCTGCCATGATTTTTTGGTATTTTGGTCTACCTATAATTGAAGATGCATAAGTTTTAGGTTTATCTTCACCAGCAAACCCAGCTTTTAAATTACCAGACCCATTGTCAATAACAACTGGTTGATTATATAAAGTTTCAGCCATAGAATTGATATCTTGAAATTAGGATGATAATACGTGATAATAAACTCGTGACACGTATATGACAGGACAGAGAAAAAGGGGAAACTAAATTTTGTTTACATTTTTCTTTTTTTTTTGTTTCCGTGATTTGATTTCTGGCAACAAATTAAAATCAACAACCACAAGATATTCTAAACAGACAATACAACCTATTCTGACCATGCTGCTGCATTTAACATCATTATCATCTAATCAAAAGGCTCAGTTAAGAAATGCATTTACTTTAATCGATGGAGAATCTCGTGATTCAACAATCACTAAAGATGATTTACTTAAACTATATTCGACCTTGGGCTTACGAGCACCAAGTGAAGCACAATTAAAAGAGATGTTAACTATAGATAATGTTGATAAATCAGAAACAGGGATAAACTTCACCCAGTTTCTGAATTTAATGGCTAAAGAATTACTGAAATTTGAAGATCGTTCAATCATTTATAATGCTTTAAAAATCTATCTGGATAAAGAAGATTTGAAAACTTTTAAAGATGAATTACAAATTGATGTTAATAAATTAAAAGATGCTTGTTGTTCTGTTCAATTAGGTGAAATTGGTTCTGGTGATAATAGATTATCTAGAGCAAAATTTGATAAACTAGTTGAAGGTTTTGTACAAGAACAAATGGATGGTAAACAAATATTCTTAGCTTCTAAATGGATAGATGCATACATTGATTGAACAAAAACAATTCTTTTTAGTTAAATAAACTCCTTTATAATACTATATTCTACATATAAAAATAAGACGACAATAAAAACTTTGTCCTCTTCCCATATCTATTGGTCGACAATTAATTCATCACAACCCCAATCTTCATAAGAACCATCAGGTAAATATCTTCTTATCACTAAAGGAATTTTTCTTTGTGCCAATTCTTTCATTGCAATTTGTAAAGGATCAGTTTCACCTTCAATATCAACCAATACAGGAGCATTTAAAGAAATTTGTAAAGCTCTAGTACCTAATATTCTAGCACGTTCATATTTGGTCATATATGGAGTAGTTGTTCTTTTATCCTTTGGAATAGCTAATTCTCTAGTTGTTTTTTTAATAGGTTGGGAATTTGCTTGTGCTGCATCATCAGGTCCAAATCCTCCATTTATAATGGTTCTACCATCAGTTGTTTGTAAAGCAGCATCACCTCCATTTTGTGTTGGGTCATCATATTCATTATCTGAGAAATGATCTGGAGCATCGAAATCTTCAAAGTTTTCGTGTCCTTCATTAAAAGCATTATCTTCGTAATCTGACATTATGTATGTGATTGTATATATGTGTATGGATATGTATGGGTAGAATGTAGTTCTTTTTTTATAAGATGATACCTGATTATTATTGATATTGATTTTTCCATCTTGAAAAAAAAAAAAGCGAAGAGAAAAAAAAAAAATTGAAGAGAAGAAAAAAATTATCCACATACACGACTGTAATAAAGTTTGCAATCAATCTTTCTTTTTATCTAATAATTATTACATGAATATTTATTATTCATAATATGTATATAAAATGTTTATATCGAAATAAACTGTTCAAAGGAATATTTATAATCATGCTTTTTATTTCATTCTTTGCTCTTTTTTTTCGGTTCTTTTTTTTACTTTTCTTCTTTTGCTTTGTATATGTTCACTTGTTGAACAGACCACACTCAATTCAATTAGTAAATTTATAATTCATTAGCGTAAGGCAAGACATCAAGGTTACCAACAGCAACATAGTTGAATTCAGAAATTGGAGCCTTTTCAGCAGCAAGTTTAACATCGACTGGAGCATCAACAGAAGATTGTAAAGCAACAGATAATTCAGCAAGTTTAACAGCACCAGACAAGTCAGCAGTAGAAATGGCTTCAGCAGCAGCTTTAGCTTGTTTAATGCCTTGAGCAACTTGAGAAGCTTCACCAGAAACAGAAATGACAAACAAACCAGCATCTTGGTATTTGTATAAGTAAGAAGTGGCACCTGGGATTTGAGCCAATGGAGCAGAAGCTTGTGGAGCAATGGAAGAACCAATAGCAGCAGACAAAACTTCGTATTTACCGAAATCAGCTGGTTTAACTGGAATACCAATCAAAGCAGATGAAGCACCTTTAGATGGGACTCTAGCTTCTTGACCTTGGAAGAATTGAACTGGGAGGGATTTGATAGAGGAATCAGATTTGGTTGGCAAGTAACAGAAGGCGGAATCAGAAACAAATTTAGTCAAATCTTCTTCGTTGGCACCTTCAGCAACAATGGAAATGTTTTCACCAGTGAATTGTTCTTTAGAGAATTCAACAATTTCTTCAAGACTAACTGGAGTGGATTCATTGTAGAACAATGGGTTACCCAAACCTTTTCTGAATGTGATTTCGTGCAATTTTTCAACACCTTTGAAAACTGGGTTAGCTTCAGCCAAAACAGCTTCAGTTTTAGCAGCTGGTAAAACAACTTCTTCAAATTCATGAGGAACAAATTTGGTATTTGAAACAACATTACCCAAAGCTTCAACATAGTATGGCAAGTCTTGTTTTAAGAATGAGGTTTTCAAAACCAAGGCATCTCTGGTAACTTTACTTTCAAAAGTACCACCCAACAATTCGGATTCTCTAGTAAATCTCAAAGCTGATTTGGCACCATTGCTCAAGAAAGTGAATTTAGACAATAAGTGGGAAACACCGCTTTTACCAGTTTTGGAACCAGCGTTATTAATGACAACTGACAAGTTGGTTAAGTTGTGAGCAGTATCTTTAGATGCAACTTTAACGGCATTTGGAATAGTGCTGTAGGCACGAATTGAAGCACGAGACAACATGTTTATATATATATATTATTTGCTAGTGATTGGACAGTAATAATGCAAACGTATCAAGTTAGAAGGGACTTCCAAAAACTGTGAATGGTGTTGGTATTCGCTTGATTTTTTGGTAGTTTTTTTTTTCTACTCTCTTTCATTCGTTCTTCTTCATTTTAGATTTTTTTTTCAGTATATTATGGGTAGTGTGGAACTAACCAAATTTATTAGTGAGCAGAAAAGAAGACAAAAAAAAATTATAAATTCTCATTCGCTGATTGGATCTAAGGTGTTGTCACGTGATAGAAATCAGGAGACTTACTTGATCGTGAATTCTTTTATGAATTATGAGCGTGAACTAATAGGAAAGTGGAATATAATTTATAGAGAAAGTACTTTGGTGCATCTGGAGCATTATTATAAGCACCAGCTCGTTTTCAGATGGAAAGAGAATAAATTGTTAGTACTCAAACACGTGATCATGATGAAATTCGTATTACGAAGTTACATACTCGATATTATTGTTGAATTGTTTCTCTTGTCTCATTTACGATTCAGAAAAAGAATCGTTTTGTAACTAAAATTGAATTGCTGGGCTGTATGGATTTGTGTGTAAACTAATCGCTATCTTTGGAGCTATGAGTATTTTTCAAAGTTTATTGGGAAAAAGTTTGGATTACCAGTTGGAGGTATATCCATAATAATATAAGCACTAGACTGTGCTGACTACATATTAGTCAGGAATTTTACTTGAGTGCAAATATTAACCTTGAATTGTAACATTCGAATATGAAGCATCAACACAAAAATTATTTGCTAGGAATTAAGTGACGTACGTGTGCCCTGATGAGGTATCGTAACTACGAGTAACTAGCCAACCAAAAAAGCAATAACGTTTAATAAATTATGAAGGGTTAATGCTCTATCTTCAGGGGAGAGGGAACGTACAATAAGTATAGAATTAGCCTCAACGACTAATTATAGAAACATTCCCAAGAGTAAGACAGCTTTTTCTTTCTCCCCTGGATGTATGTATAACAAGAATGTTTTTATGAATACTGAATGCTTGTAAGAATTATAGAAATTTGTTGGCTGGTACCTACATAATTTTGATGGGTGCACAAAATAAAGATGAAGATTTTCTCATCAAGATGGTTCATCAATAGATAGGGGGTAACAATGATCAGATATTCTCATCTTTTCTTTCAATTCGTATCTTTAGAATTTTTTATGGGGGGGAGGAGAAGGCGATCAAACAAATTGTGTGGGGAAAGATGATTGGGGAGAAGAAGAGGTTTGAAAATAAAAAGTTTATACAGTTGACATATTTGAACTATTTTAATTCTTAGAAAGTGTTATTAACTACCAAGATATGAAACCAACAAGGGAAAAATGCCAGGTCATAGGTACCAAAAAAGCAGTGGTGGATAATTCAACTTTTCTCTGGTTTTGTACTATGTATGAGAAACAAATTTATTAGAGAATGTTAAGAAGGAAGTGAGAAGCAGCCTTTAATTTCAATGCTGATTATGCACAGCATAGATATGAATTGTGTTAATGGGGATGAAGAAAATGAACTGGACAATGGCGTACTACTACTCATCAACTAGGATAATAGTCATTGACAATAGAAGTAAAATGGCAATTTAAAATAAGAGAGATACCCCACATTATAGGGGAGGGGGACTGAAAACCCTAAGTAGGAAAGTGGGGAGGTGAGAACCAATGAAAAGGAGGGACGTAAAAAGTTTGAATGGATGAAAGAGAGATTGGATAATGGGTAATCATTGGTGTACTGTTTAACTGTTGTAATGATATTTAGCAAGGGGGAGAGTTAATTTCCCTTTTTAATTTACACAAGCTGATGTGTTTAATGGCATTTTATGTAGTACCTTTAATGCACACTCACTTACACAATACACACCATGGAATTCAGTGTTACAGGAGAAATATAGTAATGAGCCGATTTCAATACTAAAATGTTAAATGAAAGGATTTGCCGTACTAATCCATTTTAAATTGCAATAGAAAGAAACAAAGAGCTTCCCTTTTAGTCATGTAGAAACTAATATTGCTGTAGCGACAATCAAATCCATGTTAGTTGTATAACACAAAACAAAACAAGCTGGGTGGAATTACATTAGCTGCATTTCCACTGCTCATGTACCTCCCATCCTTATGGGCCCAACCATGCCAACACCCACACCCACAAAGTAAAAAATCAAAAAACGAATTAAAGTACAAACCTAAACCTAAACCAAAAAAAAAATTCTCTATTTTGATTTTACTCAACGACAAACAATAATCAGAATTCTTTTATTTTTTTTTTTCTGCTTCTTACACAGACAGCCCATTCTCCTTTTGAATATAATACCTTTAATCGATTTTCATTTTCATTTTCATTTTTTTTTTTTTGCTTTTTCATATCAACAACTATTCATTATTGCCCTCCTTTAATATCATCCTAACATTCTCCACCTAATAGTTACCATTAAGAATGGATAACAACATCAATCATTCTCTGGATCAGTTACAGCAGCAGCAGCAACAACAACAACAACAACGACAATCCACAAACAATAGCAACACTTCCCCAACAAAATACTCCTCAACCCCTGGCAACACCAACAATAATGCTCCGAAAAAACGGTTTAGAATAAGACATGCTTTAAGTTGCGCTGTCTGTAGGAAAAGAAAACTGAAGTGTGATCGGCAAAGACCTTGTGGGACTTGTGTCAAAAAGAGTATTGTACATTTATGTCATTATGAGGATGATTTACTCAATAGTCGACCGGTAAACCATTTTTTACCAGTAGAATTCCAACAACATCAACAAGCTCCGGATATTCACCATCCAATAGACAACCAAAATGGATACATGATGCAAAACAATCATATACAGCATCCAAATAACGGTTTCCCCCCTCCCCCACATCATCATCCAAACCATCAGGGTCCCCCACCACCCATGCCATATCATGACCAATTTCACAACAACTATCCACCTCCTCCAGCTCATTTACCTGCACCTCCTATGAATCACCAACCTCTTCCGCCACCACCACCTGGTCCACCTGGTCCACCTGGCCAGCAAACAACTTTACCACCACAGGTAAACCACAGCCCAAATAGAATGATGTCTTCACAAATGTCAATTCCTACTCCTCCATTAATGAATCGACCTTCCCTAAATGGATCAAATCATACTAGTCCCGAGAAACAGAGTTCTGGATCAACAGCCGCAAACATGGCTCATTCAAGTTCAATAAGCTTACCATTACCCCCTCCACCTCCCGCTCCACAACCACAACCACAACCACAGCCACAAACAAATGGGCAAAATCAACTGCAACAACCAACTTCGTCTCAAAATTTCGAACCAACTCCTTTGAAATCAAATTCTACTGGGTCTTCAACTTTCCAATCTCATAGTTCATACAATTCGGCGACAGGAGCGTCTCCAGCTGGTTCTCTTAACCAGTTTTCACCATCATTCCAACGATTAAAATCAACTGGTTCCGGTTCAGGTTCAGGTTCCGAGGGTACTTTATCACCAACTGCTACCACGATCGTTGTTAACGATCTTCTCAACCCATCAAGATTAAACAACCATGGGGTTGTTTCAAGTTTGTCAAGTGGTGATTCACCAGGAGTTTCTAATATGTCATCATTAGGAAAACAAAACCAACATCATAACCCAGGTGCCAGTGCCAATTCTTCAGCAATGACATCTCCAACTACTGGTGGTGATGCTGATTCCTTTTATTCCAACTCATTAGTGTCAATCCCATTAGGTACTAATTCTTCACTTCAAATCAATGCACAGGATACTATGGATGTATTTACTGACCCAATTTTTTCATTGCATTTAACTGGAAATGAATGGCAGCAGGTTGGAACGCTTTCATATCTTGGGTTAACTAAAAGTGATCCATTCATAACCATATTGAGAAATTTCCTTGTACATTTATTCAAGAGTGACGAGATAACTAAGGTAATCCAGGATGATGTATCGAGAAAGAGACGAAATTCAAATGGCAGTTTGATATCGTACAAGTCGAACCGAACCAGCGACGATGCTATGTCTCCGTCGAACAAAAGACCTAAGTTAGAAGGTAGTGGCAGCAGTAATTTGACCATGACAGGTATATCTCCATTAAATTTTAATTCTACTCCAATGAATACATCCAATTCGAATGATTCAAACAATCTAGGAACAAATTTGAATATTTCTGATACTTTTGGATTGTTAGCAGAAACCAGTAATAAGAGTACCCCGATGAACGACGGGTTTTCCCCAATGATGGATAATAGATCAGAGCCTTTAAAGAAAAATTCAGTTCAAGATTTGACTTCTATCAATTCATTTTATTCTGGAAATGGAAAAAACAAGCAAGAATATTATCGCTTTGTCGAGAGCCAGATTTTGAAGATTTTACCCGATAAAACAAACCTGTTTCAGTTATTTTGTCGTTATTTCAAGTTTGTTAATCCATTCAATCAAATAATTGACGAACATACATTGTTATTGGAAATCAATCCTATCCTTCCAAAGTTTTTAAAATTTAATCATGAACGTTTCTCCGAAGTCCGAATCAAAAACGATAATGAACTAAGAACATTGGGAATTTTCTTGGTGCTCTTGAAATTGGGATACCAAACCATGATTCATAATGATAACGAATATAACAATTACGACGAGAAAGATCTCAGCATTATTGAAGATATGGAGAAGCTTGATACAGAATCTTTCACTTGTGTTATCAATTTATGTGTCGCTGACGGATTAACTGCCGCAAAGTCTTCATTTAAACTAGTGCAACTTTTGACTATGTTATATTACTATAAAGGAATGAGTCCAGATGACTCTCATGGCTTATGTGGAGCTGACTCGCAGATATTGTTGGGGATTATTATCAGACATGCATTTTCAATTGGGTTGAATCGTGATCCAACTAAATACACCACGTTCCAGAATTTGACCAATAATCCAGTATTGATTAGAACTTGGAGACATCTTTGGTGGTACTTGTCGATTTCCGATGCTATGAGTGCATTTAATACTGGTTGCAATTTGAATATTATGAATCTTGACGTTTGTGATGTCGAGTATCCTCAATTTAACGAGGATCCAAGTGGCGAGATGAACAAAATAATGGAAACATTGATTCAAATTTCAATGATTTATCGAAACATCGTGAACAAGATTAATAATTTGCGTCAGAAACCAAAGGTTGTTGATATTTTAAAGGAAACAAATCAATTGGAAAGAATCTTTTTTGACTTTTTTGGAAAAGATTTTTTCAAAGACGTTATTTGCAAACCTTCGTCGGCTCCAAGCAACGGATTTGAACAAACCAGTAAAGAACATCTTATGAGTGTTATTAAAGTTTTCAAGTTTTGTTTGTTTATACAATTGCGAACCAATTTGTCCGGGATGTATTATAAAATTGCGATTCATTATGAGAATGAGTATGATAGATCCAAGACTCCTTCAATGAAAGCAGGTATTGAATTGTTCAAGATATACATTAAAAGTGTTGTTCAATTGGTGTATATCATGTCCTATGTCTTGGACAATTCAGTTGAATTATTTGGTAAGAATTTTGATTGCATGTTGACTGCATCGAATGAAAGGTATATGATCAAGACCCATTCGTTTTTGACATCATTTTTTGTCAGATTATTGCACCAGAAGAAAGAGTTGTCGTTCAAAGTGTTCAAAGAGATCAGTTATATGTCGAGATTAGAAGATATCAACAGCCTTTTCGATATTGTATTGGAGAATGCAGAAGTTTTTGTTGGCAATTTCAGGAAGTTGTCGAGAACCTATATCAATTCTTACAGATTGTATATCATGACATACATTGTTCTAAGACAATGTGTGGATAACGCCGATGCATTTTTCGAGAAGGCCGTCAGTGACCAACTGTTTTTCTACCAAGGAACCAATATGATTGAGTTTTTCTCCCCCGTTGAATTACAGAGGTTATGTTCCTTATGTAAAGAGTTTAGAAATGCCAAGGAACAACAACGGAAGTTGAAGAATGAAAAGAAAAAGAAACAGAATGGCGATTCTGGGGAATTGTTTGACGATCCTTTAAAAGATTTGGAGACAAAATTGTTTGGAAATGTCAATGTGTCATTCTTTGATGATGAGGATATTTTCAGTAACCTTAACAATTTGTCAGACAAGATATTGGATCCCCTTGCTTGTAAAGATGATTTGATTAGATTGTATAATATTTATGGTGATTTTGATAATGAATTATTAGAAAAGTGAATGGTAATTCTCACCCACCATATGCTATAGAGTTCTTGTATTATTAGTTTTGATGTTTCATTTATTATGTACCTACTTCTTCGTGAGTTAAATTGATAGACACTGTTTATTTAATCTTTAATTGAAATAATCTCCAACATAAGTTTGTGTAATCGGAGATGCGAATTCTTTGTGGTCATCCGAGATCTTCCTTTCTTAATCGCCGGACGGGATCAAAAGAATTTTTTTTCTCTCTCTTCGTTGGGGATTCGAAATTTTCCCGCTCGTTCAAATTGTTTCACTATAATTTCCTATAAACCCTGAAAGCAAAACAATAACAACAACAACAACGACAATAACAACCATGGAAACAGGTATTACCGATAAGATACTCCCCAATAGTGGTACCACTCGAAAGCGTAATAGAGTTATTTTAAACTGTTTGAATTGTAAAAGAAGAAAGGTTAAATGTGATAGACAACTGCCGTGCCTGCGATGTATAAAGTCTGGACTTACTTGTGAATATCAACAACCTGAATGGAACCATAATGCAAGTAGCGATATTGCTCCATTTAAAGTACAACGGTTAGGAGGAGTATCGCCGAATTCTAACCAGACTACAAACCAATCAGAACTACAAGAATTAAAAGAGAGAATTCGTCAACTAGAAAACAAAAACAACAACAGCAACAATAGTTACAGCATTGATAATGGGAACCTACCATTAAAAAGGCAAACATCTATGTCTCATGCAACTTCAAAAGAACAAATAAACAATTATAAATACGATCCTAATAATAATGCCACCTTCATTGGTATCAATCCTTATGCGGATATTTCAGAAACCATCAATTTTTATAAGGATTATAATTCAATTCATGTATCATCAGTAACTCGCAAATATAACGCTGGTCCATTTTCTTGGTTAGCTTTAATGAAAAAGGATCCAGCATTACTTCAATCTTGGAAAAAATTTCGACAACAAAGATCTGCACATTTACAAAAATTAAGACAAGTTTCAAGAAATGGTAAGGAACCCCCAAGTGCTATTCCATTACCAAAATTCGAGAATAATGAAGCCATATTAAATCCCGAAGAAACAAACAAAACAAATAGTCTATTACCTTCTGTACAAGATGCAGAGGAAGACTTCAGAGCTAAAGCTATCGATAGAGATGGTTTTAATGATGTTCGCCTATATGGAAATATTCAACGTACAAGTAATTTAAGAAGTAAAATTACAAAGAAGTCCGAAAAGAATGAGACAGAAGAAAATTCAACTAAAATTGCAACGATGAATAAACAAGGTATTTCATTAGGGTTAACTGTTTATGAAGGAACTATTGATAAAGAATTGCAATTAATTGAGAAGATATCAATGGTATTACCCAAGCAAAAAGTAGTTTGGAAGTTAGTTAATAAATTTTTTGCTAAAGTGTATCCGTTCATGCCAATCATAGATGAAACAGAATTCAAGACGGAGATATCTAAAATTGTAGGTCCTGAAGAATATGATGAAACAGATGTTGAATTAACTGTTGAGAAACGCCTAGATTTTGCATACTTAGGAATATTGCTTACCATATTACGTTTGACTTATTTATCATTATTCCTGAATAGAAATGGTGTTAACGAAGATAACCTTAATACTACTGATCCATCAGAAGAGGCTCAAGAATTGAAATATCTATTATCAAACCCAATTAATATCACAGTTACCGATGTGGCACAAGAATGCCTTGAGCAGTTTGATTTCTTAAGAAAAACAAATTTCACTGTTTTGCAATGTACATTTCTTCTTAGATTGTATTGTATGTTTGCTCCTGAAGATGGTGATGGTGCTGATGTGGGCGATTCTCAAACTTATAATGCCATGTTGATTCAAATGGCATATTCTATGGGGATTAACCGCGAACCAACCACTAATATATCACATGGCCAATGGGATATTCTTACAGATGACTTGAAAATGAATAATGTTCAACGTAAGATTTGGTTTTTCTTGGTTATTTGTGATCTCATACAGGGGTATAAATTTGGGAATCCTTTATGTATTGATAAAAAATATTACGATACAGCATTACCATTTTATAAACCAGGAAATGAAAATATTCAAGATGTGGAAATGGAAAAACATGTCATTGGTACTTTCTCATATTTTGAAAGGTATTATGAAAAACTTGTTACTATTCTTGATTCCACTTTGGATATCAAGAAAGATATTAAATTATCGGAATTAACATCACAACTTACTGATTTTGAAGTATTTTTGGCCAATAATTATGGATCACTTAAAGATTTTTTGATTCCCTATGATAGTAAAGTATATAAATATTCATTTGTTAAAACCATGAAGTGCAAGAATTATATCAATATGAGAATGTTTCTTAATACCATATTTTATCATTTATTTTTATATTATGAAAAACAACAAAACACAGAATTTGCATTTTTTTATTTGAAAAAAGTTTTAGCATCACATCTTGGAGAGTTTTTCCCAAATGTATTTTATTTGATTAATGATAATCATGTTAATTTTGGAGAAGTTGCTGATTTAATTCTTAATCCAACAGTTGAAAGTATGATTCATAAAGTTTCTCAAATTAATTTTGCACTTATAGTAAGATTAAACTCCAGCTTTTTTTCAATGAGAAATAACCCAAAACATGCAGAGAAAATGGATTCAGATGCTGGATATAGAAAGAAATTTGCAAAGATTTCCCAAGCTGCTTTACGATTAAGAAAAGTTTCTGATTTCTTATTAATGGCAATGTCAAAATTAAGCCGAAGATATTATTATGCATGGAGAGTTACCAAAGCTCTTTCATTTATTTTGAAATATGCAAATCGTGAAGAATTGTATTCCAATCAAATCAATCAGGTTAATTTCCTTGATATAAATGATGAACAATTAACAGAATTGACAAATATGATAGGTATAAGCCTTGAGAGGAATAGTAAGGCAAGGAAACTGTCTGATGGAGATATAGATATTCCTTCAACAACAGCAGCCACAGAGGAAGTAAGATCAAATTGCACACTAGAAACTGTATCAACTTTAGGGACGAACACAAATGTCTTTACAAATCCGACAATTAGTTCATCTACATCTAAACATCCACAAGATGTAATTGATCCAATATCCATGAAACCAATTAATGTAGATTCATTATTTGATAATTTTGACTGGGAGAAAGATCTTAATATTATAAATAATCCAGAAATCGATAATTTATGGTTACAAATGGCACAAATGAAAAATGATTCATCTCATTCAACAATCAATAATAATAACAACAATAATTATAATATGCCAATCAATAATAATACTTCAAATTCTGCATTTATTAATTTGAATAATAATGGAAATTCTATTGGTAGTGCTAATCCAATAACTCCGTCTAGTGTAACAAGTTCTAATTCTGAGAGTGATTATATTAGACCAGATAGATCTACTAGACTTTCAAGCGATTTTGGCCTTTTTGATACTTTACCATTTGAAAGATTTTTTGGCGGTGAAGGTATGTAGAGATGTTTTCATTATACACTAGTTTTACTGGAGAATACATTTTATTAGATTTAGAAATAAACGTTAACTATATATATATGCATTCGTATAGGATATTATAATACTATTCATACTTGCAAGGGCTGTAAAGAATACTTGACTTTGTTAATTGATACGTCTCTTGAGTCTCAAATCAGGCACATCTACTGATTCTGGAAGCAAGGATTCATCCACATTTAAAAATTCAAAATCTGGTGATATTGTTAATTCTTTAAATAGCGTTTCAACGTCATCTTTAGTCAACAGACAAGGATTAAGATCAATTTGTTTAATACTTGGTGCAAACATAGGTCCTTCTTTTTTGCCCAATGCTTGGAAAACACCCTTTAATTCATTTCGTGGCAAGTATAAATGTTCAAGATTTTCAAGTCTACTGAAATCTCCATGAATTGTAGTTAATTGATTATTACTAAAGTCCAACAGAACCAATGATGAAGGCAAGTTATCAAGATCTAAAGTTTTTAAACCACATGCTACAACAGACAAGTGTTTCAATTTCAGACATTTTGATAAATTCAGATTTTCAAACCATTCATTGGATAATTTTTGGGATGTCAAATCAAGTTTTTCTATTTCAAGTGGAAAATCACAAGGTTCAAGATTAGGTCCATAAATATGATCCTTAAAATGTAAAATCTTTAATCCTTTGGGAAGTTCAGGAAGGGTAGTAAGGTAATTTGATGATAAACCCAATTGTGTCAATCCTTTTGGAAATTTAACTGAAATGTCAACCAATGGATTTAGACCGAGTTGCAAAGATTCCACAGAATCCGGGATTATGAAATTCTTTTCATCAAGAACCTTAAATTTGTTGAACTCTAACCCCAAGTATTTAAGCTTTGGTGCAACAATGGCCACTTTTTGGAGACCACAACAGCTTATGCTCATGTATTCCAACGATTCTGAAAATTGACACGAGAATTCAACTTGTTCTTCGACTGAATCAATATAAAGCTCGCTAAGGTTTTGCAAGTGCAACAAATTATTCATTCTGAAGTCTGGAACTTCAGTAATAAAAACTTCAGTTAAACTCAATGGTAGTTGCCCAACAAATTTAATATCCGTCATATGCTCGATGTTCAAGCTATTTAACGCCGGCAACTGATTCAGTTCAAAATCAAGTATGACAATTCTTCCATCTTCTGGACTTTTACTAAGATTTAACAGTCTGAGAGTTTCAGGCAACTTTAATTTAGACTTGATTTGTTCAATTGATTGGACGAAATTCATGAAGGCATACCTGACATCATAGCTTGTAAAAGAACCAGGGATAGTCAACTTGCGTAGTGTTATTGGAATGGACAACATATCCATTGCCACCATAGCATAAAAATCTGCAACACCGTCAATTTCTAACTCGAATAATTTAGGACAACAAGAAATCAAATCTCGTGGGATCATTTCAAAATAATCAGCCAGTAAAGTTGTTACGTTAGATGGAAGTTTCCATTTAGTGTACGAATATTCATCATTGGTTCTAAGTTTTAGATTTCGAACATTGTCTAAATGGGAAATATCAACTTCTGGAACTGTGTTCTGAAATCTTACTCTACAAGACGCAATACTCAAGTTTTTTAATCCATTAGGTAATGGCAATTGTACCAGCGCCTCAATATCTTTCACACGACAATTCAAAATTTCCACGCTTTTTGGAAGGAGCTTAAGTTCATCAACATCCAATTCAGCAACCAATGAAATACTAGATAAGTTGCAGAATAATTCTTTAAAGAAAGCTTCAACACTTACCCCCAAAATATCTTGTATTTCGTATGATGGTTTGGGAATGCTTCCATAATCAGCATAGTAATTGAGATCATCAATACCACCAAAGCTAACACAATGAACTTCAAACGGCTTTTTCTTATACTCCAGAATAAACTTTTGATAATATTGAAGCCCGCGGTCGAGGAATACAAGCTCTATCTTGATTTTTTCATCAATACGATTCAAACTATCAACAAGTTTAAAAGCATCCAGAGGATCAGTAAACACCAATTTCTTGGGAATTAATCCAGGATTCTTTTTTCTCAAATTTTGATACTCAGAATAAAACAAATTTGGAAACCCTCTATAAGATTCAAGTTCAAAAGCTGTCAGAAATTTAGAATTATTATTAATGACAATTGTTGAATACATTGAATTAGTAGCAAACTCACCAAGTCGTGGTAAACCAGCATATCGCAGTAACTCATCTGGAGGTAAATATTCAACAATTAACTCAACCACTTCATCTGGCAAGTCGTTGAACAATACCATCTTGTTTGCTTATTGTCAATATGAAGAAAAGTATGGGGATAATAGAAAATGAAGCAACGTGTCACAAAAATTGATTAAGGAGTTAAACAAAAAAAAAAAAAAAAGAAAAAATAACAACACCTGAAAGGTAGTACACGACCTTCAAAATATGTTTCACCTACAAATGTAATCATTATGGAAAACAACTGAATTGTGCTTCAAGTTGATTCATGTATCTTGCCCAATTATTGATAACTGGTAGGTATTTAATGGGATAAACATTTGAACAGTACAGTAATATCAGTAATGTTGATTCTACTACGAATTATGCAAAGTATTAATGAACTAATGCAACATGGAATAATACGTCATCTTATAAACATGAGCCTCTCCATAGAATTAATTTCGGAAAGTTCCCACTGCATTAGATCCCACTTGGAGACCGCCAGAATGTTGTTTTCTTCTCCAGTAACAAAAACCTAATTTCACCTGTAGTCAAAACCCGAAATCTAGTTTGGATGACTTGAGGATTTGCAAGTGACGATGAATTAAACTATCTCTTCTATTCAACCTCCGCAATTTCTTGGTCCTAATAAGTGACTAAGCAAGTGCTTGTTCAATTGTTACCGACTTTTAGATTCTGCTTACACTGATACGATATATAGAGAGAGCGCGCGCAATATCTTCGGCTTTATCTCGGTCCTATGCTAAATATTTTTAGATACAGTAGCAAAAATAGTAGAGGACTATAGAAAAACTCGTGCTACATTGATTTATAGTGAATGCATGAATGAAGGTGTTGAATGCTGTTGTAAGAACATTGGTTTATTTTAAGAAGATGACATTTCCCAAGATTTCAATTAAAAGTTTTGAATAATATTTTCCCAGTATTGAAATCAATATGAAATTATCTTACTTATTATTTATACCGGCTGTACTTGCTGGATCGTTACAATTTGACTTGAAGCGTAAAGCTATTTCCCTGAAAAAGCGGGAAGACGGGGAGATTGGCGTAACTCCTGAATATGATAGAGGAGGATTTTTTTTAGAGTTGGAATTTGGTTCCAACAAACAAAAGATTGAAGTTCTAGTTGATACTGGATCATCTGATTTATGGGTTCCTGCTATGGATTATACTTGCACTTCCAATGTCACTAGTGAAGCTTCACAGTGTTCTACTAATGGGTTCGACTGGCAAATATCTTCCACGTTTGACAAATCATCAGAAGTATTTAGAACTTATTATGGAGACAATACTACATCCTCTGGTTTTTTTGGTCAAGATACAGTGTGGATTGGTGATGTTGCTGTCAATGACACAATTTTTGGAGTCGCCAATAGAACAAACTCTACCGGAACAATGGGAATTGGTTTGCCTCAGTTAGAAGCAGGGTATCAGGCGTATAACTTGTCTACATATCCAAACTTCCCACAGAAGTTGAAAATGGATGGAATAATTGATAGAGTTCTTTATTCAGTATTGCTTGTTGAAGACAATTCAAAAAGTTCCTTGTTATTCGGTGCCGTTGACCATGAAAAGTATAAAGGTGATTTGGTTACTTTGCCGGTGTTGAAGAATGATAACTTGGAAACATTTATGTCGGTGGAGGTGGATTCCATTGTGTTCGATGATGGCATAAGTAATCTGACTATATCAGAGAAAGCAAGTGTAGTGTTTGATACAGGTAGTACCAATAGTTGGTTCAGACCCAATTACTTAAAACAGTTAGCAGAGGAATTAGATGGAGAAGTGGTTGAAGACACGTATTATGTAAACGGGACATTGGCTAGCGAAAGTGTCTTACTTATCACTTTCCAGAATTTAACTTTTGCTGCCCCAATTGTTTTTGAGGAAGTAGGAGAGAATCAATTTGCGCTTGGATACAATATAATAGGAGATGGTCCAGATAGAGAAATGGATATCATATTTGGCCAAGATGTATTAATCCAAATCTATGCTGTTTTTGATTTGGATGGTTTGGAAGTTAGCATTGCCCCACAGAGTGGTTCTTCTAAGTCTAATGTCCAAGTTGTTGGAGCTGATGGTAACTTCACTAAGCAATCTGGAGATAGTTCTGAAACAAGTGGAGATAGTTCAGAAAAAAGTGGTGCCAGTTCCATCAAGAACGTCTCCATTTACTTGTTAGTCGTAAGTGCATTGTTTGGGTTATTCTAGTTAAGTTTATACGAATACATAGTTCAAGTTTTCACTGTGGAGTTCTTCATTGAAACCAAAAGTGACCAGTAGCCCTAATTCATGCGACTCAATATAAAAGAATCGTGTCCCGCTCAAATATTTAAATTTCTTCGCACTATAAAAACTCATCACTACAACAAGGAGAAAAAATTTTTCATAACTTTTCACTTTCTTCTTCTTTCATTTCATTAACAACATCTAGCCACCTCCAGCACAGATGAATAGATATATAGATTATTTGAGCTGGATGGAGACTTCAGAGTTCCATCTAATTCATTAATAGATATATCCCAAAAAAGAATAATACTTTTCTGTTTTGGAATTCAAGGGACGTGATAGTTTTGAATTATCTGATTATTTATTTTATTTCTTTTTAAAGATGACAAGATCGCTGTGCACCAGTCTGAGTACTCAACTGCATGACAGACCCAGTATATACCCAAATTTCTGATCTAAAAAGAAACTTAATTATTTAATCAATTATTAAAAACTACATTCTAGTCCGTTTATGATTCGTTGGTGTGTGGCTATTTGTAAATTTTTTTTTTTGTTTTTAAACGGTCGTGTCTCTATCGAGTTCATAGAGAGGAACCAAAAATCACAATTTTCCTTGAGCCACTTCCCTAAACAGCAAAATAACGTACATGTACTCCCCACCTTGACTTTTGTAAATGTTATTTAGTTTGAGAAACTGCAATATTTGCTGATGTGTACGTACAATAGTAATTGAATGGTCTTTGCTTCTGTTGAATCGTTAAATATTAGGTTCTTTTAATTCTTTCGGGAAACTCCTATGAACTTGACGATGTACAGCAAATTATACACCATTTCAATGGTGTAAGCTTTATTCAATATTATATAATGATTCAATTTAACGAAAATATTCTTTTCTTTTATTGTATTTAATTAATTTACATCTATTTAGTAGCTTTATTGCATTATTTTTACTTGTTTTTTGTCCATTTTGATCATATTTTAATAATGGTTCTGTCCATTTAAAGTTACTAATCTACTTGATGGTTGTACTTACAGTATTTTTAGTCCCATCTTATGCTCCTTGTCTCTTAATTCATGACAATTCCTACAACAATTGAATAATAATTAACATATTCATATTTAAAAGTGGTTATATTTCTAATTCTCAATGTCTTCGTTCAATTTTGACCATTATTGCTGTTTCAAAGTGACCCCAATGTCGTACTTAGAAGGATTAGGAAGTATTCAGTTCTTTCCTATGTCCCTGTTCGACGACATGACAAATATGGAAGTGGTGGAAAGAACCAAATGATGAAGGGTTGGCTCCTCCCCTCTCTCCACTTACCACCTCTCCTAATTAAAAGGAGAGGGACGAGATGGGCCCACATGTGTATGTGTGGGGCCGACCCAGCTCGACGATGGCCCTCTTCTTGAGTTGCCATATCGCGTCCCCCTACTGGCCTAAGGGAGAATAGATAGAGGATGAACCAAGAGAGAAGGGGACTGGTCAATTCCCCTATACACATGGTCCTCTACAAGTGTGGTTTGCACTAAACCACCACTAATACTCATCGGGATATTCTAGTAGCCTATCCCGATGAATAGCTTTTAAAGATAGTGATGACCAGTCACTATCTTGTGAAGAACCTTCACTAATCAACATCGCTCCTTTTTTGTATATGTTGATCCCTTGTGTAAGGTTCAAGATAACATGTGTTCCCAAGTTGCTATCTTATTTGGAAGGTTCTTCTAATGTTTGTCCACATACTAAAGCAGCAATCAACTGATGACTTTGTTTACAATGACTTAACCAAGTGACACAAGCAAGAACTAGTGGGGAACATATAACCTTTGATTCTTGGTAAACTTGTTATGGGTAATGGGTTGTGGTTCCTTATATTGAAGTTAGTATTTGCAGCCATGAATACAACACATCAATTGATACTCACTTGTTAAAACTGATATCATATATAGTGAATGATATTAATTGTTAATAAAACAAAAACAAAAAGGAAAAGAAAGTGTTATAAAAAGTTTTTTATTACCAGTTGTTTCTTGTCCTTTTATAGTTCAGTTTTTTTGGAGTATTTGTGTAGATATTTTTTGTTGTGCTTTATATGTTTAGTGCTACCATATGCGGGGAAAATCAAGCAACTTTGGTGTGTAAATTTTAACAACCACTATGTGGATTATCAATTTCACATAATTGAATTCAGTAATCACGTCTTTTACATAAAAATTATCATTAAGCCATGGTGATAACACAAATTTTTGAATATAAGAAATGCATAAACACAGCTCAGTATTTGACTTAAGTAGTCTCCGCCAAATTTTACTAATAAATATCATTCCCTTTTTTTTTTTTTTTTTTGCTGAAACAATTCTGCAATGTGTAGTAAATGGATTCAAATGACTTAAGTGACGTATACTGAAGATTGCTGAAGCTGAAATATAAGGTGTTGGTGGTTTATGGATGAAATAGTAAATTATATACTATTGTATGGCAACTGTGCATGATTTATTCATATCAGAGGTCATAATAATTTATAATAACAATAGTGAATATCCATACAAATATAAGAAAATATATCAATGTGACGCAAGGTCGGATATTGGCAATATCACGTGAATCTTGCATTTCCCATATTTTTTTTTCCTGGTATTATTGGTCGGAATTGGCAACATTCCAGTTTCTTTTATCGGACGATAATCACAGAGGGTATTTATGGAGCACATCATTCTTTACTCCTTCTTTATGAACAGATTTTAATTCCATATAACTAGATATATTACAGTTGGCTATGATGTCTCCATTATCCATTGATGATTTACCATTGGAGATCATTGACATAATATTTAGCTATTTCAATGCGCAAGAATTAAACTACATCAAGAATGCCCCACAGTTTGAAGCTTATGCATATAGACAATTATATTCCACGGTTGTGATTGGCAAAACATCAAAGATCGGAGATGTGTACATACCCGCCATCCAATTCCTATTTATAAGTTTAGGTCTTTGTTTTTGTTCCCATTTACTGGTGTTTATGGCTCGTGCAAAAATACTTCTGAGTTAATCGATATAATAGAGAATCATCCAACAGTCAAGCCAAAGCAAATGTTCTTCTTGAACCCACAATATCTTATTAAATTACATGAGACGAGATCTGTCATTTTAAATGATATTAGTATTGGAATATTGTTTGAATGGAATCGTGAGTATGATAAATGGGATGATATGGTTCAAAAGTTGATAGAAATGCCATACACTTTCTATTCATTAAGATATCTCGTCGAATCGGAAAATGCCTTGTCTTGGGATCAAATCAAACGTTTGACATCGGGGTCTCATCAAATATCACTAGCAGCTAATCTTGATGAAGTTTTCAATACCTTTTGTAATGGGCATACATTGACAGAACTCCAGTTGACAAGAGTGATAAATATGAATGACGTTATATACATCCCCAAAGTGTTACAAAGCTCGATTGCTCACTCGAAGTTCAGACGAATGAAAGTGTGGTTCAGTTGATGTTCCCGTCCAAGTTGAGATATTTAGGAATAGGGACATCTGCAATTACCAGTTTGGAAATTCCTAAACCACTTTTTGATTTGAGACATTTGGAACAACTTGAATCTGTAAACGTGTGTACCGCTGCTAAGTATGATTGGGAGTTTCCCACAAATATTAGAAGTATAAATCTTGAAGGTTTTATGGATTTGGATGACATAAGCATTAATCATCCAAACTTGGTGCATTTTTGTGATACAACAAATACAGAACAGGTATTTAGTCATGGTAAAGATAATCCTATCACTTTCCCTTCCAGAGTTAAAAAGTTGGATTTAACATCTGCGTACTTTTCTGTGCCAAAAGATGAAATTGAAATTGAAAGAGAAACCATGCGTCTTAATCAAAATCACGATGAACATAATCAATTATTGAACCAGTGGCCAAAGTACCAACGTGTAAAATTTCCAGAATCTTTGGTTGAGTTGAGAGTTAATGGTTTGGCAAAAGACCTTCTTGGAACTGAACATGTTATTGTGATAGATTTCAGAATGTGTGAATTGCCCCAGTTGTCGATGCTACTGTTTGAACAAACTTGGGATCAAATAATAGTTAATAACTATTTGCCACGTTCATTAACAAAGATTAATTTCTATAATGTAGCGGATTTACAATTCGACATGTTATCTGACTTGGAGAATTTGGTTGAGATTAGAATTAATACCTGCTTCTTAGCACCAAACTCCAACAAACAGGCTGCACAATTTCCACCACATCTACAAGTTTTGGATATTTCTAGCTCTAGGGTAGACTCTCCTATGGCTTGTTCATTAGTTCCAAATATCAGATCGTTAACTTTAGCGGATAATAATGCCTCAGTATTAATTAGTGGTGATAGGCACGAACTTTCAATTGTACCCAAAATTGAGGCTGCTACAGGGGATGCAAAGAATTCCGGCACATTTTATGGTCCCATCATTGCAATTCCTGAAATACGTTCCTTTGATTTCAAATGGATGGAGAATTTGATTGATATAAATTTGTCATTTCTCATCCTTCAGGAATGTCCTCTTTTTCCACCTTATATTGAGAAGGTAACTTTGACGTGGTGTCTGATTGAACGATTTCCTCTAGATAATGATGGTCGGTTCATTTTCCCGGATACATTAGAGTACTTGAATTTGAAGGAAAATAAGTTCACATGGGATAGTTTGATGTCAATTCATGCCCCCAATCTTAAGTGCTTGGACATTAGTATGGCGCCAAAATTTCACTTGCCTGAAGTGAACCGAGAAACAAATCTGGACTCGGATGAAGTCAGTTGGACAGACACCAAAGTATTTTCAAAGTTTACCAAACTTGAAGAACTAATACTAACTAACAATAATCTTTCCAATCTAATGCCACATGAATTGCATCCCAACATATTTGGACCGCTGATTAAATATTTGAATGTGATGGGTTGTAATCTTAGCAAGGAAACGGCCAAGGGGATCATTGATTTAGTGTTGGCTAAACCTGACTTTGAAAGATTGATAATTGAAGATTCATTGGTCGGTGAAGAATACCAACGCTGGGTCGATAACATCACTATTGTGTCTGACGAAGAGCATTTATAGATGAACGTTTATAGGTGTTTGTAATCGACATAATATTACTGTTCGTGTTCACGTGATAAGATGATTTGTAACACAAAAATAAGCAGCACCCAATGAACAAAAATAAAAAATACATGACGGACCACCCCACGAATCAGTAGACAAAATCTGGTGCTGCGATTCGTTTTTTTTTTTCCTCCCCCTACTTCTCCCTCCTACCATTGTCCATTCTTTTCAACCAGTACAACAGCAACAACAATAATAACAACAAATCAGTATCAGCAATGAGTCCGTTTATTGAGTTGAAAACACCGAAGGACTTGGATATAATATCCGACTTGTGTTTCTCGCCTGTTGACGAGAACCAATTGCTTGTAAGCACATGGTCCAGTGAGATATTCTTGTACTCCTGTCATTCAATCTCCCATGCCCATGAACAGCCAACATTGGATCCATTGAATGTTATCAAAACACCAGATGTCCCCGTATGCATGCTTTATGAGTCACGCAATCCTACACCATATGTTGGGTCATTGGACGGATCCATTAGAGAATTGGATTTTGAGAATTGCAAATTGGGGAAGAATATTGGATTGGAGGTTGATGAATCGGAGATCAGTGGTGGAATCAATAATTTATGTGGAGTGGATAACAGTAGTATTATTGCCTCTTCATTCAACGGGAAACTACAAGTTATTGATACTCGACAACAGAAACCACGTCATGTGTACAACAATAAACGAAAGATATTCACGATGGATACGACCGACACCCATTTGATTCTTGGGTTGCAGAAGAATATCATTGAGATCTACGATCTCAAGAAGTTGGACACACCTTTGGAGACACGCGAAGCAGGGTTGAAGTACCAGATCAAGGATATCAAGAGTTTCCCTAACCAGGAAGGGTTTGCCCTGGCGACTATTGACGGAAGAGTGTCAGTGGATTATTTCAGCACGGATCCACAGTTCTTGGAGGCAAACCGGTTCACATTCAAGTGTCACCGTCACCCGGATAAGGAGACGGGTGTGGATTTGGTGTACCCGGTGAACACGCTTGCGTTCAATAAGAAGTATGGCACGCTATTCACCGGTGGGTCAGATGGACATGTGTGCCTTTGGGATTTTGGTAAGCGTAAGAGAATGAAGAATTTCCCCGAATTCTTGTCAGCGGAGGAAGAGCCGGAGAGTGTGGTGAAAATGAAACTAAACAAATCGGACAGTTTACTTGCAGTTGCCACGAGTGATGACAATTATATTCGAAAGAGAAGGTTAAGTGAAAGTGAGAGTTCTAGAACTCCAAGTAGGATTTATGTCAAGTGTTTTGCTGACGGTGAGTGCAAGCCAAAGAAGTGAGTAGCATGACTTGTGTGTAGGGTTATATAAGAAATTGTTTATGACGTAATGAAGACAATCTAGAGTTTGAAACTTCTGTTCAAGGTTGAAACACGATGATTTTAATTGTTCAAATTTTGCAACAAATCTCAGAGAAAACAACGAAGAAACCTGGAAAATATTTTACCATCAAATATTAATACTTCTAACAATGGAATAGTCTATTCCAAAGTTGAACAAAAAGAAGTATTCTATATTGTTTCAATTTAATAACAAACTATAGACGACAAAGTGATGATAATGATGATTAATAATAACGCCGTGAAGATGTGCCTGATTCTAGATCTCCGACATCAAGAAGTATTATTTTGTAACATCTACCAATGTCTTTGTCATATATGACTTGTGTAAATACATCAAGGACAAGAAAATGATACGCGTAATTAATATTACAAAAATATTATTATATGATATTTCATTTATTTCTTTAATTCAATTTATGTAAGGAGTACCATTATTATTGCATATAATAGCTTGTCAATTATGTAATTTTGAGAATCCGATTAAATCTGAAATTGGTTAAATTCCATTGACTTTAGTTGCGTGTATAGTAGTAGTGTTACCTGTAGTATGATTATTTTTCATCGTCTAATTTTTTTACAATGATTTTTGGTCGTTTTGATATTTACTGCGCGTGCCAGATAAATTACACGCGTCAGACGTAAGATTCCAAACAAAAAAGAGAAGAATTTATATATAGATTTAGCTTTTAAAAATTTTGGGACAAACAATGTAAAACAATTATACTTAATTAAGTTAATTGGAAGAAGAAGAATTGATAAACTTCACTTTGTTCTAACATCTGGGGTTAATGATCAAATTAAATTAGTGCCATTTAGTATATTTAGTTTCTTTCATTGACACGAAGTTGTTTATTTTTTTTAGTCGTTTTTGATCTGTGAGGTGCTGTGAGACGCACCACTACAGTCGACAACAACAACAACAACAACAACAGCAACTGACAAAAGGCAAAAGGCAAAAAGAAAACGCGACAAGATTTGCAGGCGGGATTTATTTTCTTTTTCTTTTTCTTTCGTGGTAGCAGGAGGAAGGAAAAGGAGAATATCGACCGCATTGGGTTAAATCCTACTACGCCTTGTTCTACACTGCATTTACTAAAAAAACAAAAAGAAAAAGAAAGCAGAAGAAGTAACGTCTAAATAAAAATCATGCACTTCACTTAATGAATCAATTCTAGATTTGAGCTATTAACTCTTATTCTAACGGTTATTCAAGTCGCGTTGAATAAAGGAAAACAACTTGCTTTCATAATTGTTTCATCTCTGTTGCGAGTTTAACTGAGATGATTGTTTTTTGCTTTTTTTTGGTTGCAAGAGAAAAGTACCAACATTGAGGATAATAATCATTACATCGACATCTTCTTGTATAGTTAATGACGTACGAAACCTTCAAGATTAGAGTAACAAGCGATACTCTATATTTGTTTCAAATCATAATGATTCGATATTTTATTTTAGTTCAACACGAAATGTATTGACAATCCTTACAAACTAAAAGCCATCGATAATCTTTCATTATCGGCAGTAGACTCTCTTACTCCTACTCCTAGTTCTCCTCTTCCTCCCTTAATAAAACCGGTGGAAATTATTTTTACGTGAACTTGCTTAAATCTTGATTATTACCCCTAACTAATTAATCAACTAACCAGTTGACCCATTCAAGAATATTACAAAACGCGTTAAGGGGGGAGAAAATATGTGGGAAAACAATCTTGTAACGATGGTTTTATTTTCATTTGTTTTGTCTCAAGCCAGCAAGTCTGGACTGATGGATTAAAACACCTCCCCCTTAGGAAAAATAAAAATAATAATAATAAAAAAAAAAAAAAAATTCGACAAGCATCGCGTGTGGCACAAATTACTATCCTGTGTCAATTATCCACACAAGTGTTAGGAGTAAGTGAAGGCTTGATTGATAAATATAGAACAAGTAAGTGAATATACGTTGAGGAAAGAACTATTCATTGCAGTAGTAAAGACAACAACTTGATATGCCGTTCACTGTTTATGTTTACGTTTATCATTGATGTTACAGAATTGTTTTGATCAGTAATAAATTTTTGTTATGATGAATGAATGAGAAAGAAAGAAGGAAAGATTGAAACGTGATGCGTATTACAATGATCGATCTCTGAATAAAGAAGAAGAACAATATACTATGCTGTGGATATGCCCAATAAATGTTTTAATATTGTTATAAAACAAAATTTATAGTTGTGATTATCCCCAACTCTTATTTCATCATTCCCCTTAAAATGATTAACGTTTATTATATTATATTATATAATATAATTATCTAATTTGATGTTTTAAAGTAGACATAGAATGGTATGAAAGATCGTGAACAAGAAGTAGTAGTATAAAAAGAAGAAGAAGAAGAAAAGGAAAGGGGAATGTACACAGGAGTGGTGTGTCTGAACCAAATAATACTAATAATAATAATAATAAAAAAAAAAAAAATACGCGAAAAAATTTAAATTAAAAAAAAAAAAAAATTGTCCCCTTTCAAAACTAAATAGAAACACAAAATTTAACTGCAAATATCATCAATTTCACAAAACTGTCCTTTTTTTTTTCCATTTTTTCACTCCATACTTTATAGTTTTATTTTTTTTTTTTTGGTATATAAATATTAATTTAAATTTCCTCAGAATGCTGGTTTTTATTTCAAGAGTTTTATAATTTTTCCTTTTTGTTTTCTTATCATCTATTCATTAAGTATTCCCTCCTTTGGTTCATCACCACCAACTCATACCCACTTAATAATCTATACTATAACTAGCACTACAACGACAAAAATTCAAGATGGTTTCTGCAATTGATTTACAAGCTTTGAAAGTCTTTCTCAATGGTCCAATCACTCATGATATGATTCATAAAATTGTTGTTGCTACTTTACAAGTTATCCCATGTGAAGATACCAAATCCAAGACTTATACTTCATCCAACAATACCATCAAACAATTGCCAAGTTTGATGACTTTTTTAACTAAATTAGTTAAATATACCAATGTCTACACTGGTACTTTGATGGCTACTTTGATTTACTTGCAAAAGTTGAAAACCAGATTACCAAAAAATGCTCATGGTTTGCCATGTACTAGACACAGAATCTTGTTGAGTTGTTTGATTTTATCCTCAAAATTCCATAACGATTCCAGTCCAAAGAACAAGCACTGGGCCAAGTACACTGATGGTTTATTTAACATCAAAGACATTAACTTGATGGAAAGACAATTGATTTTCTTGTTGAATTGGGATTTGAAAGTTACCAATGAAGACATGTGCCATGCATTGAATAGTTTCTTGGAACCAATCAAGTTGGAAATTATCAAACAAGAAAAATTCAAAAGATATATCAAACAAAAGAACGAAGAAGTCAATTCTATTGCCAGTTCCATCTCAAGTGTTACTTCTTCTCCACCATCTTCAAGATCATCATCTATTTCTCCTGTTCAATATCATTATCGTCAAGATTCTACCAGTTCTATTTCTTCATTAAGTTCTGTCAACACAAGTGATAGTAGTGTTTACTCAATCAGTCCAAAACACAACAATATTACCACCGCAGCTCCTGCTCCTATCAATTCCAGTTTGGTTGATCCAATTATCGAATTGACTGCTCAACAAGAAGAATTTGAATTGAAGAATTTCTTATCTAAGAAATTATCTACTTCAACTACCAACAATATGACTGCTAATACAGCTAGTCATAATTTCAATTTTGCTCCATCTTATGGATACAATGTTGCCAATGCTTTTTAACGACACTCGCTTTTACAATTCACTTATACACTCGTTTTATTTATTACATTTATTTTGATATCACAAGGATTGCTTTTTTATCACACTTATTATTTCAGTTCTAGTTACCTTTTTCATTTTTTTTTTGCTCATATTTTAGATTTGTTTTGTTATTGGGTTTTATAGATTTATTTTTATTATACGGATTGCCTTTTTTTTAATAATTATCAATTGTAGTTGACTAGTTCTTGGATTCTATATTTTTTTTTGCAGCTAACCCCCTTCTAAATTCTATACTGATACGACAATATGGTTAAAGATCCACACTATTTATTTGTTATATCAACAATCCTATCAACCCCCCAAGTTGGAATGCTAATCAAATAGTACCCGATTGCAAAAGAAAAAGAAAAAGAGAAAGCAAAATTCGCAAATTCCCGATCATCGGACCATAGGAATGTTGATCATAATGTATGTTAAGTGATAATCATTCCCTTCATAATATAGTATATGTTCATTGTGAAAACTTGAAACTAACACATGCAATATTGGAGTTGAATCAATGCAAGATTGGTTTAACTAACGCAATCTTAATTGAATATCAATACTTTCTAGATTATTCACGTGATATCACCAACAAACGATAATTACGCCGTTCGCACGACCACCGGTGTTTGCTCACCCAAAAAAAAAGACCATACGAATTGTGGATAATAAAGACAATCAGATCAACAGTGTAAATTTTTTTTTTTTTCTTCTTCCTCTTCTTGGTCATTTGCTTATCAGGATAATTTAAATTTATTGGTAATTTCAACCTTGATCTATTCATAATAATAAGAACAAACTAGTTGCATATTTTTTATCATCAGCATAATGTTTAGACTAAGCACAGTAGTAGCAACAACAACAAGCACAACAACACGTACTTTACTTCTGGGGAATCTGGCTTATCATCAAAAGATTAGTTTTCGAAACTTTCGACAATCGGTAAGACTACTAAAGGATGAAAAAAGAGAACATCTGTTGAAGAATTTAGGATTAAGTTTACAAAAAGGTGCTGTTAATGAAAAGTCGGCTAAGAAAAATAAGGATGGCAATGAAGGGGAGGATTCAGAAAAGGGTCTGACAAGTGAAGAGAATTCAAACAAGAAAGAAACAGATGAGGAATGCAATGATGTACAAGATTTTCCTTCCCAAGAGATATTAATGAAACGATTAGAAGAAATATATGATATTAGTTCATCAATGTCTAAAGAAGAGTTTTTCTTACAAATTGCATTGGATGGTGATAAGCCATTTTTATCATTCACTTCAAATGATTTAATTAATAGAAGGAAAATTTTGCATGATTTGCCAAGTACATTGAATATCTTTAATCTTGATGAAATGGATAAAGTTGAGGAAATATATTCTAAATTAAACCAGTTGGATTCGGACAAGTCCATGCAATTAAAGTATTTGAAGGGGTATTTTGCCGATTATCAGAATGATCTTGTTTTATTGGAACAACATTTGAAAGGTATTGATTCCAAATTTAAACAAATGAGAAGAAAAGAAGTAACCAAGTTTAATCCATTTGCAACCTTGCTTGAACATGTATCAGATAAATTGAATCACCCGTACAATGTTGTTGGATTTGATAGAAGTCTCTTTGGATTTCCTTTACAGAAGGAAAGGCTAGAGAGAGTTTTCCCAAGGGAGTTTATTCAAGACTTGCCGACTTTTGGCGACACGGTTACTTTAAAGAAAATGGATGTCAATCTTGAGCCAAGAGACAATTTTGTACTTGACTTGAGTCCATCACAAGCTATTCCATTGCAGGAATTGGTTGATAAATACCACCAGATGGAGCCGACAGATTTGAAAGAAGGACAGGAGTATCCGTTGGTTCATGGATTATACAACAATGGAGACGCTCCTAAAGAGTATGTTGTGTTGAAGAATTGTGCTAGTTATCAACAAGTGAAATTAAGAGATACAAATAGTCAACTTAAAGTCATTATAAAAATAATTGAACAAGATATAAGGACCAAACAAAAATCATTAGATGATCAGATTAAAGCTTCATTACAAACAGATAATGTTGCTGTTTTAATGCCGGAACAGCCTACATCACCATCGAATATCAAAACAGATTTATATCAAGTTTGTGTTACTAAACCATTTTTACAGGATCTTGCATGGACAGTTACTTTGGTGGTGGTTAAGAATTTTAATATTTTACCAAATTTTGTTGTCTTTTCACGTCGAAGATTCTCCACGAAATTAAGCAGAAGGTTAAAGAATCATTTATATAAAGTTTTCTTGATTAATTTGCAGCCGCAAATTGAGCAATTGAAAAAAATCAAATACGTAACTGAACAAGCACAATATGAATTCAATAGGGATATTGAGAAAAGAATTGATTATCTTATAAACCGCAAATTAAAAGGTTATTTCAGAAGCTATTTCCAGAATGATCATGGTACTAAAAGTAATGGAAATTACCAAGGGTTTGGCTATTTCACAGAAGATAATTTTAAACATAAACCCAAGAGAAATCATGCTGTTTTGTTTGAACCATACATTGATAGATGCTTTAAGAGAATTTATTGGATTTCCACTCACAATCGTTCAATAAGAAGAACTTATCTGAAAAGTTTGAGACGCTCAGGTAAATATATCAGGAATACCAAAGTTGATCAAAATTTCTTAAGGGTTTGAATGAATTATAAGAATAACGATTAGGAGGTTTTTATAAAATATAGTTTGAAATTTATTTATTTTTAATGTAGTTATCGTATGAGTTTTTTTTTTTTAAAAAAAAATATCATTATTATTATTATTCTTTGGTTACTATCATGGGTTCTGGATATCTTGCAACAATATTTCAATGTTCCAACCAATTGACACGACTTTATATTTCTGTTGTTAAAAAAAAAGGGAAAGAAAAAAAATTTTCGTTGTATGAAAAAAACCAATCAATCAATAGACAAACCAATCAAATCAGAATATCGTTATTAAATACAAGACGATTTGATATAATAAGAAACAAGAAACAACAAGAAGAGGAAAGCAAAAATGCCATTTAAGAAAGTAGGACCACCACCAAAGAATTTACCACCATTACCAAGATTAAAAGTAAGAAAACCTATAATTGGTAAATCAACAAATCAATGTTTTGTATTAATGTCATCATTATTAAATTGTTGGGCTTCTAATGGTGAAGGAAATCAAGTATGTCAAGGATTTGAAAAAGATTTAAAAAATTGTATGGAAACTTTTAAACCTAATTCACTGGAACAATTAAGTACTATTAATTATCATTCTACTAGATTATATCCTAAATTAAGAGGTAAAGTTCATGATTAAAAAATGTTGAATTGAGTAATGAAAGATGATGGATAATAGTATAGATAGGAAAATGATATGTATAGAGAGAGAAGAAGAAGAAGAAAAAGGGGTATGGTTTGTTGTTGTTGTTCTTGTAAATATAAAATTATAATTTATTAACGATTAAAAGATACGTTGATTTTATTGTATTGTATTTCTCTAAGTAATAATTATTTCTAAATTAATCTATTTGAAAACTTTACCGTCAGCAATTTCTCTCTTTTCACCGTTAACTTCAACTGGTTCATCCCAAGCAAACATGTTGTTGATGAATTTCTTGTCTTCTTCTTTAGAAGCATCCAATTTGGTGAAAGCGTAAGATTCCCAATCTGGAGCAACATCAAAAGCTGGAGCATAGTCTTGACCTCTGACTAAGAAAGCACCAGTGATACCATTGTTGTTGTTTTCACCATAGACAACCATACAACCAAACATGTATTTGGTAGAAGCAGACAATCTGTTGAAGAAACCACCAACCAAGTTGTTAGACATAAAAGTCAAGGTCAATTCGTCATTGTATTTGTAATCAACTTTCCACAAGGACCATTCTTCTGGGTTGTATTGGTTTTCCCAGAACCATGGAATAGCGGTTTCTCTAGTTTCTTCATTAGAGTAAACTCTCTTCCATTCATCCAATGGAGCCTTTGGTTTACCCAAAGCTTCTAATGGATGTTTTGGTTTTGGAGCTTGAGCTGGTTCATCAGCTGGAGCTGGAGCAGCAGCTTCCTTTTTCTTTGGTTGGTCAGCTTTCTTTGGTTGTTCCTTCTTTTCCTTCTTTGGTGGGACAAAAGCCAATTGTTCCTTTGGAGCTTGGAAATCTTTGAATTGACCTTGGAAGAAAGCATTGTTGGAAACAGTCTTGAACCATCTAGCAAAGTTTGGGTATTTAGCCAAGAATGGTTGACCCAACAAAGTACCAATAGCAGCAGCGAAAACCTTAACAGCAAACAAATCAGCATAAGAAATTCTTTCACCAACCAAGTAAGTGAAGTCAGTTAATCTGTCTTCAAACAATTGACCAATAGTGTTCAAGGTCTTCAAGTTTTCATCAACTTCTTTCTTGTTGTAGGTGAATCTACCGTTCAATCTAAAGAAAGCACCACACCAAGAGTTAACACCTTCTTGGTTAACCAAAGAAAGGTATTTGATAATACTAGCGTTTTCTTGGTTGTTTTTACCCAACAATTTTTGTTCTGGAGCCAAAGACAAAAGGTAAATAGCAATAGCAATGCTTTCAGTCAATTTGAAACCTTTTGGACCAACAAAAGCTGGAGTCTTACCCAATGGGAATTTCTTCAAGAAAGCATCGGATTTGGGTTTCAGTAGAAACTTCAATATCCAATTTGAAGTTTTTGACAAGATCAACCAAGATAGAAGATCTTGGGGAAGCTTCCATAACATACAAAGTACCTTGAGACATATTTGATTGTGTTTATAGGACAATTGTTTTAAAATCAAAAGAAATCAAGTACCCAATTGTCTCGATGAAATTTTCATTTTTGAAAAAAATTTTCTTTTTCCTCAGTGTAGTTTCCTGTTACACCGTTGCCTCTTCTCCATTGTGTGTTTTTGCGTACACGAATGTGTCAAGGTAAATTTTCGGAAATACGCGAACAATTCGGAAGTTAGCTTCGGCTCAGTTGCACACAATTCTCACCCGATTAATGGAGCAACATAATCACTTACGAATTATATGAACAAACCAAGCAGTGTTGTTTCATAATAGAAATTTTTGTGGAAGATACCAACCCATCTCCATATTAAAATGATAACACACACAAATACACATGTTTCATCATAATTTTTCACTTGTCATTATAAAGATGCTGTAGTTTCAATTACTCGGATAGCAGGAAGCAATTACCAATGATAAAGTTTAGTTGAATAATCACAATCAGCCGTGGATTTCTGATGTTGGTAAAATTTCCCTCCCAGAATTGAAAACATGAAACTCTGTTTCATATCTAGTGTTTGGTGGGTGGGTATGTTTTATTTATAATCGATAGTAATGTCACCCTGGTAGGAAATTCCTGCGTCATCACATGCATATACTTCATGTGTGTATATCTTTGGTGTGTGTAGTTGGTATATATAGTTGGAGTGTGTAACTGCATTGGAAGTACCAAAAAGTATTGTTCATAGTAATCATCTCCCATTTTAAATCCCGCAATGTACAGTTTCTCCCTAAAAAAATCCCATCCTTTTGTAGTACTCCTTACAAGATTTAAACTTCAGGGGTTGGGATAGGAGATTAGAATATTGCAGTAGTAGTAATACTAGTAGTGGAAACAAAATTTAAACTATACATTGTAATAGGCAATTTTGAGAACGATAATTAGACAAACAATAGGAAGTACACTTTAGAAAGAGTAGATTCGGTGTATCTAAAACAAAAACTAGTAAAACTACATGATATTCATGGTGCATATCCTCGAAGAAAGGAATTTAATCTCCTCAGCCCCCTTTGTCTTGCTCTTTTCTTTTTTAGCAAAATTTCGCCGAGTCGTTCTGCTCTCTCTAACAAAATAGAAGTGTTTGAATAACACACTTATGTAGGATGTGTGCTTTATTTTTTTATATATAATCCACATTATGTTACTCGTGCTATTATTCTATTATTCTATTATTCTGGAGTGTGTGTAGATTAACATGGCTTTGATTTCATGTGTTTCACCGTGGTGTAAAGAATTTCCTTTCGGACGTAATCCTCTCGTTTTAATTTATTTTGATTTTTTCTTCTCAGTTTTAACTCAATACAATGCAGTACAGTACAGAACAGAACAGTAATAACTTTTTATTTTTTTTTTTTTTTTTTTTTTGTCCCCTAACTTTCCCTTTCGTACTGAGATATAAAATTCACCATTTTTTTAAATAATCGACAAGGACAGCAGGTATAGCTAGAAACTATTCATAGTAAAGTTGTCAACAGCTCGTTATCTTTACTATTCTTCACCATGCTTCACATATCTTCTTTACTACTACGGTTGACAGTTGTTCTACTATGGGTCATTCGTTTTTCAAGTTCAACTTTTGTTAATTATAAAGACTGTAATGTCGATGTTGATAACTTAAAGCTACGACCTTTTATCATAGATGCTGCTGTGGATGAAGATGAAAAGAAATTAAAGTTTTTCATGAACTCACAGGTTGCCAATATGAGAAGGAATTATAGTAGTAATTATACAAATATTGTCATAAACGATGTTAATTACCAAACAAATAAATACACCACTTTTCATGTGGAAATAAATTTTATGGGTAAAGTGATAGTTTCTGAAAATAAGAGATTCTGTGATATGATAGCTGTCAAGAATACAACAGATTTTCTCAACGGCCCTAGATTTCAACATACAAATTCAAGTTCAAATGATACCCAAACAATATACATGACAGACCCTTTCAGTGAGATTGGATACAATAATACCCCCATATCAAAACGACATACACTACCGGAAGGCAAGGAGAGAGTTCTTAGTAGCAATCTTACTCTGTTGAGTACGTCTAATACAACTATTGAACAAATATTTAATAATGCAACTGGGGCATTGGTTAACTGTCCATTATACTACAATGATTCAATTGTCTTATATTATGAAGCCGATATTGCCAAACATTTTCATCGATTGGGATCATACCAGATAAAGTTTATGGTGATTTCTAACGACGAGGATTCCAAAATTATCGGTTGTAGTAGAACTTACATAACGCCGGTGCAGCCAGGCATATTCAATGGAATTGTCGGTTATGGTGTTTTGGCTTTGTTGATAATTACAATTGTGGTTAACTTGTTAACTATGGCGTACTCAACCTATCAAGAATCTTCAAATCCGTTTCTTTTCAAAGCATCAACAATTTGTAATCTGGCATTACTAAAACAAGTTGATGCATCATTACCAGGTATCATTGGATATCTACAATATGCATTTTTTATCGGAGGTCTCGACTTAGCATACCCAGGCTTCTATCAACCTATGATTGGACAAATCAAGTGGTGTGCTCTATTAGGATTTCTGTTCATCAAAGATCGAGGTCGTCATTATGAAGATAATATTGATCATTTATATCCAACAATGGACTCAGGTGGATTACCAGGGTTGACAAAGAGTAGTTCAGGAAACCCGGTACTCAATAATTGGGCTAACTTTATGGTCACTTTGGTGATAATAACTAGTATAACTATTGCATTCAATCAAGCATTTGTCATTGTAAAATTATTTCTTGCTAAAATTAATTTACTCCAATTTTCAAGCAAACATGCCAAGGATCCTGGCAATTTTAAAGGCTTTTCAGTTCTTTCAAGGAAAAACTTGTATCTTATATTGGGACAAGGTTTGCATTCTTTTTTGGTAATTTTCGGCATGCCGTTTTTAATATTAACTACCTTTCAGTTCTTAGCTGCAAGTGATATCAATGGGAAGCATCGTTATTTTTCAAATTATTTTCGTCTCAAAAATGATTTGTATTCTATGCGTGTTCCTTATAACCGGTTGATTATCCCATCCAGTGTTTTCCTGTTTAGTTCAGAGATTGGAATTGAACCAACTTGCAGTTCATCGAATAAAGCATTGCCCTTTGGTACTTATTCTCGTTCTAGTGTTGACAGTGACTTTAGGTGGAATTATGACCCTTCAAATACGACTACAGATAATGCGATGAATGATGCAAGACAGGGATTCAATTCTACTGGAATGCGTCAACGATCCTATATGAAGATTTCAGAAGCAAACATTGCATTTGCATCCATTACATTTAATTTATGGGTAGGTTTGTGTTTTTACTTTATTTTCCATTATTTGTTGACATTTCGCAAGAATTTCAAAGTAAGACAATCGTCAAATGTCTCAAGGATGTATACATCACTTAAAACGATTCTTATTTGGGCTTTTTTTTATCATGAGTATAAACCACAACGTATCAATTTTGTTATTTATGACATAGCGACATTATTGGCAAAACTGTTTGTTATTGGATTATTACAGAATCATGGGGTTGTCCAGGTTACGGTATTGATTGTAGTTACTGTTGTGGACTTGTTCATATTATATGTATACAAGCCTTATTATGTTAGGATATCGTGGTGGTCGCTGAAGGTAATGTTCCCCGTTGCAAGGTTTTTGATTTCCATTCTATGCATTCCCTTTCTTCGTCCCTTGGACATAAACGAATCGGTGAAAACATACGTGGCTTATGTACAATTACTCATTAGTGCAATTGTGGTGATTGTATTTTGCATTCAATTGATTTATTGGTTTTTAAGAACTTGTTTATTGATAGTCAAAAAGGTCAACCGTCGTCACAGGATAGATAATGCATTTAACCATAATTTGTCTTCAGATGACAGTCTTGAAGAATTCCATCGTCAATTTGAATACAAACCATTGCAGCCACCTCCATCATACAAAACACAAGTTCAAGCTGTTGCTGAAACCGAGTTGGAGTGTCAGAATATTAAAGGGAACCAAAATTATGTTACTGATGAACAGGCCAATGATAATGAAAATGAACCAGATGAAGACTATTATTATCGTAAGAAGAGTAGGTTGATTTTGAAAAGACTTCATAGTGATAATGAGATTCAAACCGTTGTATCCAATTCTTCGGAGTCAAATTTCCAACAACTTCAAAATGAATCAAACTTACGAAAGATAAAGAATGACTATAAAGTCAGAGAAGGTGATCAAATCTATAAGAAATATTTCACGGATGATTTAATTGATCCCGAGGTTAAAGAGCTTTGGGAAAGTAGAAAGGAAAAATTTCAAGATGATGATTTACCAGACTTTCAAAATGATAGTAATAATGGCACTTTTTACAAAATCAAAGGTTTTATTAAAACAAAACGAAACACCCAAAAACCTAAAAAGGAAGTTGGATTCCATGTTGATAGACCAAAACCTTTGGTGGTCAAGTCCATCAATCAAATAAAGAAAGAGCAAGAACAGGAGCAAGAAGAAGAAGAAGAAGAAGAAGGAATTCGTGAAAATAAGAAACCAAAGCAACAACTGCAACATCATTGTAAAGAGGAAAGTGTTCTGTCAAGTGGATCTTCTACTAGTTTAATATAGGAAATTAATATACTGTAATCTATTGTCGGTTTTTTTATTTTATAAATTTATACACAATTAATATTGCCTATGATCTATTTCTTTGACTTTTTGGTCGCTTTATTATGATCTTCGGTAGATCTCTTTTTCACTATATTTTTGATCAATTTCTCATCATCTATAGCTTTGTAATCCTTGATTTCAAAACAATTTTTTAATGATTTATACTCTGATTTCAAAATAATTTCTGCCATTTGTTTTCGGGATAAATTATTGTCTTTATATTCTTCAAATGGGTTTTTTGCAATTTCAGGATATTGATTCAATCTAATTTTTAAAATTTCTTGATAATTTTCAACAAATTTTTTAGTAATTTTTTTAGATTCAATTAATTGATAAACTTTATTGAAAATTCTATGAATAGATTCTGGATTTGATTCTTGATCAATTGATAAAATTACAGTTAAAATTTGAATTAAAAATATTAATTCAATAATTACATCACCTGAATTAAAAGCATCATAAGAATCTAATAAAAGTTCTTCGTCATATTCACTTTCTAATTTAAATTCATGATTAATTAGATTTAGAATCTCATTTAATTTTTCCATAGTTATATTATATTTTGAAATGAAGTATGATTTAATTATAGATATTGGTATTTCACCAAATTCATAGGTTGATCCACTTGGTTCAACATATCCATATCTTCTTAAAAGTTCACTATTTGGATGTTCAGAATAAATATTATAAACTTGTTCACCTTTAGGAATTTTTTTAATACTTGTCATGATTAAATCAGTTTCAGAATACATTAAAACTGCATTATTCAAATGTGTATCTGCATTTAATGTATCAGCCAATGGAACCATTGATTTGTAATATTGTTCTTCCTCGTCTTCTTCATCTTCATCTTCATCTTCATCATCATCCTCTTCTTCCTTCTCCTCAAACTTATCTTCATGATGTTCTTTATCTTGTCTGGATCCGCTTTTAGGTTTAGGAACCTCAACATCAAAGGAATATGACATTATAATAGTAGCGATTTTGTTGTATTCTTCAACCGATAATTGACCTTGTAATTCCACAATTTTCAAATCATCAATGATCTTGATAATTTGATTATACATGTTTAAATTGTTCTCCTTCCCTATTCTTTCCAAGATACAACTGGGTTCCAAATCTTTTAATTCTTCATTTTTCCAGTATATCAATTGATTAAATTCATCAGGAATAATATTAAAATAATTTTTCCATTTATTACCAAACTTAAATTCATAACTTAATATAATAATTAAAGATAACCATTGATCCATTGATTTTAAATTATCTTGAACATTAGGGTATTTTTCAATTAATGAATTATTAACAACATTAATTAACACTGATCTCGGGAGTGTGAATAACTGTTCATTTGCTTCGATATCTTCATTTGCAATTATTCCTCGACCTTGATTAGATAATCTGTAATCATGAATTGAAATTTTTGGTGATACTTTAACACCATTTGAAATTAACCAGTTTAAAAATGATTCAGTCTTGATATTGAACTCGTCTCTTTGTTCTTTACCATGACTTGGTTCACTTGACATTGCCTATTACGTGAGTTTTTGTTCGTGGGACAGGTTTTCTTGTAAAGAAGTCTATAACAATCTGAATAAAAACTTCCACTGTACTTGTACTTGTAGATATAGATGTGGGTGTGAATGAGTATGAGTCGTAAAAAAAATTTTTTTTATCCTTTTCCGTTTGATGTGGAATTCCGGAACAATGCCAAACTGAGTGTAGGAATAATTTAACTGCAAAAAAAAAAGTACAATAAAAAAATAATAATAATAAACTATCGTGAATTAGACAGAATGGATACTTAGCAAGATATTTATAATAATATGACTGAACAATGAGAAAAGAGCAAACTATGGAATGAGTGGTGAGAGTGAAAGGAACTTTCCAACTATTGAATATGCATATTTCTAAAAGATTCAGAACAAAATCCTAATGAAAAGAAGAATCCGGAATAAAATTCAGATTGGATTGAAATAATCATCGAATAAACAGCTTTAACAACAACTTACGGATTTATGTCTCATGAAATGAAATTCTTTCAAGATCTAACTCTTGTTCACAAATTATGTAATGGTACTTGCCAATAAACGTACGGAGAAAAATGCCGCTTCAAATGCATCAAGTAATGAATTCAACTAATATCATAGACGCAATCATGCCATTACAGGAAGTTTGTATTTGCCTCCACATCTAGACCCTATTGCTAATAGAAGTTGAAGGTGTCGTTATGTATTGCTAGCACTTTTTAACTTTTTCATTCCTCATCGCAACCAAAAGATGAATATTATACTAGGAGCGGATATATGCCGCTAGACCTGAAACGTCAATTATCCGTGGCCCATAATCCACACGCAATAAGCGCAAATACTTTCTTTTTCTCTATTTTAACAGTAAAAGATTCATAAACAATTTCTTATATAACCCTACACACAAGTCATGCTACTCATTTCTTTGGCTTGCACTCACCGTCAGCGAAACACTTGACATAAATCCTACTTGGAGTTCTAGAACTCTCACTTTCACTTAACCTTCTCTTTCGAATATAATTGTCATCACTCGTGGCAACTGCAAGTAAACTGTCCGATTTGTTTAGTTTCATTTTCACCACACTCTCCGGCTCTTCCTCCGCTGACAAGAATTCGGGGAAATTCTTCATTCTCTTACGCTTACCAAAATCCCAAAGGCACACATGTCCATCTGACCCACCGGTGAATAGCGTGCCATACCTCTTATTGAACGCAAGCGTGTTCACCGGGTACACCAAATCCACACCCGTCTCCTTATCCGGGTGACGGTGACACTTGAATGTGAACCGGTTTGCCTCCAAGAACTGTGGATCCGTGCTGAAATAATCCACTGACACTCTTCCGTCAATAGTCGCCAGGGCAAACCCTTCCTGGTTAGGGAAACTCTTGATATCCTTGATCTGGTACTTCAACCCTGCTTCGCGTGTCTCCAAAGGTGTGTCCAACTTCTTGAGATCGTAGATCTCAATGATATTCTTCTGCAACCCAAGAATCAAATGAGTGTCGGTCGTATCCATCGTGAATATCTTTCGTTTATTATTATACACATGACGTGGTTTCTGTTGTCGAGTATCAATAACTTGTAGTTTCCCGTTGAATGAAGAGGCAATAATACTACTGTTATCCACTCCACATAAATTATTGATTCCACCACTGATCTCCGATTCATCAACCTCCAATCCAATATTCTTCCCCAATTTGCAATTCTCAAAATCCAATTCTCTAATGGATCCGTCCAATGACCCAACATATGGTGTAGGATTGCGTGACTCATAAAGCATGCATACGGGGACATCTGGTGTTTTGATAACATTCAATGGATCCAATGTTGGCTGTTCATGGGCATGGGAGATTGAATGACAGGAGTACAAGAATATCTCACTGGACCATGTGCTTACAAGCAATTGGTTCTCGTCAACAGGCGAGAAACACAAGTCGGATATTATATCCAAGTCCTTCGGTGTTTTCAACTCAATAAACGGACTCATTGCTGATACTGATTTGTTGTTATTATTGTTGTTGCTGTTGTACTGGTTGAAAAGAATGGACAATGGTAGGAGGGAGAAGTAGGGGGAGGAAAAAAAAAAAACGAATCGCAGCACCAGATTTTGTCTACTGATTCGTGAGGTGGTCCGTCATGTATTTTTTTTCTGTTCATTGGGTGCTGCTTATTTTTGTGTTACAGATTATCTTATCACGTGAACACGAACAGTAATATTATGTCGATTACAAACACCTATAAACGTTCATCTATAAATGCTCTTCGTCAGACACAATAGTGATGTTATCGACCCAGCGTTGGTATTCTTCACCGACCAATGAATCTTCAACTATCAATCTTTCAAAGTTAGGTTTGGCCAACACTAAATCAATGATCCCCTTGGCCGTTTCCTTGCTAAGATTACAGCCCATCACATTCAAATATTTAATCAGCGGTCCAAATATGTTGGGATGCAATTCATGTGGCATTAGATTGGAAAGATTATTGTTAGTTAGTATTAGTTCTTCAAGTTTGGTAAACTTTGAGAATACATTGGTGTCTGTCCAACTGACTTCATCCGAGTCCAGATTTGTTTCTCGGTTCACTTCAGGCAAGTGAAATTTTGGCGCCATACTAATGTCCAAGCACTTAAGATTGGGGGCATGAATTGACATCAAACTATCCAAATCGAAATAGTTTCCCCTCAAGTTCAAATGCTCCAATGTGTCAGGAAGAGAAAAGGAATCATTTTCATCCAGGGGAAATTGTTCAATCAGACAAAAATCCAAAGATACCTTTTCAATATAAGGTGGTAATCGAGGAAATTCCACAAGACAAACAGAAGAAAAACTCAATTCAGTCAAAGTTTGCATCCATTCAAAATCAAAAGTAAAGAAACCGTCATCTTTAGTAGTTTGACTATAGAACGTGCCAGTTTTGTTGTTATCGCATGGAATATCCAGGATTTCGGGTATAATTAAAATCTCATGCCTATCACAATTAGTAAAAATTCTGGCATTATTTTCCTTAAAAGTTAGTGATCTGATGTTGGGAATTTCGGAACAAGCCATTGGAGAGTACAATGTAGAACCCGAAATATTCAAAACTTGTAGATGTACCAGAAATTGTGCAGCCTGCCCGTCAGAATTGGATTCTAAGACACAACTGATGATTCTAATCTCAACCAAGTTCTCCAAGTCAGATAACATGTGGAATGGTAGACCTTTCACCCCATTAAAATGAACTCTTGTCAACGAATGTGGCAAGTAGTTATCAACTATTATTTGATTCCAAGTTTGATCAAGCAGTAGCACCGACAACTGGGGCAATTCACACATTCTGAAATCTATCACAACGACATTTTTAGTTCTGTGAAGGTCTTTTGCCGATCCATCAACTCTCAACTCAACCAAAGATTCTGGAAACTTTATACGTTGGTACTTTGGCCACTGGTTTAATGACCAACCATGTTCCTCATGATTTGGTTTACGACGCTTGGTTGCTCTTTCAGGTTCAATTTCAATTTCGGCTTTAGGTGTAGCAAAATAACCATATGTTAAATCCAACTTTTTAACTCTGGAAGGGAAAGTGATAGGATTATCTTTACCATAACTAAGTATATTCTGTGTAACTGTACGATCAGAAAAGTTTATCAATCTTGGATGGTTAACGCTTATGTCATCTAAATCCATAAAACCTTGCATACTAATACTTCTAATATTTGTGGGAAATTCCCAATCATACTTAACAGCAGAATTCACTTTTACAAACTCTAGTAGTTTCAAATGAGTCAAATTGAACAGTGGTCTAGGAACTCCCAAAATAGTATTTGCAGAAGTCTCCACTTCTAAATATCTCAACTTGGACGGGAACATCAACTGCACCACGCTTTCATTTGTGTGAACTTCAAGAGAACAATTGAGTTTTGTAACACTTTGGGGTATGTATATAACATCATTCATATTTATTATTTTTGTCAACTGGAGTTCTGTCAATGTATGGCTGTCACAGAATCCGTTGAAAAGCTCATTAACGTTGGCTGCAATTGATATTTGGTGAGACCCCGATGTCAAACGTTTGATTTGATCCCAAGACAAAGCATTTTCCGATTCGACAAGATATCTTAATGAATAGAAAGTATATGGCATTTCCATCAACTTTTGAACCATATCATCCCATTTATCATACTCACGATTCCATTCAAACGATATTCCAATTTCAACATCTTTTAAAATGTCAGGCTTCTTCTCATGTAATCTAATAAGATGTTGTGGGTTCAAGAAGAACATTTGCTTTGGCTTGACTGTTGGATGATTCTCTATTATATCGATTAACTCAGAAGCATTTTTGCACGAGCCATAAACACCAGTAAATGGGAACAAAAACAAAGACCTAAACTTATAAATAGGAATGAGAATACGGTTCCTTGTGAACCACAAATAATTGTAGATATTCCCAATCACCACCGTGGAATATAATTGTCTATATGCATAAGCTTCAAACTGTGGGGCATTCTTGATGTAGTTTAATTCTTGCGCATTGAAATAGCTAAATATTATGTCAATGATCTCCAGTGGTAAATCATCAATGGATAATCGTGACATTATAACCAACCACAACAGCTCTAATTTGATGGAATCAAAATCTGTTCATAAAGAAGGAGTAAAGAATGTTGGGTTTTTTTAACAGTTGTACTCCCATTTTATTGATTGAGAAACGAAGCCCGGAATGTTTGTGTCGTTCCCATGATAAAAGAGGAAACATTCAATTACGCCGCATTCTACTATGAACTCGATAGAGACACGACCGTTTAAAAACAAAAAAAAAAATTTACAAACAAATAACCACACACCAACGAATCATAAACGGACTAGAATGTAGTTTTTAATAATTGATTAAATAATTGAGTTTCTTTTTAGATCAGAAATTTGGGTATATACTGGGTCTGTCATGCAGTTGAGTACTCAGACTGGTGCACAGCGATCTTGTCATCTTTAAAAAGAAATAATATAAATAATCAGATAATTCAAAACTATCACGTCCCTTGAATTCCAAAACAGAAAAGTATTATTCTTTTTTGGGATATATCTATTAATGAATTAGATGGAACTCTGAAGTCTCCACCCAGCTCAAATAATCTATATATCTATTCATCTGTGCTGGAGGTGGCTAGATGTTGTTAATGAAATGAAAGGAGAAGAAAGTGAAAACGAATGAAAAAATTTTTCTCCTTGTTGTAGTGATGAGTTTTTATAGTGCGAAGAAATTTAAATATTTGATCGGGACACGATTCTTTTATATTGAGTCGCATGAATTAGGGCTACTGGTCACTTTTGGTTTCAATGAAGAACTCCACAGTGAAAACTTGAACTATGTATTCGTATAAACTTAACTAGAATAACCCAAACAATACACTTACGACTAACAAGTAAATGGAGACGTTCTTGATGGAACTGGCACCACTTTTTTCTGAACTATCTCCACTTGTTTCAGAAGCATCTCCACTTGTTTCAGAAGCATCTCCAGATTGCTTAGTGAAGTTACCATCAGCTCCAACAACTTGGACATTAGACTTAGAAGAACCACTTTGTGGGGCAATGCTAACTTCCAAACCATCCAAATCAAAAACAGCATAGATTTGGGTCATGAAATCTTGGCCAAGAATTATATCGAGGTCTGAATTTTCTGGTAAGTTATTGTATAATAATGTATTCTGATTAGGACCTGTAAGTTGAGCCATAATTGGAACAGCAAATGTTTTATTTTGGAAAGAGAAGTATAATTCAGTTTCATTGAATGCAGTTTCATTGACAAAATAAACATTGTCCATCTCTTCTCCTCCCAATTGCTGAGTCAAATTCTTCAAGAAACTTGGTTTAAATGAACTATATGTACTACCAGTATCAAATTGAACATTTGAATTCTCAGAAACAAGGGTGATGTTAGATTCCTTAGTCCCAAGTTCAATTGAATCTAATTGCACTACCATTGAGCTTTGCAAATCAGAATTTGTCACCACAGGTAAAGTTACCAATTCGCCCAAATACTTCGCATGGTCCACAGCACCAAATAATAATGAACTTTTCAAATGATCCTGGTTAAGCATAATTGAGTAAAGTACTCTATTAGTGATTCCATCTAATTTTAATTTTTGTGGAAAGTTTGGATATGTAGTTTTATTAGATTCCTTATGACCAGCTTCAAGTACTGGTAATCCAATTCCCAATGTAGCTGAAGAATCTGTTTTATTGGCAATTCCAAAAATTGTATTTTTCACTTCAATGTTACCAACCCATACTGTATCCTGAGCAAAGAATCCACTAGCTACTGTACCATCATCATAATGGATATTAAAATCTTCTGAAGTGAGGTTGAATGTCACAGAGTTTTTCCAATTGTACCCATTTATAGGACAAATTGATACGTCTGAAGGATAATCAACACTGCAATTAGCATTCACACTTGGAATCCACAAGTCTGCTGAACCGGTATCTATTATGACTGTGAAATTTTCTTTATTGGAACCAAACTCTAGTTCAACAAAGTATTCTCCTTGATCAGGTTCATAGTTTGGTATTAACTCAACCTTTCCATCATCCCTCTTTTTTAAGTTGTTAGATTTGTAATTTAAATCTAATTGTAATAAACCGCCAAAAACATGAGTAATAAGAAGCAAGTATTGTAATTTCATGTTGGACAGAATGACAAGCTAATATCTCCCAAAACTAATATGAGATATAAATTTGGGAAACTCACCTCAATAAATATTCTGATATTTCATGGAGAAAGAATGAACGATTAGATTCATCTTGAAAATAAATCATACATAAAGCTATTGGATGGTTAAAGTTTATACAATACATCCATAATTACGTTAGTTTGACCTTATGATTTCTTGCACTTTTAAGACAGGCTAAATTGAGAAATAACACAGGATCTAATGGGTGGGGAGTTTGTGAATGAAATATGATTCCCCATTCGTGTTATCATTCAACATACTTTTTCATCTTTTTTTTTTGTTTTCCAAAACAGTTGAAAAGATTTGTTTCTCTTAAAAGCCAAGTTAAAGCCGAAATACCTTTTTCCAATGGAAGCGTAAACGCACATGCATGATCTAAAACTATTTACTAGTTGGCAAAAACAATTATGTAGATTATGTAGATTATTATAAATAAGGTTGCATCTAAAAAATAATACTAATGTGAGTTTTCTTGAGAAATTTTTAATAGTTCGGGGGTGATAGGAATGATAAAGATTAAAGTTTACGAACTAATACACGTCCTCCTAAGTCAACTTCTTACATACTCAGTAAATTGTTGGGATTGCAAGGTAACCTATTCGGGATAAAATTTTTCTCAATATACAATACGAAGATTTGCGATCTTGCTTGAATTATTAGTGAATTCGCTTTGAATATGGAATAGACCGACAAAGAAATTTGTTACTTTAAACGTATAATTGACCAAATCGCTGTGCTTCTCCCCTTTATAATGTCATCTTATCTATACTTTTGTCTTTGGAAAATAAATGTTTATATTTATTGCTTTCTAAATTCTATCACTTGTAGGCTCCGTAGTTCTTTATGAATCTGATAAGAACAGAAATTGGCTGCGTTTCGTGCTAAAACCAATTTTCACAACACTTCAATAATGCTTTTACAATTTTAATGTGAATTAAAATATTAAACTTCGGTAACAGACACGGTACTGTTGATTACAGTCATAATTACCATTAGTTGTCCACAACATCAAAGCTTAAACCAACCTATTAATTGTGAAGAAAGACCATGTTACACAGTCACCAGGTAAAACAGAATACTGGATAATAAAATTTGTGTGTATCATTGATATTATTACCGCTAATATTTTGCAGAAAATATACCATCAACCAGTAATAAAGAGCCAAATATGAGCAAGTTATCAATGAATTTGAACCATACAAATAATAGTTTGTTTCCAGATCAAATTTAAGTATATTAGACTTACTGTATCAGGTTTTTACCATCAATAAATTTCTCAATATTCCATTATTTTTAGAACAGTAATCTACTGTTGGATTCATATTTAGTAGTACCAATAGAAAACAAGAAACCGTTTACAAAAAATGAACAGGGAATACTAAGAACTTCAACAGATCATACTTTGAAAAATTGATCTGCAGATATCGTCGACTCAAATAAGCCCCCCATCATTTTCTTCTATTAGTCATTTGATATCATCTTTAGCCACCTGCTTTAAATTCATGGAATTAGTTCTGACGAATTGGGTGAGAAAAGGGGCGGGGAGGCTGGTAAAATTATATACGAAATTGGCTTTGATTGGTACTAAAATGCCCATTTCTAAATTTCTAGCAATTGAGAACCCGGGAATAATCAATTTAGAAGAAAGAATATATATTTAGTAAAAATAAAACAAGCGAAGACTAAAATCCAAATCTAACAGTGAATAATAAACTGAAAATCAACATGGAGATTGAAACTTTATTTAATGGACCAGCACCACTCTTTTTGCTGTCGTCAGTTTTAGCAGTAGATGATTTACTAAAATCACCATCTGAACCAACAGTTTCAATATCAGTGTCAGAAGATCCACTTTGTTTAGCAAGACTAATTTCATTACTTTCCAAATCGAAAACAGCATAAGCTTGAGTTAAGACATCTTGACCAATAATAACATCAATACCTAAATTATCAGGTAAGACATCGTATTTTAATTCCCTTTTATCACTACTACCCCCATCTTTCAATTGAATATCGGTTTCAAATTCTAAATCCTTAAATTTAAAACGTAATTTACTCTTTTCAGCTGAATCTCCATTGACGTAATAAGTATCATCTTCAACTTTACCACCTAAACTTTCAGCGATTTGTTTTAATATGTCTGCACTAAATACAGAGAGAGAACTTCCAGTATCTAAAACAGCACTTGTCATCTCACCAAAATAGGTCAGTTCTTTTTCATCTTTCACTTCAATTGAATCTAAATTAATAGCCATACGATCAGACTCCCCATCATTAGAAGTTAAAACAGAAAAAGTGACCAAGTCATCATTATATTTAGCATGATCAATAGCACCGAATAATAATGAACTTTCTGAAGAACTATTACCAAGCATAATAGAGTAAAGGATTCTATCAATGATTCCATCTGTTTTTAATTTTTGTGGAAAATTTGGATAAGTAGGTTCACTTGAATTTTGATAACCCAGTTCCAACTTTGGTAAACCAATACCTAAAACGGGATTAGTATCAGCTTCATCAGCAACTGCAAACATAATATCTTTAATTTCAACATCACCAACCCAAACAGTATCATTACCAAAAAATCCTTCAACAGTATCATTATCACCATATTCAGTTGAGAAAATTTCAGATGATTTTTTAAAAGTTTTTGAATTTTCCCAATCAAATCCTGATGATGAACAACTTTCGACATCATCATCTGAAGATTTAGCATTACATGTGGCATTAGAACTTGGAATCCATAAATCAGATGATCCTGTATCAACAACAAGTTCAAATTTTTGTTTTTCAGATCCAAATCCTAATTCAACAACAAATTCACTTTCATTTTCGGAATATTTTGGAGATAATTCAAGATTAGCACCAGATCTTTTCTGTAAAAAATTGGCAGAACGTTTTAAATCAAATTGTAAGGAACCACCTAAAACAGCTGGGATTAAGAATGTGTAAAGCAATTTCATCTTGTGTTTGTCTTTAGTCAATGAGTAAGTTCTTCTCTTTTTATTTCTATTGAAAGGAAATTAACCCTTGTTTAAATAGTGGGATATTTCATCGGCAATGATCATTATATCCATAACTATATACATTCATTTAAGAATTAGTTCGTACATGGTCATTTAATATTATATAACGTGCATTAAACTATCCAATAATAACAATGAAATTCCTATTCTATGATATTTCCAATACAACAACTATATCCTTCAATATAGTAAGAAACTAATCTCAAACAGTAATGACCGAGTCCCGAATTTCTAATATTCTATTTAATACATTGTCGAATCGATCCATCATTCATCCATGATGATGACGATGATGACGATGATGACGATGATGATAATGATGATAATGATGTTCTTTTTTTTTGGTTTGGTTTTGGTATTGTTCTGGTCCATAAGACCGAGATAAAACCGAACAATATCAGATTGATCTTTTTAGATTTAGTTTTACCATTATAAACGTGATCTAAAAGCTTAGTCAAGAAATTCAATCCAGTTGTAAATCATCTTTAAAAAATAATTGGAAATTCATTGTTCGTAATAATCATCAAAATGGAATAAATACAGAAAGAGATCGGAGTATCACTGGAAAGAGGCATCAACTCCCTAGATGAACAAACAATCGACCAATCAGATCATAATTTGTATCTTTAATCAAATCAGCTAATAATTTCATCTACAAGTTCAATTTTATTGTTCTCCTAAATTGTGTAATAAATAAATATTAACTAAATAATATACAATTACAATCCCGTACTTCCGAAAAATCTTTCAAAGGGTAAAGTATCAAATATTTCAAGTTCACGTAATAATCTAGTAGCATCATCTTTATCTTGATAATTAGCAATACCACCATTGTTAATGGTTTCTGGATTATTACTAGTTACATTTGAGGGCGTAGCTGGCTGAACTTCTGTAGAATTAACTATCTTCTGATTAAATTTATATGTGTAATTAGCAGGCGTGGTTGATGAATTAGATTGATTATTACCATACATTGAATTAGTTGGGGAAATGTCATTTTTCATCTGTGCCATTTGTAACCATAAATTATCAATTTCAGTACTATTCATCATATTAAAATCAATCTCCCAATCAAATTCATCTTCAACAAACTGCTGTCCAAGTTGATTGGAATTATCAACCACTGATGATACTTTCATTATATCTGGGGTAGGAATTGAAGATGCCTGTGGTACCACAGGGGAAGGTAATGACACCGGATTGGGTGCTGATTCTGACGATTTATTTGAAACACATTCAACTTCTTTTTCATCTTCATGAATTTCTTTCTCTATACAGATAGTAGTATTATTTTGGTTTTTCATTATTGGACAATTCTTATCAATATTTGTACGAACCAAACTTGTCAATTCTGATAGTTGCTCATCACTCAATTCAAGGAATAAAGTCGCTGGTGATTGAGTAGCATAAAACTCATCATCGGATATATTTTTCAAGACGAAAGTATGTGCTTTTGTAACTCTCCAAGCATAATAGTATCTTTGACTTAACTTAGACATGGCAACAACAAAATAATCACAAGTTTTCTTCAACCTCAATGCAGCTTGAGTAAGTTTTGCAAATTTATTACGATAAATCTGGTCAGATAATAATTTCTTGTTATGATTCATTTTATCTTGTTTCATTTGATAAATAGTTGCATTCAATCTGACCAAAATAGCAAAATTTACATCAGTCATTCTATCAATCATAGCTACAATTGTTGGATTAAGCATGAGATCACCAGCCTTTCCAAAATTTGTACCATTATCAGCAATTAAATGGAATACACTTGGGAGAAATTCACCAATTTGACAAGCTAAGATTTTCTTCAAATAAAAATATGCAAACTCAGTATTTTGTTGCTTTTCATAATGTAGAAATAAATGATAAAACAAAGTATTAAGAAACAATTTCATGTTAATGTAAGTTCTGCATTTCATGACTTTAATAAATGAATAACCATAAACTTTTTCATCAAAAGGTACCAAGAATTCTTTCAAAGTTCCAAAATTTGCATGCAAGTAAACCTCAAAACTAGTAATCTGGGATGCCAATTCGGATAATTTAATTTGTTTTTTTATGTTCAAGGTAGAATCTAATATTTCATAAAGCTTATCATAGCATATTTCAAAATATGAGAAAATACCAATAACATGCTTCTCCAATTCCACATCTTTAATGTTTTCATTGCCTGGTATGTGAAATGGTAAAGATGTGTCATAATATTTCTTTTCAATATTCAACGGGTTGCCATATTGATAAGCTTGAGCAATATCGGAAATAACCAAGAAGTTCCAAATTTTACGTTGAATGTTGTTTGTTTTCAAATCATCCTGGTGATCATCATATGAATTTCTAACAGGCTCACGATTTATACCCATAGAATATGCCATTTGAATTAACATGGCATTGTAAGTTTGAGAATCCCCTGCATCAGCACCATCACCATCTTCAGGCGCAAACATACGATATAATTTAAGCATAAATGCACATTGCAAAACAGCAAAGTTGGTTCTTCTCATTAAGTCAAATTGTTCGAGACATTCTTGGGCCATGTTGACTAACGTGATATTAATAGGATTAGATAATAAATATTTCAACTCTTGTGCTTCTTTTGATGGGTCTGTCGTATGGAGATTCTTTTCATTCTGACAATTTCTATTCAGAAATAATGATAAATAAGTCAAACGTAAAATGACTAGCATTATACCCAAATAAGCAAAATCTAAACGTTTTTCAACTGAAACTTCAACAGCAGTTTCATTATATTCTTCAGGACCTAGAATTCGAGTTATTTCTGTCTTGAACTCAGTTTCATCTATGATTGGCATGAATGGATATAATAAGGCAAAGAATTTATTGATCAAAGTCCAGATTACTCGTTGTTTAGGTAAAACCATTGATAGTCTTTCAATCAATTGTAACTCTTTATCGATAGTTCCTTCATAAACAGTTAATCCTAAAGAAATACCATGTTTGTTCATTGAAACAATATGCGACAACGATTTTTCATCATTCATTTTATCCTTTTCTGATTTCTTCTTTTGTGATTTGGATCTTTTCTTTTTGGTTTTTCCATACATTCTATAATCAGTGAATCCATCTCTATCCATTACCATAGCATGGAATGTTTTATCAAGACTATTGTCTAAACTTTTTTCCTTCAAATTTGATTTATCTTCATCCTCATCATGGAGAGCTTTATCATGGGGGTCTAAATGAATAGGTTTTGGAAGATCAGATGATTCCAAAGCACATTGAGGTTCATTATCATCACGGGCAACTTTCTTTAAATGACCTATATGTTCAGCTCTTTGTGCTTTAAGATATTTCCAGGCATGAAATAAAGCAGGGTCTTTCTTCAAGAAGGAAAGCCAAGAAAATGGACCCGAATTATACCGTCTTGAAACAGCAGTTATGAAGATTGAATTATATCCGCTGTAGAAATTAATTCGTTCATTTACATCAGAATAAGGATTGATTCCTACGAAAGTTGGATTCTTTTCGGGATTATATTTATAGGACTTTACTTCTGAAATTGATGTTGATGGTAAAGCAAGTTTTTGTCGTTTCCTGGATGGTTCACTTGCTTCTAATTCCCTAATACGATGTTTCAATTCTTGCAATTCCGATTGATATTCAGGTAAGTTATATTTGGCTGGAATACCCAATTGTTGTATTCTTGATTCGTGTCCACTAAAATCAATAGAATCTTTATCATCATGTTTAGTAATACCAGGTTGTTGATATTCACAATCAAGCTTTGATTTAATACATTGTTTACAAGGCAGTTCTCTATCACATTTGATTTTTCTTCGTTTGCAATTCAAACAATTCAAACTCAACCTATTACGTTTTTGTTTAGGTTTTGAAACCACTTCAGATTCAGTCATATCTCTTAAAGGGTTAAAACCAGAATCAAGTATTTATTTTCAAAATCCGTTGAGGGAATTTGTTTTTGACTTTTATAATGATCGGTGTTAACGGTGATAATTTTTTTTTGAGGATTTTTTTTTTTTTCGGGCGACGGAATTATTAAGCAAAGTTTAATTAAAAGAAAAGCGGAATAAAATGAACATTAATATCCGCATCATAAATTGTATATCCGTTATCACGTGATATGCGGAAATAATTACCTAATTATATGATTCAGTAAAACAGTTGAAATTTAAAATATCCAAATCAACTTGACCTATTGATGTAAATGTAGCTTTGAAAGTATCACCACCATTATATAGTCTTACCCAACTTGACCCGTAGTTGTTTATGTATAACAGTTTGTCCACATCGACTGTTATTTTAAAGAAATATTTATCAGGATTTGTCCTATGAGGTTGTATTTTCTTCAACAGTTGAATTTGATGAAATAAAACCGTATTGAATTGAGTATTTATTTCATTCCAAGTTAAACTATCGATTTTTAATTTAGATGAATTATCTATTGAATTTATAGATAAATCAAATATTGTATCTTGTAAATTAATGATAAATTTATGGAAATTTAAAGTATATTTACTAATTATCGTATTGGTCTCAACATTATAAATCAAACAGTTTATATTATACAATCCATTGAAATCATCTGAATTTTTGGATTTCTTTCTGTTGATGATTAATTCATTAATTATATTAAGAAACAATTGATCGATGTATTGATCTAAATTAGGATGCCTATTTTTATAGATGATTAGATCAAATGCTGTGAATTTATCATATATTAGAGGATCATAGACGTTATTATAGAATAAAATTTGATTTAACCAAACAATCAAGAATTCCTTAAATGTTAATAAAAAGTTCTTTGTAGTTAATGGTAATGTCATATTTAAACATGGTAACTTTTTTATAGTACGCCAAATATTTCGTCATCATCATCATCATCATCATCATATCTCTTTTTTTTTTTCTTACTAAATTTCGCGTTGTCAGGGAACATTTGGTTGGTGCACGAACAAGAAAAGGAAGGAACTTTTTCAATAAGACGGAAGAGGATAATCACGGATCATTGAAACAAATAGAGTTGTCAAGACCGAAAGATCGGCAAGTGACTAAAAGAAGAAGCAAAAAACATTCTTTCGATAAAGTGATCTATATTTTGGAAAGGTACATGATGTCATAAGGTATTTAAATGTGCATGGATAATAAAACGTCAACTGTAGATTGACGACGAATAAATTGTGAGTCCTCAAGGATGAATCTGTATAGATTCTTGGGGAAAGATGTGAATTTACGTAAACTCAAAGAGACGGATTACAAGAGTTAGAGCCAGAGCAATGGGAAGTGAATACGCGTGATTGCCACACAAAGAAACTTGTTCTTGGAATTGCAGGTAAACTTTAAAGAAAGCTGTGTGGGAGAAATTGCCCAAGAGCTGTTGAGTGTGAACATAAAAAGAGAAAATAAAAACAAGAAACTACTAAAGAAACAATAGGCAAATGGTTAGGTTTTTTTTTTTTATTTTAAATAAAGTATAAAATTCTAATAAAATGGAATTTTGTGATATTCAAAGTTTACCAACATGGTAAAAAAATTCACACTTTTTGATAAGTAATTGCTCTAATTCTATGCAATAATTTGTATCGCCATAGTGGTTACAAAATCTAATATATAAATATGAAAAAAAGCGAACAAACAAAAAAAGTAGAGGATAGGCGTTTATTTTTTTTGACCTTGAGCTACCCTTGAAAGTAAGCTGATATTGTAATAGATTTTAATAATGGTGTGTATATGTCTTATATTATTGAGGATGACGAATGATTAACGGTGTAAATATTAACTGCATAAAAATATTATTTATCCAATCTGAATATTTCATTTGTTTTCCAATAAAAGACAAAATCAGTACAATGGGTTATGAATAAATGAACAAATGATTGAATAAATGGAATTTTCTTAAAGCAAATTTCTTATTCATTGTCTGATTCCTCACTATTCTGTCTGTTTCTTTATCATCGTTTCCCATTTTACTTCTCATTACAGCTTATCCAATTTTTTTTTTGTTGAATTAATTTCTGTGGTTGATTTTTCTAAAATTAACCAAAATCAAAACATTTCCACACACACACAAACAAAAAGAAATCACAAAACCACACTATTGCAAGAGCAAATTCAATAACAATTGCAATAAAATAGACAAAGAAAATGAAGGGATGGCTCACAATAGCTGGAAGTCGTCAGTAATTTATGTCACAATAAAAATTATCTATAATTAGGAGTACATGAGTCTAAAATTAGCTAAGGGCAACAACTTAGTCAATAGACAACCAATGGGCAGCAATCATTGATTACAAACTAGTGAAATCCTATCTCTATTATGTTATTGTTTAAATAATCTGGTTCAAATATAGTTAAAGAACAAAAAATCATTCTCTTCACCGGTATTGGTGGATAGGAAAGGATTTCTCCTATCACTCCGAGGAAACGACGAGGGTCGTGTACTCTTTTCATAGAGGGTTTTTTTTTTCTGTTCTCATCGCAAGGTGCAAAAAAAAATAAAAAAAAAAACAAAGAGAAAGACATATTGTGTAATCAGTTGAGCAAAAAAATCTAATATACACAAACAATTCTAAAGATTCGTAATCTTGCTTTGTTTTGTTTTACCTATTTTTATGTAATGATGATGATGATGAAAAGAAGAATTTTCTTCTTCTCTAC